ACAAAAATTTAATCCACGGATGACATTATCGATAAATCTTTGAAAAGTTTGTGCGGCATTATTGAGAGGTTCCATCGGACTCTCAAATCTTCTTTGAGATGTTATGTTGACGCTTCTCAAAATTGGATTGATTATCTACCTATAGTTCTACTAGGACTACGTTCGGTAATTAAGGAAGATTTAGGGTGTTCGTCTGCAGAAATAGTTTACGGCACAACACTTCGTTTACCAAATGAATTCTTTGAATCATCCGACAAACCCGAGCTAGATAGTAGAAGATTGAGAGTATTTATTAACAATCTCAAACCAGCTCGTACCAGAGTAAAGACTTGTTGAATTCAACACATGTATTCCTGAGAACGGATTCTATGCTCAGTACCTTACAGCCGAGGTACACTGGCCCTTTTAAGGTCATCAACGTAATCAAAAATTTTTCACTTTAGATATTAATGGTAATACTAAAACAGTATCTATCGATCGTTTGAAACCAGCGTATCTCGAAAACTCATGCATAGAAATTCAGTCTAATTGTGCAGGTACACCAGTAATGAATGTTAAGAAACCCAAAAAAGTTTCATTCAATACAAAAGTGATTGTCAGATTTTAATAATGGTATAGGTGTATACTGTACAGAATATATATTTTTTTTTTTTTAGGGAGAGCTATGTAGCCACATTTTGTGATCCTCAGTATTGAGATTTCATTTTTATAATGTCATCATGGAAACTATAGAAAATAAACAATTTTCGACTGTTCATTAACTGAACATACATCTTTTCATTTTCTTTATTAGAGAATTCTAAATTATGGGAGTGAAGTTAGTCACATCCACAAAATACACCGAGAAAAATTCATCGCCGGAACAATTTCACCCGATTTCAGATGGAACTCAAACGCATTTCATAGAACGACTGAAGAGGGGTGAGAGCCTGAGTCAAATTTGACAGGAAGGTGGTGAATCGATAGTTTGTCAAGTCGTCTAAGGAGGATGAAAAGGGGTTGAAAAACAAAAAAAAATCATTATCTCAGTTAATACTCGTTGTACATGGATTTTGAAGGCGGTAAACGAATCTACTGATCGAATTTGATAAGAAGGTTGTTTTTCAACCCCTTTTCTACCCCCTCAGACGGCCAGACAAACTATAAGTTGACCACCTTCCTATCAAATTCGACAAGTAGATTCATTTACCGCCTTTAAAGTCCATATACAACTAGTATTAACGGAGATAATGATTTTTTTGTTCTTCAACCCCTTTTCTTTTCCCTTAGACGACATGACAAACTATCGATTCACCAACTTCCTATCAAATTTGACTCAGGGTCTCACCCCCCTACAGTCGTTCTATGAAATTAGTCTAAGTTCCATCTGAAATTGTTGAACACATTTTTGGCGATAAATTTTTCTCGGTGTATTTTGTGGATGTGGCTAACTTCACTCCCATCCAAGCATTCGGTATTATACTGACAATTCCTTCCAATTCCTCTCCTCTTCCAATTTTAGACAGTTTATTCAATAAAATGCCGTGATCTAGTCTGTCGGAAGCTCTAGAGAAATCTGTATAAATTACGCCTGTTTGAAATTGATTAACCAGATTCTCTGCTATATATGCGTAGTGACATGTAGTAAGTTGGATGTTGTAGAGCGAATTTTCATAAAACCTTGTTGCTAAATAGGCACACTTTTCTCAACTTGAAAGTAGATATTCCTTTGTGCGAAAAATTCAAATACCTTGCAGAAATTAGAGATAATATAGTGATAGGTCTGAAAATTGTGTTCACTTATGACCACAAATAACGAAGCAACATTCTGCTTTCTTCCAGGTTCATGGAGCGAGAAAAGGACGCGCTGATAAACCGCGCCAACAGCCTGAAGCGGGCCATTCGAAACTTAGTCGAGCACACCGAGCAGGTGGTCGACGAGCAGACGAGACAATCCACCGCCGCCATTCCCGCCGTCAAGATATCCCTGAGCACCGACCTGGACAAGGATCTGGACAAGGGCGACCCAGGGAAGAGGGACTCCCTGAGAGTGATGCCGACCATAGAGTCCGGCGGGAGTACCGACGTGAGCTCGTGTCCTTCGCCTACCAGTTCCATACTGACAGCGAGGTGAGTGAGAAAATGACAGTGATATGACAACAACGCCTGAAAACGCTTCTGCTCAATGCACAGCAACAACATCGCAAGGGAGAGCAAACATTTTTGCACAGATGTTCGCAGCAAACTCCACCATACATTCTCAGGGAAGAATGTACTTAATGTAATGAGAAGGTGTGTGTATGGGCGGTCTGGGACCTGACCCACTTAGGCCACCCTTTCGGCCACATTGTGCACCCACAATTACTGGAATCGCAAGTGATCTCTGGAAGAGGCCGATTTCTGGAGCCAAAGATATTATCCTACTAGGCCAAATCCTTTTCACATCCTCTAGGTTCAGGACACTGTCCCCAAAATGCATATCCCTTGCTGTCACTACTGCAGGGCATTTAGTGAGGATGTGAGTAGAAGTATCTTCATTCTCTGAGCACTATCTCCATGCAGGATCTTCCACAATTTCGATCGTGTTGAGATGTTTGTTTGAGTATCAGTGCCCTTGGTTCGCAAGTTATCTATAGAGGAGGTCGGTTTCGCGAGCGAAAAATACAATCCTCCTAGGTCAAATCTTCTTCACATCCTCTAGGTTAAGGACACTGCCCCCAAAATGCATATCCCTTGCTGCCACTACTGCAGGGCATTCAGTGAGAATGTGAGTAGAGGTCTCTTCATCCTCTGAGCACTATCTCCATTCAGGGTCTTCCACAATTCCGATCTTGTTGAGATGCTTGTTGAGTGTCAGTGCCGTTGGTTCGTAAGTTATCCAAAGAGGAGGTCGGTTTCGCGAGCGAAAAATACAATATCCTCCTAGGCCAAATCCTTTTCACATTCTGTGAGTTCAGGACACTGCCCCCAAAATACATATCCCTGGCTGCCACTACTACAGGGCATTCAGTGAGGATGTAAGTAGAGGTATCTTGATCCTCTAAGCACTTTCTGCATTCAGGATCTTCCAGAATTCCGATCGTGTTGAGATGCTCGTTTGAGTGTCAGTGTCCTTGGTTCGCAAGTTATCCATAGAGGAGGTCGGTTTCGCGAGCGAAATATATGATTCTCCTATTTCAAATCCATTTCACATCCTCTAGGTTCAGGACACTGTCCCCAAAAATGCATATCCCTCGCTGCCACAACTACAGGGCATTCAGTGAGGATGTGAGTAGAAGTATCTTCATCCTCTGAGCACCATCTCCATTCAGGATCTTCCACAATTCCGATCGTGTTAAGATGCTTGTTTGAGTGTAAGTGCTGTCAGAAGACCCACCACCAGATTCAATTCCTTCCTGTTCGATGATAAGAGGGCATTGGTCTGTCTTCGTGACGGATTTCATACATGAAGTCTGGATTGCCTCATTCCTGGAGCCTCCTTACAGATGTCCCGAATCGTATTCATCAGGATATCCTTCATAATGAAGTTGTTTCAGGATCCAGTGACCCCCAAGATTAGCTCTGGATCAATCACTGAGCCATTCGTCCCATCGCTGATCAGACCATCGGCCATTTCATTCCTCAAGTCCTCAGCTAATCTTGTGGAATTGTCACCCCAAGCAATCATGATCCGGAAGTGTTTTGGCGATGTTTGACACTATTCCACAGATGCACTTCTTCAGAATATGAAGCTCTGCCATGTCATCTATCTCAAACAGATGATCCAATAAAAATTAGATTGTTTTTATTTTTGTAGGTTAGCCAATATTTCTCCAATGCCCGACATAAGGAGAGACTCTACCTTCGGTAACGAAGATACAGATATCGTTACACTCCCAGCTCCGGCAGGTTTTGCTGACAGTCGGAGGGCCAGCCAAATCCAACAACAAAACAGGTAACATCCAGTCCGAAACTTCAACTCATTCTTCAAAGAATTTTTCTCACAAGAACACACAAACTCAAATATTTTGATAAGTTATACAGGTATTGGTACAAAATAAGTTCAACAGGATGTAAAATTCATCAAAATAAACGAAATCACCGAAAATTGACAAAGTGAAAAAGTTCAAAAACTCACCAATAGAATTATTGGTCTTATAAATTGACACCATTTCAAATGGCGCGGGAAATATGTGATTTGAAATGAACATGATTATTTCAATTCATTTCTTTATCGTCCTAGTATGAATGAAAACATTCATAATTATGAGTGGATATTTCGTGGATCTGTTTATTTCTACATCCTCTAAAAATAATGCCTCATATATTTGAGAACAGCCTGTACACAGGGTTTCCCTAAAAGATCTGTACAAAATCTTAGCACATGTCCTGAGGTCGAAATGAACCGATTTAAACCAACTTACCTCAGTTCGAAGTTGACGTCGTTTCCAAGATACAGGGTGGTGAATTCAAAAAATGAAAATCGATAAGTACACTCCAAAAAAGTATTTTGAAAAATCCATTTCTGAACTGATCATTCACTGACAAACATTCTTTATTCAAAATGATTTAAATATTGCGGTGCGGCAACGAAGACTAGAAACCGAAATATCTCAAAAACGGCTTTCTAAAGCGAATTTTCACAAATGTGCCTTCTTCACTTGAAAATATTCAGAAAATTATTTCCCCAACAGAAGAAGTAGGAAGCTACGGCGAGAAACAAGTTATGACTAAACCATAAGAAGTGCATTGGTAAGCGCTCTCTAATGGCCATAGTGCAAAAGTATCCGTAATCGGGTTTCGCATCTCAAAAAGCCCCCAAATACCAATTTTTGAAGTGATACTCGTTTCGAAAAATTCGATTTTCACTTTTCAAATTTGCCACCTTGTATCTTGGAAATGGATCAATTTCGGACTGGGGTAAAGTTGCTTTGAATCGGCTTGATTTGACCTCCAGAATATGTAGTGACCTTTTAGGGACACCCTGTATACTTGTGTGGAAAAACGACTGTTTTGTGTCCAGCCTGGAAGCAAAAACAGATAAAATCCTGCAAGAAGCATCGACCACCCTGATGCGAATCGAAGCGCAACGACACCCGACCGAAAAAGAAATAAACAAAGACAGAGACAAGGAAAAACAGAACCAACCCGACATCGATACAAGACCAGAAAAACCGAAACAACCGAACATCGATGCCGCGGACAAGCCGCCGCAGCACGAGGACGAAAAAGAGTGCTGCAGCAGCATCCTTTCGGCAATTTCCAACGAAGAGATCAGCATCACCTCCGAAATCCTCGACCAAAAATCCTTCGTGCCACGCAAAGACAGCAACGGCGAAGATATGAACGGTCACATTTGCCACATCGACTCGCCAGAGACCGACACCTATCCCAATTCGGACGTCATCCATGGTGAGTCTTTGATGGACGATGTGGGTTCCATGTTAGGTGAGCTGTACGGATACGGTCTGGACAGCGTCGAAAATACTTACACTGATGACACGACCTTGTTCCATAGCGACTTAGGTAAGGATGACGCAACGTAAACAGGCCCATTTCGGAAGTTTCTGGCTCACCCAGTACACTACTCTTGGTCGTATTCAAATATTGTTGACTGAACACAAAAAGAGATGAGTGATTGAAACAGCGGGCGGTTGGAATAGATATTAATGTGGGTGCATAAACCGAATTTTTAAAGGGATTCTCATAGAAGTCGTTACGATTTTTTTGGGCAGCACTGTACATCAATTTTCAAAATTGCTCGTGACACTCAATAATAATATCATAACAGCCAATTGTGGTGACACCCAATCACCGTGACATTCCATTGTCATGGTGACCATCCATGAACTGAAGTGACACTATATAATAATGACGTCCAATTGTGGTGACAACCAAATTGTCATGACATCCAATCATAGTGACACTTAATCACTGTTACACTCATTTATCATGACGGCCCATTAGAACATCAAATAATTCTTCACAAATCCAACTAATTGCAGTATGACTGCCAAATCATTTTTATTTTGACGCCCAATCATCATGAAAAACAATTATAAAGACAGTTCAATGATAACTTCAACCTTCAACCAATTACCGTGATAATCAATTATCATGACGTCCAATATCATGTTAATACCAGATGCAATGACAGCTTAAATTCACAATATCACCTGTCAATGATACCTATGAAATTTTCTGATGGATACTAATCAGCGTTTGACTACCAATGCCTCAAGCTGATAACACCCAATCAATGTGACACTCAATCTGCATGACATCCAAATATAGTGACAACTAGTCACCCTGTCACTTTACTCCAATTTTTGTTCGATTACAATGATTTATCATTAGGAACGATACATATATGCCTAATTTCTGCCGAGTTCAAATCGCAGTTTTTCTGGGTATTCCCAATGACAACTACGACCAATCATCGTGATACTCAATTCCTGATTCCAATAAAGACAGCTCAAATTACCAAAATTATGATAATGGCTAACAAATTATGAAATTACCTTGACACCCAATTGATCAGTTATCATGATGCCCAATAATAATTATTGAAATCGAAAAATGTAACTGTCATCAACATCACACCAATATCACTCAGATAGATACATCCAAATTTCGGGATATCCAATTTTCGCCATTTCCCATTTTGATATCGGAATAAATAGTATATATTTCAAACGGAACCAGAAACTTCTGAATTGGACCTGCTTTGAAGATAACCCCTGACAAATCATGAATATTTTTGTGTCCAAATTATTTTAATAATTCTGTAGGTATTTTATCTCCCATTTCCCTCAGTTCTCTAAATGAAAAACTATATTTCAGTTAACCCTTGTTGAGCAAGAAAGAGGAAAACTCATTCTGAGATGATTTATAGAATGTATTAAAGACTTATATATTGATTATTGATGCATACCTACATGAGTATGCCCTTAACCAATTACAAGTCTTGCAGGAATATTCAATAACTTGGAATCACATGAAGTAAAATCCATCTCAGAGACAAACAAGTGAATATCCACTCGTTTGGAATTTTTGTTCCATCTGAGAAAATACCTATGTTATGTTGATGAGTGACACTCAACAAGGATACAGAACATTGAAGAATTAAATTTAGAATGCAACCACAATAATAATGAACTCACCCAAACAAGGGATCTAATTATTCATTCTAGTAGAGATGAGCAAAAGCGCTAGAAATTACTGGGGTAAAAATCGTATATCTTTGAAATACGTGTTCTGACTTCTGCCTTTGCCTTTTCGGTCCAAGTACTTACAACTTCAATTAACATGCTACACATTCAAAGGTGATTTCTAACTAGCAAAGCCGACGGATCTCGTCAAACGAAACTGTATTTGAGTTCATCGCGGGATGAAATACTTGGAAATACATGGAAATACGAACCAATCGAGACGAAATTGGAATCACACATCAGAGGCGCGTACACACGACCTTTGTATTTGACGAGCAGTAAATTGGAAAATTCGCACACACAACAGCAAAGTATATACAGGGTGGCTGAAATTTATTTATTGAAAATGTGACTTCCAGTCAGAATCAAGTTCTGGTATAAGGAAGTATAGTTAACAAAAATACCTGAAACTATACAATTATAATAAACATCAAATAATATAATATTTGAATACATTAAGTATTAAATTTTGACAAATCATTTCATATTGGTGAGCAACAATCAATTTGAATATGAATCAAAAGTTGAAAAAAAAATCATATATTTCGTTCAGAAATGATAAATTTTTCAAGTTTGTATTTGAATTTTATTGTATTTCTGCAATTTTTCATATTATCTGGTAATTTGTTATATTTAAAAAAAACAGCGTTTGGGTGAATCTTTTTTAGCCTATAGAAAGCGATATCAAGATGAATTAAACCATGTTGTCTATTTTGGTAATCAAGGATTTCATTGTTTCGTGCTAAAATAAAATTGGATCTCAATCTTTTATTCATGATACTGTATGTAATTTTCATATTTTCAATTTTGAACATTTCTTCTGATGAGAATGATTCAGTTATTTTATATAATTGTTTTGTTGGTGTATCATATGGTAAACGATACAGTACTTTCAATGTCTCTTCATATAATGCAGATATTTTATTGAAATTGTTTTTTGAACAGTATCCCCAAACATTTATCAAATAGTTAATACAATTGAGTATATGAGAATATAGAATTATATTCGCAACTTTTTTTTCCAGTTTGGGACATCTTCTCACGGCTCCAATGATGATTGTTTCACTTCAATTTATCATCAAACCAAATCCCAAGATACTTTCTCTCATTAGATTGTTTCAAAGATTCATTTTTAATTTTGAGATTTAAATTTTTATTTTGTTTATCTTCTTGTTGAAAAATCATATATTCAGTTTTATCAGTATTTATTGGTAAAAGGTTTGAATGCAGTAATTTTTCAAATTTCATCAAATCTCTGATTATTATATTTTCTAAAATGATAGGATTTTCATTTTCATATAAAAGTACCGTATCGTCTGCATAAATAGTGTAATTACTTTCTGTTTCAATTTTCGTGATATTTCGAATATATAATAAATTCTAAACTTGGGCAAAAAAAGTTTACACATGAGGCGATTTCAAAATTCGATAAATTATCAGATGACATCAAAAACAGCCCAAATATTATGCAATTCAAAAATGAAGTTAAGAAATATATTTATATGCAAAGGAATGATCAAAGCTGAAAGACTATATGAATTTCCTTTTTTCTTTTTTTTTCACTGTTTTTATTTTTCCCCTTCTTGTTCACTATAATATGACTGTATCTTAATATGTAAGTTTTGTTCACTATTTGTAATTTCAATTATACAACAGTCGATAATACTTCATGAATGATCTTATACCAGGAATTACTGTCTGATCATTCATGTCATTCCTACTAGAAAATTAATTATACTTTATATATATTATTTGTATGAAATGTATCAATGAAGAAGAGAATGTAATGCAATAACTGGAATAAATAAATAAATAAATAAATAAATAAATAAATAAATAAATAAATAAATAAATAAATAAATAAATAAATAAATAAATAAATAAATAAATAAATAAATAAATAAATAAATAAATAAATAAATAAATAAATAAATAAATAAATAAATAAATAAATAAATAAATAAATAAATGAATAAATAAATAAATAAATAAATAAATAAATAAATAAATAAATAAATAAATAAATAAATAAATAAATAAATAAATAAATAAATAAATAAATAAATAAATAAATAAATAAATAAATAAATAAATAAATAAATAAATAAATAAATAAATAAATAAATAAATAAATAAATAAATAAATGAATAAATAAATAAATAAATAAATAAATAAATAAATAAATAAATAAGATTGGTCCTAAAACAGATCCTTGAGGGACACCTTCAGTCATCGGTAGTATGAGAATCTGAGTTAGTAGATTTGGTACTGATTTTCCAATTTTGAAGATACGAATCTGAAAGGTTCCTTATCATGCCTCTGAGTCCCAGTGATTCTAAATTTTCCAAAAGTGTTATGTGGTCTACTCTATCGAAAGCTTTTTTGGGATCTCGCAAACCGTAACAAATACAGATCGATAATGGTAAAATAATCGCAAGGTAGCGCCATTTTATGTCTAACAAAATGCAGTTTAGAAATTTCAAGAATTTAAAATGATTTTTGGAAAAAAACGTGTGGTTCTTCAGATATGTCTAACGTTTCATCCACCGTGAAACACCTCGTATAGAATTTACGCCGTTAGAAACCGCGATTGATAAAATTATTCTGTGTGAATCAAAGTGATTTTGAATTTTTTCTCGATCGTTCGAATGATTTGCTGCAGAGAGAAAGATGAGTCTGAAGAGGGATTCTCTGGAAAGGGTCCGTCGCTGTTCCCGACCCAAAGTGGAGGCCCAATTGGGAGAAGATGACACCCATTTTGGATTCGAGAATCCCGCCTTCATACCCCAACAGATGTATTTGGACAACAAATTCGAAGTGGAACCGCCGCCCCCTAGGTTCTGCAGTCTGGCAAAATTCGTGGAAGGTGAGTTTTCGATCTTAGATGTTGATGAACTGATCAAATGTTCCAATTGACTCAACTTACAAAAATGGACAGTTTTCGCGTTATTGAAAATATAAATTTTTCAAAAGTCGAAAGAAGTCTTCACTGAAGGAACTTTCAAGCACTTCTTGAATAGTGGGTGTCACCGATGCCATTATTATGTCGTAATAATGTTCTTATCCATTATTCGGTTGCCCCCTTACGAGTAACCCTCAGAAGTCCTCGAGAGTCTTGTGCGAGCAAGGAATGACGGGGGACTCACCTTTTAACGTGTGATCCCAAACACTTTTTTAGGCCATCAGAAAAATGTCTGTGGTCAATATGGGAATCGAACCGTTACCACCGATAAAACAAGGCCAGCAGACTCTGACGTAAATAGCTCGTGACGTCGCATACTCAGGCCATCTTCCAAGGCATTCGCGTCGATCGATCGTCAGTTTGTTTTTGTTCAAGAACGGTGGCGTACGGAGAAATTACTGTTTTGTGAAATATTTTCGTGTTGTGATAGGCGAAATAACAATGAAAACGGTCATTTGCCTCGTGGCAATGAATGCAGAATTCATTCCAATGATCAAATTTCAACTATTATATTAACATGTACTACAAACACTCTACTTAAAAATTACTGTTTCAAGTCTAACGACCAATTGGGTAAAAAATCAAACAACAGGAAATTGAAAACACTCACTGGCTAATTTTTTAGGTAATAGGAATTCTCCAAGATAAATATAGGTAATTAGGTATAACAAACGGCATGTCTATCAAACTAAAATACATTTTCCCCAATTTTCTTTCGATCAATCTCATGATAAGTTTATGTTCTGCGGGCCCTGTATAAGTAGGTGTGAAGTTTACCTCTAATGAGATTGAATCACTACAATTTTTGCCAATATATTTAATTCGAATGGGTTGCTGTAGGTGGGTATTTGTGTTTTATTCTGGTTTTTGGTTTGAAACTTCGTTTTTCCATAATAAAATCGAATGGGATGCGAAGAAGGGCTCAGTTGACGGCTGGCATCCTCTTTCAACCGGAAGCCCTTCAAAAAAAAGCAAAATCGGCTCAATAATGATCTAAAACTAAAATCGAAATACGCGGTCGCCTTATAGCGCTATAAGCGCTTGTCGTTTCGAGCCGCTGGTTAGGCCTGACTACGTGACGTCACACACGGAGCATGCATGCCTTGTTTTATCGGTGGTAACGATCGAACCCACCTACCGGCAATCCAACGTGGATAGAATATACTGATGCTTCAACCACGAGGCTACGCTGGTCACCGCTCTGATAGGGTGTCACTATTTAATTATCTCAGCTATGGAACTATCATTCACTCCATGAACTGAGTGTCGCTGGTGCCAATATCATCCATATAGTTGAACGTCAGTTTAATTGGATGTGCCAGAGAGAATGGGAGTCATAATATTGGCCTAATTTTTAATTTATTAATTAGAATCATCACTCAATAACCTTTCAATTCCATATTTTTTCAGATTTTCTCCTGTCGATTTTAAAGTGCCAAAATCTAAACATCAATAAAATTTTCATTATAATAAATATAAACAAATGCTCGATTATGTATTGGTAATATTCCTAATTAGCTATAAAAAATCCATTGTCTCGTAATTTCCCCTCTATAATTTGTGTCTTATTGCATATGAATTTGTGTTAATAATAATTATATTTAGTCACACTAGAGGAGATATGGTCCGGTAAACGTGACAACACAGGATTGTAGGCGTTGTCTTGTCAGTTCTTAGCTTTTAGCACAGCATTGCCAATTATCTAGCCTAGCCAACATCTACATGAGGTTTTGTTATGGAGTATAAGGAATATTTCAACAAGCTGGTTGCTCGGAAAAGACTCAAATTAATTAACTATAATATCATGGTTTCCTCTTGTTAGGTCAAATGGAATATTTAATTTGGATATAATGTCGTTATTCAACGACAGGGTTTTAACAACTTTTAGATAATTTAATTAAGTATAATAATTATAATAATTGGTGACGGCACGTTTAAAATTCAACAACTTCAGTTTAAATGGATATCATGGAGATTGAGTGTCATTATGATTGGATTGGATGTCATTATAATTGGATGTCACTTTGATTGGATGTCACTATGATTGGATGTCACTATGTTTGTATGTCATATTCAGTGTCACGATGATTGGGTATCCCAATAATTGGATGTCATGATAATTGAGTGTGACAATACAATAAAGTCTCTGAAAATTGCAATCGCGGCAACAATGTAACTATCAGTCACATCATGAACATGTGCAACTTTCACAGAAATTATTCCGATAATAAATAATTTTGAAGGTCGATAGCGGAAAATTTGACCATTTTTGACAGCAAACCGAATATCAATGAAAATCCCTCGATTTATTCGGACCTTATCATTTAGGCAATGATATAGCGAGAAAATCGTTCAAGAGGCAACGTCCGACGAGCAAACTGTCAAAAACTGAGGCTAACGTCAACAGGCAGAGCATTCTGATGGAAGAATCTGAAGATAAAATGCCTAGCAGCAAAGGAAGCCAGAATAGCCTCAACAAAATGGAGAAAGAATTGTCCAATGAATCTGTCAGCAAGGATGCTGAGGACGAGAAGATCAAAGAAGATGGCGTGAGTATAATGTTGACTGTCAGAATGGCTATAGACAACCATATATGAGCAAGAAAAAAATCATTTCGATTATCTCATTTGAATGAATCGAAATGGGAAAAAATTGAGACACTCCGTATTTATTTGATTCTTTTCATTCTGGGATTCAAGTTCGTGCAGCTCACGTCTAAGAAATGCACAGAATTATCTTGGAATTGTAATATTTTCGTTTTTCTTGCTCGTTAGTTTCACCTGTACCTGGTATTTAGTTTGGTGTGAATAAAGGTTTTCGAGCGAATGCAAGTTTTCTAACAGAATAAAACTTTGTTGGCATAGCTTCAAAAACAAGGCAGTTTCTCGAATCCTTTGAGATACGAGTATCAGATGAACTTTGCCAGGATATGGCATCTCCGAAACTCAACGAAGTATTAAGAGTTCGCAAAGTTCTTGGCAAACAAAAGGTATGTGATGAGTCGAAAGTTTGAATTAATTACCACGAGTATCTCATAGTGAAGTTTTATTCCGCTAGAAAGCCGACATTCCTTGGAATGTTCCTCGTAATTTTCTAAAAACACAAACATAACAATAGGAAAACAGACCTCATCCTGTCATCATTTGGATCACAACTTGATAACATTGCATGAATCATATTCACATATTTAGTTGAAACAATCTCACAGCTCTCTCGCCTCACAAAATAATAGTAACAAAATGAACACGGATTCCGAATAGAATATCAGATTACCTTTCAGATGAGTGGTTACACATTTTCGAAATAAAAAAGTTGAAAAATATGGTTTGGACAGTGTCGAATCTAAAGTTAGTTAGAAATGCACATACACACTGTTGAATATATCCAGAAACTATCTAAAGGATCCTATTCAACGGTATATATGAATCTTTTGTGATTCCAAAGACACAAACGACTGTTCAAACTTTCTTATTTATTTGACAACTCCAATCATAATCATTTTTCTTAAAATAAATCCTGACACTTATTATTCATTATATGTTATACAGAGCATCCAAAATATAAAATATAAATATTTACCATTCTCCAGCCTTCGAGAAAAGTAATTTGTTGACTTAGCGAACAAACTTTCCATTTTTGGTATTTATACTTCCACCGTTCTAACTTGTCCATCAAAACCTGGAAACAATGTGATTCTTCTAAGTGTCCAATGGTTTCTGTTGGATTAATCTTGAATGGCGATTATAATTCCGATGGTTATATTCGAGCTTCTATCAAACCATTTCGTCCTCATCTGTAGATTAGGTAAGTACTCTTTTATCCACCTCTGCCAGAATCGATCTGCTAGACATTGGGAGACACGCCATTGTTTTCTTCCGTAAATGTCACCAGCTTTGAAAACTCCAGGTATGTTCTCAGTGTTTTTCACTTCCTATAAGATAATGCAGCGGGGTTGATGATCCTATTTCGCCACAATTTGCATCACAAGGAACGTGACATTGGTCTGGTATTGACTGTTCTCTCAGCCTCTAATAACAATGTCATCAGCAGTTCTTCGGAAGGATTTTGTTCTTTCAATGTATTGTATAGTACATTTTTTTCTGAGCTACCATATTAGTCTGATTCATTTCCTTGAGACTATTCTTCATCTCATTTTTTGCACCAACAAAATTAGTACATTGTCAGAATGTAGTTCTAGCGGTTGACCTCTACTGCACGAGTAATGAAACAAGTGTAAATAGTACACCATATCGTTTCTCTCGACTTCTCCAAGCTTGATCAATAATGGACCGAAGTAGTCGACACCACAGTATGTGAACGGTCTTGTAAAGGGCTTCAAACGGCATTGCAGAAGAGGTGCCATTTCTGGTTGTATTGGTCGGGATTTTCTAATTCGGCATCTGACAATTTATCAAAGAGAGTTTTCACACTTTGTCTACTCTTCAATATACAATACTTCTCTTTCAAATTATTTATTATATACCGTTGAATAGAATCCTTTAGATAGTTCCTGGATATATTCAACAGTTATTGGTCCTTCGAGCCGGTTCTTTTGTGACTCTAAAGACAAAAATGACTGTTCCTGAGACTTATAACTATATACAGAGCATCCATAATATGATATGTAGATTATTAACACACACATTTATCGATATCTCGGAAAATATCGATTCTGTGCCAATTATTCCACACACCATTCGTGATTTCATTAATTTCTTCGTGAATGGCGATTAGAGACTGAGGTAGCATCTCGTTCCTGAATATTGTGAGGCTGGGAGACTCTTGTATCTCACACACCGTTCATTCCAGTGTAAATTCCCCCGAGTGAGCGTGATAGTAGAACCTCCCTCCCCCGTTCTAACCGAGCAGATCCGGTCAGAGCGCTTAGAGCGAATCCGCATAGAAATCGAGGGTGATACCGACCCCGACCTAGATCTACTATGTTCGAAGGCCGATCGGCTCTCCTCCAGCGACAGGACAGTCAGCAACAACAGTTCCAGCTCGAACCTGCTGGGCATCGGCAGCGAGGCCTTCTTGACCCGATCGCCGGCCGCCACGCGCAGAATCTCTTGCTGCAGCATGCTGAACCCGGTGGAGGCGGCGGCTCTGGCGGCAGCAGCGGCTACCAGCAAGTTCTACAGCGAGGCAGCGGCGGAGAAACGGGAGGAGAGGAAGGAGGAGAACAACAGGAAGATGCCTATCATCAATCCGTTGGTCAGGCTGCCTTCGTGGCCCAGTAAGTTACAAACTATATATAACTAGAAGACCTCGCAAACGCTGTTTTGCTATATACATTATTGCTATGATATATTTTTCTAGTTCAATATTCATCAAGACACTATTACTATTTTATTTTCTACTTCTTTTTAGTTTTGCTATCTATAAAAGCGTGTTTCTTTAGTTTTTCAAACTACCATTTAATTCAACTTCAAACTACCGAGGCATACAGTAAAATTGGCCTGATAGCCATGATGTGAATATTCAATATTTGTCTGAAACCCAGTTTACTTCGTCTGTTTAGAAATGGATACAGGGCTCCAATGGCTCGTTTAGCTTTTGAAACTTGTTGTTCAATGTGCTGGGCCCAGGTGAGCTTTTTGTCAATGCACACACCCAAGTATTTAACTTGTGAAGACCACTGTAACTCATGACCATCCAGGACTATTCTGGTTCTGGGAGGCCTCCGCTCCCTTCCGAATGCGACCAATTGTGTTTTTGCTGGATTCAATTTGATCTTCCATCTTAGGAAGTACTCCTGAAGAGAATTCAGCGGGCTTTAGAGGTTTATAGCTGCTTGCTCGAAATTTATCGAATATGCAAGAACTGCCGTATCATCAGCCAAAAGCGACATCTTGCACATCACTGGTCTCGGCAAATCGCTAGTATATAAAACTGTACAACAGCGAAGACATCAACTGAATCAAATCGCCAGGAAAGCCCATATCGATCATTTTGTACAAGATACCATCATGCCACACCTTGTCAAATGCTTTCGCTATGTCAAGGAGAGCAAGATGGGTCTTTTGTCTATCATTTCTCAACGATATTGTGTTCTCAATGAGTCTCAAGACTTGTAGTTCAGTTGAGTGGCCAGTTCTGAAACCGAACTGCTCATCTGGTATCAGCTCGTTGTCGTCTATAAATTCCTGTAACCTCTGTTTAATCACTCTCTCAGTTATCTTAGATGTCATGTGATTCAACCGGTCATATAGATGTTGATTGATACAACTATTAAGTCTGCTCGCCAGCGGTGGTTTGATTACAATGTAATTTGATCACGTCTCTATCAATGGGAATCCGATATATACACATACTGGGTCTAACAGTAACATATGGTACACCCACAATTCCTTCGATTAATTTCGAAATGAAAATGAAATTTCGCATTCCAGATGTGACCACTGGCGGAGGCTTCATCAGCAAATGCCTTCTAGCTAACGCAGATACTCTTTGTGCAGCCGTGAGTCCCTTGATAGACCCAGATGAAACCCTCTCGGAAGGATTCTATGAACGATGTGTTATGAACAACTATTTCGGCATAGGTAAGGTACTGAACTATACATAAGTGTAAAAACAAAAAGTCTTCGATTGTGATTTTACTCATGAATCGATTCAGAAAAAATCAGCCGTTAATTTCAATTTTTCAACGAATAGCGTGACACCCTGTATATTGCATTCTTCGTGTTGATCTCCTGAACAGGGATCGACGCCAAAATATCCCTGGACTTCCACCACAAGAGGGAAGAACACCCGGAAAAGTGCAGATCGCGAGCAAAAAACTACATGTGGTACGGGGTATTGGGAAGCAAGCAGTGGCTCCAGAAGACCTACAAGAACCTGGAGCAGCGAGTGCAGCTCGAATGTGATGGACAGAGGATTCCACTACCAAGTCTCCAAGGAATAGTGATACTAAACATTCCCAGGTAAACAGTTGAATGTTTAGTTCAATAGCAAATGAAATGAATAATTATTTCTCTGAAATAGGCCCGAAACTGGCATCTAAAATTAACAAAAGTGATCTGAAAGAGCAGCATGCCATATCTCTGAACTCCATATATCTTAGACCCACGTCCATTACCGAAATAAAAAATGAAATCTTATCCTTAAAAAATAATAAATCACCGGGCCCAGATGGGATTAAAAATGAGACGGTCAAATTGATGGCAGAATATATATCTGCACCTTTGTGTCACATCTTCAACTTATGCATCTCTACCGGAATAGTGCCAAACGATTTCAAAACAGCAATCATAATACCAATTTTCAAAGGTGGAGTCAAATCAAATGTGGCAAATTACCGACCGATTTCACTCACATCCGTCTTTTCAAAATTATTTGAGAAAATAATCAAAAAGCGACTCATGGAATACCTTAACCTTCATAATATAATTTCAAACAGACAATACGGATTCAGGGAAAACCGAAGTACTCAGGATGCTATAGCATACCTCACCTCACAAATATACGCGGCTGTGGACAATAAACAGCCATGTCTGGGTGTTTTCGTTGATTTAGCAAAGGCGTTTGACACGGTCAGTCATGAACTTTTGCTAGAAAAGCTTGAACACCTAGGCATAAGAGGAACTCCATTGGAACTATTCAAAAACTTCCTCAATAACCGTGAACAAATGGTCAAAGTTAATGATAAAATAAGTAATTCTAGATCGGTTTCCTGTGGTGTACCACAGGGTACAGTCCTTGGTCCTGTACTGTTTGTAATATATCTAAACTCCTTGCTCACCTTAGAAACTTGTGGGGAAATTGTCTCGTTCGCTGACGACACGGCCATTATTTATGTAGCTGATTCGTGGGCTGATTTGAAGGAAAAGGCAGAAGAGGACTTGGTAAAAATAAAAAATTGGTTCGAACTAAACTTGTTAACCGTAAACGTTACAAAAACAAAGATAATACCCTTTTCTTCATATGATACCAACTTACCAACTTACACTATCGATTTTGATGGGCAAAATGTTGCGACGACCCGCAGCGTACGTTATCTTGGAATATTCATTGATTCTTGCCTAAAATGGGATGTCCACATAGAAAATCTTAAGAAAAAAATCCGTTCACTATTGTACAAGTTCTACCAATGTCGATATATACTCCCACTAGAAAAACTGAAAGAGATATATTTTGCAATCGCAGAGTCGTTATTGAGTTATGGTATAATAGGATGGGGCGGAGCCCGCAAGACTCTGATGGAGCCTCTGCAGGTCTTACAAAAGAGAATTCTGAAAATAATAACTTTTAAACCCTACAGATACCCATCTGATGAACTCTATAACAATCTTGATATATTAGATATCAGACAAATTTATGTGAAGTCAGTGCTGATGTTCATCTTCTCAAATAAGTCATCCTACCTAAATAAACCTGATCACTCTTATGACACTCGAAGCATGAGAATAAGGAACGCTTATGTACCGAGAGTCAACAAAGCGCTAGGACAACGATCTCTAATGTATAATGCGCCAAAACTATACAATAACGTTCCGGAAAATATAAGATGTATCGAATCAAAGCTTTTTTTCAAGAAAACTATAAAAAAATGGATCCTACAACGTGGAAGAGCATACTTTCACTCGATTATAGATTGAACAAACCCCTTATTTCTTTCATTCCAGTTCCATTTCATGTTATTCATATACACATATCAAGTAGACTTTGTTTATTTTTCAATTTTTCAAATCTTAAATTTTTCAATAATCAATTTTCATATAGCAAATAAATAAATTCTTGAAAGCAAATAAACATAAACCTCTCCATAGACAGTCCCCTCCAGGACTACATGGCGTTTCTGTTTATTTACTTGGTATTTATACATATAATATGTTCTGTAAACATTTTCTTTTTTGTTTGTTACCTACCTAGTAAATAAACATATTCTATTCTATTCTATTCTATTCTATTCTATTCTATTCTATTCTATATCAGACTCTGATTGTTCTTTATGAAACACAAATGCGCGTATCTATAACGATACGTATTTTTTATTTTTAAAACGTTGGCGGCATCAAACCGTTAGGCATAAGTCAGACATAAAATGTTCTATATCGGAATAATAACGTTCACAGAACGATGAAATCTGAAAGCATTAAATTACTCATGACTCATTTTTCACTCGAAAGGGCTCTTCAGACAGAATTTCTATCGTATCTGATTGTTCACCAGTTACAACAACCATAAAATAGCGGACAGTTGAACAACCATCTACATCCTCAATGAAATCATAAATCCTATTCCAGAAACCCGATAACTTGGGGTCCTGTTTGATAACAAATTGAACCTCAAAAAACACCTTCAATCAACAAAGAAGAAATTAATTTTCAGAAACAAACATTCTCGAGGATTGACATTTAAGAATGAAGGTATCAATACCATGAAAGCTACCTCGACCTATACAAGACCATATGCCGACCCCTCATTATTGAATACATGTGTACATTCCATTTGAGATTTGAGTGCTAAAAATCGATCCGGACATGACCTCGTAAGAATAAAATAATGAAAAGTTTCAACCCTTTCCTGAAATGAAAAATAACCAAACGAAGTGTCTTCAAGTGGATGAAACCATAACTGTGTGGAAACGAAGAAATCACAGTCGATATCATGAATTAGCATTTTCTAGTTCAAAAATAACAATATTCATCATAGCATTGGATATTAAGGGTAGTGAGGAAATATGAATGAACAACAATCAGTATTGAGACCTTATAACAATGTTAGGTTGATTAGGGTCCTTTGATGTAAATTGACGTATTTGTCATCTTATCAGGGTACAGACAGATCCTCGTCTCCTCTCACTCTAAAGTGTTTGTGAAACAGTTTTATAGTTCCATCTTCATTCATTTCTGGGGATAAATACTAGATTTCTGACATTTGTTGTTTTTTAGGTTATGTTGAGGACATTGGCGTATCATACGTAATTTCCACATGTAATTTCTCATTCAACTCTACATATTATATCCAGATGATAATGATAATTTTCGAGTTTTTGATTTTTCAACTCCAGCATAATCTTTGTGAGGCAGTGAGCAAATTTTTCTGAAAGTTTAATTCGTTTTTCCAAATGGGGCTGTTCTTAGGCAGTACCTATCAATAAATGAATTCTGATTTCCGACAAAGCCTTATGGTTGAGGGATGGTGGAAAATTGTATGTATTTGAAATACTGTGCTCATATGTCATGTGTGCTGTATATATTTATGTTGGGAATCATTTTTGCAGTTTTTCACGAACACTTAATATTTCCTGAATGTAGGAATAATTTTTTTAATGGTAGGTCATACGCCTCTTCTTTTAATCCTCCGTTTTAATCTAAACTGCATTAAAAAACTTGTGGAGTGAATAATTATAGGCACAATGAGAAAGTCCAATGATTTCGTATTTGTTTTACCTCGAATATTTTGCTGATGTATTTACCAATTTTCCTCATTCGGTCACTTCACTTTCCATGTTCTAAGTTCATTTGCATTCGATGGAAAGCTGACAAATTCAAATTTGCCATCCAACAGAATTGAATAATGTCGTATTAAGATAAAGTATGAAATTGAAATTTTGTAAGATCTCTTTCAACGCATATGAATGTGACGTGACAGCAATGTCATGTCAGGGGCGCCAATACACGAAACCAAAGTCACTAGATGATTAAAAGAGAAAGGAGCTATGATCTGTCCGTACCCTGTTAGATAACAAAAACGTCAGTTTGCATCAAAGGACCCTAACGTTGATCACCATCACGACGAGTCGAGTTGGCACCAGGAAGGAGTCATGTATGTCGGCTTCATTCTGTTCTGACCTGACGCCAATAAATAAAACGAAAGATAACTAGATGTGTCCGATAATGAGATGATTCTCGTTTAGGGTCGAGCTCTATTTGAGAAATTTCAATGCATAAATAATCAGACTTCCACATCCCCTTTTCAGTTTCATGGGGGGCATAAACTTCTGGGGTGGCACCAAAGAAGGCGATATCTTCCTGGCCCCCTCCTTCGACGACAAGATCCTCGAGGTCGTCGCGGTCTTCGGCTCCGTCCAGATGGCCGCTTCCAGGCTGATCAACCTGCAGCACCATCGCATAGCGCAGTGCCAGAGCATCCAGATCAACATCCTCGGCGATGAGGGGGTGCCCATCCAGGTGGACGGCGAGGCCTGGATACAGCCTCCAGGCATCATCAGGATACTGCACAAGAACCGCATGCAGATGCTGTGCCGCAACAGGTCTGATAACTATTTAAACAAGCTCACTAGAAAATTGCACTTTCCTGTGCGGAAATTTGCACTCGATTTCGAGAATTATGCCATCCGATACCAATTGAATGGTAGATTTCAAAAACCTAGCTGTGCCACCCCTCAGTCTGAGCCAAATCCACGCCACAGCGATGTATTTGCTATTATTCCGAACATACTTCCGTCACGTGTTAACGAGTTGAACGAATGACAAGAAACCTATTCACAGTAGCTTCCTTACAGGTCCCTGGAGAACTCCCTGAAGTCCTGGGAGGAGAAGCAGCGCCAGAGCCTGTCGGCCCAAGGCGCCAAGCCGAGATCCTCCGTCTCCATTACGCACGACAAGGAGAGAAGCAGCCTCACGAGACAGAGCATGCCCTCCCAGGAGAAATCCTTCCTAGGTGTCAACATCGAGAAGATACGGCAGCACAGCTTCAGCGGAGCAGTACCCATTCAACCCCACGAGCCTAAAGAGAAACATACTGTCCACTTCGCTCCGCCTCCTGAGCCCACACTCCCCGACGTCCTCTTCTCGGAGGAGGAGCACTACCTCCTCATCAACTTCATAGAGTGTGCCACCACTCTCACCAAGTGGATCAAGATCCTCGCCATCAGCCACAGCCTGGAGGCTGATCTCTACTCCCTAGCCAACAAGGTGGACGCTTCCTTGGAGAGCATCCATCCCAACGGGAAGATACTGGAGGGGCCGCAGCTGCGGGAGAAGTTCACCAAGCTGGTGGCGGACGTGAAGCAGCTGTACGAGGAGAGCTGCTGTTTGCTGCACGACAGGGGGGATAAGTTGAAGCTGCGGGAGGACTTGGAGAATAAGCTGAGCGCCAGCTTGGCCAACGCCGAGATGGAGTTGAGGAAGTGCGTGATGTATGATACGGCGATGGGGAGTTTGGTGTATCTGCAAGCTTTGCCAGGCGATCAGGTAAGTCCCGGAAAATTTGTGCTTCGGGTAATTGGAAAATGCAGGATATCTATGGATAGGCCTCAGTCTTGTGTAATTTATTAGAAAGTAATCTATAGGCAGTAAATTGAAGACCGAAAATAAGATAGACAGATCGAATGAATCGGAAAATTGCTTCAAAGATGCTCACTTAAAGATGTTTTGACCCTAATGACCGACTAGATCTCGACAATTCACCGCATTCTGATTTGTTTTCCTAGTAGGTAATATTTGCAACGTTCCTTTCAAGTCTGTCAAACCAAATTTGTGCAAAAGACGAATACATTGCAACCGGAAAGATCTATTGTGCCCCCTCCTATTGCTATATCTAATGAGGTTGTTCTCTGTAGCTAGAGCAAATTCTCTAGTCCTATATACCTAAGAAATTTCGGAGTATACTGTGGTTCCAGGTAGAGTAGCTCCTTTTCCGCTATTATGTGTGCTCCTATGCTTGGGTTCTGAATGGCCACACATTCCGAAAGTAAGTGGAAAAAGGTTTCCTCCTATTCCCTACAAAACCTGCATTCGTCTTCGTCTGCCAAACCAAGCTTCCTAAGATGTCCTTTCAATCGGCAGTGCCCTGTTAGGATACCCGTTAGTATACGAAGTTCATTTTTGCTTCGGCTGATATTTGTCATTTGCGTTCGACTGTTTGGATTTATTTCTACGCAGCAATACTTTAACCTGTGTGAGGATTTTCCCAGATGTTTAATATCTGTGAAGTTTCTTCTGATTTTTTCTGATATACAATACTGCTGCTGATCCCGCAGAAGAGTTCTGGCCCCACGTTGGGTTTGTCCGCTACTTCACTTCCTTCTACTCCGGAATGTCCTGGAACCCTTAGAAGGGTGACTGTATTTCTGTTGGCTAGCTCTTTCAGTTTTTCCCAGATTTCCCAAAGCATTTCAGGACTGATAGCCACAGATCTAAGCGCCCAATTACTGCCTGACTATCGGACACGATAATAATATCTCGTATTTCAGGTTTTTTATGGATTGAACTATTCACATGTCCCTACAGCGTCAACTTCCGCCTGGCTGGAATTCGCCAAGGCTTTCGAAGTTCTAAGTACGAGGCCTGTAGAGTCCTATCCCAGTTCCATCTTCGGTTTTGGAGCCATCTGTGTACCACTTTATGGCTCCATCTTTAAGCTTAATACCATGGATTCACTGTTCCATTTTTTGCAAATCATCCTTATCAGTCAAACCAAATTTCATAGGTCGCAGGTAATCTTTACCCTTCAGGTTCGTAAGTGTATAAAAGTCAGGCAAATCAATGTTAGGTTGATTTATTGTACGAGTTTTGAAGAATTTCGTGGAAAACTTATAGTATGGCCAACAATTTTTTTTCTCAGATGGAACACAAACGGAAAGGCCTTTTCTGGCTGAAATTCAGAGCAAAGGGCGCCAGCTCATCGCAACAGTCCAGCCAGAAGCGCGAAGTAGCCTCTTGGGGCACCCAGGAGGTGATCACGTGGCTGGAGACGCTCCAGCTCTCCGAATACATCGACAGCTTCGAGAGGAACGACATCAGAGGCAGGGAGTTGCTGACTTTGGCGAGGAGAGACCTCAAAGAGCTCGGGGTCACCAAGGTCGGTCACGTGAAGAGAATACTGCAAGCCATCAAGGATTTGACACAAGGTTTATAAGATATTTAGCTTGTAGTTTTCGGATAACTGTATACCCAGATCTCAGCGTGGTGGGGCAATTTCAAAGAAAATAAGATACTGAACTGAGGGCAAATAATCAAATGGTATTAAGGATCTAGGATCTAGGGTTGACTAGAGTCACTGGATGGTATTGGTTATAATCTTAGATCATACAGGATGATCTAACGTTATAATACCATCCAATGACTCTACTGTAGGATTGACAAGGTACTGAGAGGGGTTCATTGATCACAAATGACTATAATTTGTGATGGATCGAATTCCCCAGTGATTTTTATAACTTTTGGAAAATGTTCTTACCTTTTCCTAATTCCTCATTTATTTTCTGGGTGTTTTACAAGTTTACACATTTTCAAATATCTGATGGATGGCTATGATCTGTGATAGAATTCCCCAGAAATTTTTATAATTTTAGTAAATTTTCGCATATTCTTCCAATCATCCATTTCTTGGTGTTTACTTTCATAGTAAGTACATACCTACTTAGATATCCATATCTAAATAAGAAAGGGGAAAAATGTCTGTCGAAATGTTTTGTTACATTGGGACTCACAGGATAACTTCATCACGATAGTAATGAATATTAGATAATGCAATATGTATATTTTACTAGATTGAATAAATAAATACAAAGTGACCCATTTGGGGGCCACACTGATAATTTTTTTCATTTATGGAGCGATTTTCACGATTTTTTTTCTAAAATGTAGAGGAAAAAAAGTTTTATTTTGGAGCCAAAGCGACGTCCATTTTTTTATTCAAACCAATGTGTTCTAATGAGATCACATTCAGAGGCTGAAAAATCCAGAATCCTCATTAGCGATTTTTTTAGAAAATCTCCGCGTACACCACTGGAATTGTTATCTAAGCTTCGTGAAAAATATTCAACAGTTACGAATCTACAGTGTATCTGATTTCAATCGCCCCCCCCCCTCCTCTATATCTCTGCTATTAGTCGTGCGATCTTTACCATATTGTGTTTCATAGACATAACATCCTTTTGGACAGTGCCATGTGTTTTGAAAAAGGGGATCATATTAAAAATTTTTTTACAGGAAAATTGACCCTCTATATTGATCTTCATGGTTTCAAACCCCCATATGTACATTTTCATATTCTTATGAAGGGTCTAAAGAAAACAGGCACATCTAAACAGAATTTCAACATAAAATAGTTTTTCTTATTTCTTTTTTTTTAAATCATGATTTTTTACCTACCGGAGCTATTGAGCGTTCCAAAATTTGAATTTAATGTGAATTCACTATTTTTCCGATGCTGAAAATGAAAAAAATTAAGCCAATTGTGTTAATTTGGAATGAGGTGATTTTTTGCATATGGAGGATCAAAAGCACGAGGAATAATAATATGAAGTTGTTTTCTAGCAAAAAATTCCAAAAAATCGACCCTTTTTTATTTCAATGAAAAAGCACGGCACTGTCTAACAGGATGTTCGTCTCTGAAGAACTGATCATATTGATGGCTTTTCATGTAGAGAGACGTTTGAAATGAGACACACTGTAGATTCGTTGATTTCGAATATTTTTTCATGAAACTGAATATTTCAGAGGACGACGATTTCAGTGGTGTACGCAGATTTTTTTCTAATCGCTAAATATGGATTCTGGATTTTTCTGCATCTAAATGTGATCTAGTAGGCCTTGGATTTTCAGAAAAATGGACGCCGTCTAGCTCCAAAATACATCTTTCTTTCCTATACATTTAAAAAACAAATAAAGATAAAGAAAATAAATAAAATAAATAAATAAAAAGAAGGATGATTCCCTAGGTTTTTGTGACTCGAATTCAGAAACATTCTATATATCAAGTAATGATACTCATTTTATGTTACCACGGCTCATTATCGAAGGCGCATAATGATGCTATTATAATTCCTTATTTTCGATAAAGAAATTGTTCTACCACCAAAAAAAAACATTATTTTCTAAGTATACCTGTATGAATGTACTGCTGTACGTTCATGTCAACCTGTACGACTCACTGTGATTCTCCAAGTAGTTTTAAGTACCTAGATGTATAATCTCGTATATTATTATGAATATTGAAAATATTGTTCAAATACTTATCATTAACATTGTATAGTGATCCCGAAATATAAGAAATTCGTTAATGGACCTGATGACCTGATATAGCATCACACAATTTCATGATGAAAACGTTCACCAATAATGATATTTGCTTTGGTTTTGAAAGGGGCATATAAAACTTTTCAAACCAATTGTTCCGATATTATGAATCGAATTATGTTTGTCTAGGTAAGTCCTGAAAATATTCAGATATTGAAAAATAAAGGTGAATTTTATTATGGATTTGTTAGAAAATGAAAATTCATTGGAAATTATTCCATACCTACTCAGTTTATAGTATCAAAATAAACAAATATATATTTTTTTAATATTCCACTGCCATGACAAATTAAGAAAGTAGCCTTATAATTTTTTTGTGAAATGCTTCATCAGGTTCTTACTTTCATCAAAATTTTAAAAATATATGTCTATGTTGATTGTTTCTTGAGATTTTATGGCATATTTTCGGGTCACTTGATATTTGTCATATAGGGACGCACTATCTATTGAAATTCCTTTCTCTATATCCTTCTGAATCGAAAAGTGTATAGTTGATAACTAATATTCTAAATTTTGAAAGCAATTATTCTATCCCTTTAGCAATATACTGAATTATATCTTTTTCACTATTTCTTGACAACTTGACAATTTTCATCACTCAAGTACCAGAACATTTCTAAATTGGCACTATACATACAGGGTGTTTCAAAAAAACCTAACCCCCTTGCTAGGGTAGGTAGAACATTGCAAAATAAGTTGGGTTTGTTCTGAGAAAAAATGTAACGGCATCCGTTTTCATGATACAAGGTGTTGAAAAAATTATTTTTTTACACATTTTTCACGATTATTCCGTAACTACTGGCAACATTGTGATGAAATTTTGTATGGATGTTTCTTGAAATTTGACACATCGCATGAATTTGTTTTTATATCTGACTCTCATAGAGGGCGCTAGTTACACGGCTCGTACCGAGTAGTTTTGAACATAACTTTTTTGAGGTTAGATATTTCAATCCAAATATGATATGAACTTGACCATAATTCAATTTGACACCAAAAAGGTACTCCTGGTAAAACTCGATACTATGTTCCGTTTTCGGAATATTTCGATTTGAAAATAATGGAGTAGTAGTGATGCTGGTATAAAATGAATTTTATCGAGTTCAATTACCTATTTATTCAGGTTCAAAAACGATAAAAATATTCTTGTGCTGGAGTTATCGATGGAACAAAGAATCATAAGTAGAAAATTAAGAGAAATTTGACTAGAAACATGAAATATTGAATCACTTAGAGTAAGTGTTCAAAATGTCCTACGTTTCGAGGAATACACGATCCTATATTCATTTTTAAGAATGTATTATTCTTCTGAACAGTTGAGGATCAGCTGTTAGGTCATTTAAGTGATGTTCAATTATGTCTCAGAACTCTTGACGTGAATTTACCTATGTAGCATAGACTTCCTGCTCAAGATACAACAAAACTGTGTAATCCATGTTCTTAGTCAAATCTGTTTCGATGTTATTTTTGTGATTCATTGTTAAATCAATGAGTTTTGCATCAGAAATGTATTGTTGTTTTCGGTTTTCAATAAATAGGTGATAATTTTTCATAATACTCGCTCTAATACATAGCTTTATACCAGCAACAGTTACCACTTCATCATTTTCAAATCGAAATATTCCGAAAACGGAACACAGTATCGAGTTTTACCAAGAGTATCTTTTTGGTGTGAAATTGAATGATGTTCAAGTTCACATCAAATTTGGATTGGGAAGAATCTAACCCCAAAAAAGTTATGTTCAAAACTACTCGGTACGAACCTTGTAACTAGCGCCTTCTATGAGAGTCAGATATAAAAACAAATGCATGCGATGTGTCAGATTCCAACAAACAATGTTGCCAGTAGTTTCAACATAATCGTAAAAAATGTGTAAAAAAAATATTGTTTCAACACCTTGTATCTTGAAAACAGATGGCGTTACGACATTTCTTTACTGAGCAAACCCAACTCATTTTGCAATGTTCTACCTACCCTAGCAAGGGGGTTAGGTTTTTTTGAAACACCGTGTATATTACATTTTTCATTTCACATTGCTGATGCTATATTCAAATAAATTATAATTACCTACAGAAATGTTCTGAGAACTGAAGTAAAAATTGATACAAAATACAGGGTCAAATCAAAACGATAAATGACAATTTTCTTTCATCTCCTAACCCTATATAGTCATCTTAACCAGTCCTATTCAAATATTTCATCCTATATTCGCCTTGATATTTGCAATTTATATAATTGTATAGCGTGGACAATCACATTGATTATTTTTTCAAATGTAAATACTTCCATTGGTTTGACTCTGTATTTTCGTATATCAAGTCACAGGTTTGGGAAAACCCTATCTAACATCTGCTACATGCCAAATAGTTTTTGACAAACTCAGGTACTCATCAAATTCAGATACGTTACTAATAGAATATTCAAATAATTAAATTCTGACTCGATTATCAACCGGTGTGGAAGGGATGATGCGAGAGTATTTTGAGTTTGTGAAAGGAAAAACTTTGTCAAAAACTACATATTCCATTAAACTAGGAACATAGTGGTAGAGGATCGTAGAGACTTCAAAAGCTATAATAGTAAACCGTACCTCTTAGATCTCACTGTGAATTTCAAAAGTGACAAGTCTAGATACCTATCAATTATTTGAGAGCTTGTTTGAATGTTGATGATTTAGAAATTCATATTCCTACATAACTGTAGCTGGTACTTAGTGAGTAGATTAGAAATTGAAAACATTTATTCAGTTGGGTTTCTGTTTTCAACACATTTTAACTACGAAATATTGAAATGATAATCATTACCCACATTGCCTTTGACTTTATGGCTGTTCAGACAGTCGTGATTCCCATCATAATATTTGAAACTCGTATATTTTCTCATATGATCCACTTCAAGTCATATCAAACATTCAGTACGCATTTATCAAAAATGGAATATGTACATCATAATTATCTACCAGAGATATATTTCAAAAGGTCACACATAATAATGCAACTCAGGTCAGAATCAATATGGCAGCTGGTTGGCACCCAATACACAGGGAATGTCACACGAGCTTAAACTATCTCTAATCAGTCGGGAGAAAACCATGAAAAATATGCATACTTATATTTTAGAATACGCTCTCTCCATTTAAAATATTTTCAGTAATGCAGTGTTGCCGCTTCTATCAAAAAGTAGCTACAACTTACTTATTTCAAATGGAATACCCTGTATTTTATTGCATTTTAAGATTCTCCCTGAAGAGCTGATTTTATCGATGTATCACACTTGGGGTCTATCGGAAATGATACCAGAGATATGGGGTGTTCAAAATCGAGAGTTTTTAACTTTTGGATTTGTTTGTGTCGAATCTATTTATTGGTGATCAGAATTATGAATCTTGAACCACCCTATATCTGTTCCGATTGAATATCAGGAAATAGTGAATCAAAAGTTGAGATTGGGACATGTGAGCCGTTTTGACCGATAATGAATAGTTTCCACACAAAAGGAATCCTAAAGTTGAAAAATCTCGATTTTGAACACCCTATATCTCTGTAATCTTTTTCGATAGACCCCATCAAGTGTGATACATCGATAAAATCAGCTCATCAGGGAGAATATAAAAATGCGATGGAATACAGGGTGTTTCATTTTAAATATCAATGTTAATTGCTACTACTTTCTAGTAGAAGCGGCAACACTGCATTGTCGAACATATTTTAAATGAAGAGAACGTATTTTCATGGATTTCACAGACAGAGTAAGCTAGTCGTGACATACTCTCTGATTGTTCTGATACCAACAGGTGTTTACGTATAAAAACGATTTATCACACTGATGACACATACATAATTTCGTGTCAACCAATGCATAAGTTTGACAGGTCCTTGGATTATTGTCTGATTGCTATTGGCCGATTTCAAAGTCATGATTTGACGTTGCGATGACGTTTATCGATAGGGAAAACTAGAGTCCCTCGAACATATCATTTACGCTCTTTAAAGATTGTGGAAACATAAGTAATCTTGTGAAAACTTCACAAACAATAAGATTTCCACATAATTCTCAAACACACGACATGTTCTGCTCACAGAGTAGCTTCATCAGGTGATATACACAATGAACTGTTCATTGTATCAGTATATATCACCTGATGAAGCTACTGTGTTAGCGAAACATGTCGTGTGTTTAAGAATTTTGTGTAAATCTCATCGTTTAAGGTCGAGTCAATTCAAAATTAGTCATCTTGTTAAACAGCTGAACAAAAAACATGAGACACAATATGTTTTATCAGAGATGGAATGTCATTTTTCCGTACCCCTTCATTGAAGGAGTACAGACACATAATTAACATTTGAAACCCTAACATTGGCGTAGCACCAAAGGCACATAATGCTCATTTTGTTATAGTTATATCAATATTAGTTGAATGAGAGCATTCCCATGAAATTAAAATTGGAATTTCAAGCTTCAACAACCATTTGAAATGTCGCCTCGTCTTTGGGCAATTGATATAAATGTTAACCCTCATATTCTTAGAATTCATGCAATATGTTACTGAAGAAGATATAATCGAAAACATCTTCGCCGGGACGCTTATTCATTTTCAGGACTGACGTTTCAAATCTGAAAATGATCGGAAATGTCAGCAGTGGCAACCTGGCAACCGTGTTCACACTCTTTAAAAGGCAAAAAATGAGATATTCCAGGCACTCTAGGGAAGACACTCCTAACTCCTGGCATAGATTGAAAGTTATACATGTTTTCCATATATTTCTGAATGTCTTCCCAACATTATCTGAAAACCTTGAAATCCGCCAATATCATAGTGTAGGTATAATATATAGTTATTTATGTAATAAAAAAACACTCACCCACGTTTTTTATCCAGTAGAACAAGACTGGCAAGTCTGGTAGTAGAAGCAGATACCATATCCATACATACATTTTTCTTGCTGGGCTGCAATCAACTTTTACACACACGAAAGATAACTAATTGTTTCAATAAATATTCAGGTGAGAATAGGTACCCGAGTAGGTACGGTATTTTCAGAAAAATCCACTTAAAAACTTGTTGAATTATGCCATTTTTCATGATAATACATTTAGTCTGTCTGGTTGGCACCATAGGTTGGCATCAAATTTTCACAGCACACTGATATCAATATAATTACTCCAAACTCTATATAAGTATACATTGTCTGCTAAATATGGAGAAAAAATCTAGTGAGCTGGAACTAGCTCACTAGATTTTTTCTCCATATTTAGCAGACAATGTAAGTATACATATTTTTATACCTATATGTACTGGCTCATATTCTGTTTTTTTTTTTTTCAAAAACATTACTTTGCTATTTTGATCGAATGGTATGATATTACTTGAAGTAGGTAGGTACCTAATTCGCAAAGCTTAAACAGGCTTGAATATAAAAAATGCTTATATATAGGTATACCTAATCGAAAGATGATGTGTTGTTTTTTGATATTCAATTGCGCAGGGCCAAAAGTTTGTTTTTATTGAAGCATATTCAGATCTATAATTGAAGCTTAACGATATAATCTTTCAAGTGCATTCACGACCGTGTGACCGTACCAACAATATTTCCATTTGAATTATTCATAGAATAAAAATGACCAATAATTATTGCTTCGACCACAAACTTCATATTTACTATCGCTATACTTACTGACATTTTGTAAAAATGATTCTTGTATTTTTATGGACTGAAAATAAATGTAGGTACCTATATCAAAATATTTAAACAAATAGGCTAAGAACCTGAAAGGCATTCTGAATATTGATATACTAACTATAACTTTGCTTGCACAAAAATGAATTCCTGATTCATATTAATAATTGCGCCTACTGCCCATTACTTCTCAAATTAAATCTATGAAATATTATAACCTATATAGCAGGTATACATGGTTCATAGCCTGTTTCATTAAGAATGAAAATAATTTCTGCTGATTTGATTATAACGAAAACTGAAATACGAATTGTTGATTTTTTTGACTTTTTTCTGTAGTGATTTTATATTGATTCATGTCTCACGCGATATATATTATATTTCAAGATAGTTCTTCAACATAGAAATTCCTCTAGGTTTACATACACAAGCGGTGTTTTAAAAATATACGGCAAATAAAAAGCATTATTCCTCATAGAAATCAGCTTTCCATGCTCTCTTCCTGTTTAGATGTAAAAGGAATATGCCAGAATTTTGCCCTACATTTTGAAAAAACCTCTAGAGATAAACTCATGTATAGTTTCTTTATAAGTTATATAGTACCTATTTATCAATATTTTGTATGATTCTTAGCTCAATTATGTTCAAATATGAGTTATTCAGTTATTTTAATGATTGAGGGAATATCTGGATTAATTATTGCAGTCAGCATGAGGACCAATATTATCTGATTGAAAAATATTGAATCATTTTCTTAGATTCATTGAAGGAATGCTGAATATTGCTGCTGATGTTCATTCCAAACAAAAATAGGTATGAGGAATTGTTTTTCTTCATTTTTTGGTGGCAAAGACACTGAATCAACCATCTGATATCACAATTTCAAAACTAGGTTACTCAAGAATAGGTAGGAAATATTGTGATATTCAATTTCTATGTTAAAATTTCTTCGCCACCCTTCCATTGATCAATAATTGCAAATCATCACCAATCATGTGCTTTTTAACAATGGCTGAATTACTTCTGCCTGTAATTTCATTGAAACAAATGACAAAATGTTGTTCTTTTCTCCCATTTTAATATTTCATCCATATTTCAAAAAAATGTCATACTGAAATGACAGAATGCTGAATTTGACAGATGTCTATAGAACTTATTTTATGTTCCATGACTCCATAGGACAGTGAAAATTAAGACTGTGAATTTGTTTCCATAGGATAGATCAGGGTAAGGTGACCTGATTATCTATGGAGTCAAAATTTCTTCATAACAGAAAATGCTGAACAACTGCAATAATATATAAAAACTTTAATTTATTAAACCTATCAACTTTTCTTCAAATTGTAAACCATCACTTCCAATAAATATCTCCTTCAGGTTTTAGTTTTATTTAGAAACAAGTCCAACCTCTCAATAGTGTTTTTCTTTCCCAGAATTACTACCATTTCAGCTACACTTGGACCTTCCTAAAATGCAATAACAAAAAACATGTATATGGATAACAGTAACAATGAAATTGTACCTTCAGTCCACTCAGAACATATCTCAGAGTTCTCATGAAACTGCCATACTTGATAGCATGGTCTTTACAGAAAGTTTTCAACATTGCATTCAAATGCTCAGTGTCCAGCTCAGTTTCCTCTTTTTCCAATTCATTTTTCAACAAGTCTATAGAACTCTCAGAGCTTTTATCAATATTGTATTCTGTAGGTATTACCCAAATGAATTCCAAATTCTTAGAAATCAAATCAGACAACTTTGAAATTCTGTTACAAGACCACTGCAATATATTTTGAATGTAGGCATCATCAAGTTTCAATGAATTATTTTCTACCCTACAATATAATTCCAGTCATTATATCAGTAGAAATAAAGATACAGTATGTACCTACCTTTCTGAAAAATTTGATTTCAACAAATCTTTGACTTCTTTTATCAGTTTGGAAATTTGCTTTGCATCTTCTATTTTGTTTCTCAGTTCCAACCTGTTGAATTCCAACAATCTATCTGCCATTAATTTCCCTGAATGTGAATTAATTTTTGATATATCAAACTGAAAATAAGCCATAATCTAGATACCTACCTTTGAAAATAAGTGCTTACCAATAATTTACCTGATTGGCTAATTCTACAATGCTGTAACATTTTGGCTTCAGATGTTTCTCCAAATCCTTTGTAAACCCACCACCTGACTGTACAATGAAATTCAGAAGTGCTAATGGGAAAATATGGCTATCCCTATAATGTCCAATTCTGATATCACCCTGTCTTTTACTCAATTTTGTACCATCACTGTTCATCAGCAATGGAAGATGGCCAAACATAGGTGGTTCCCACTTAAATGCTCTAAGAATGTTCACAATAAAATAAAGTATATTCACTTCCATTCCTTTAATTTCAAACCTGTATAGTTGGATATGCTTGGTTGTAGAAATTTGCCATTCTGCTCCTCTTAAAACATGGGAAATCTTCATTAAATGATCATCAACTACATTGGCAAAATGGTAAGTAGGATACCCATCAGATTTAAGGATCACAGGATCACCTTCATTCAGAGAAATATTATAAGAGATCCTTCCATATATCAAATCTTCAAAGCTTTCTTCATTGTCACTTATCTGGAAAACAATTTCTAGGTAATCTTGAAGAATTGAGGATTTGGATTGAGATACTACCAACTTTAAAACGAATACAGGATGGTTCCCCTTTGTCTAACCTATTTTGTACAGCATGAGCTGTTAAATGACGGCATTTATTATCATATTTTGGTATCTCTTGTTTGCGCAATGCTTCCCTACGTAAAAGTTGCAATCTGTTATCAGTACAGAAGCAATGGTAAGCTGACCCATTGTCAAGAAGTGTCTGAACTTCCTCTCTAAAGAAATTCAACAGAATCAATGTGTTCAGAACTCAAATAACAATTGTACCTGTAAATTTTCAGTCTTTGTGATTGAAGATAAGGCCCAAATGTTCCACCTTGCATAGGACCCTCATCTATTTCAATACCAGACCATTCCAAATCATTTTGCAACTGCTCAGTTGCTCCTGCTACTATCCTAGTTTGATCTGTATCTTCAATACGTAGAATAAACTTTCCATTATGCTTTTTTGCATACAAGAAGTTGTATAAAGCTGTTCGTAAGCCCCCTAGATGGAGATAACCTGAAAAGGTTGTTTCAGTGGTATAAACGAGGGAATAAGTCACAATATAAATAGTGATTCACTCACCTGTTGGGCTTGGAGCAAATCTCACTCTGATTTGATCAGTCTTGTAAGTTCGAAAAAAAAATCTGCCTATGTAAATTCTCGAGCTAAACATTTTTTGGCACACTCTTCTATCTTCTATTCACACTTCACAAATATCCAATAACAAACTCACATTTCCTTTCAAACCTTTAGTAGTTGAAACACTTGAGGAGATTGCTAATAGTACATTCTAAAGTAGCTGGAAATGAAAAAATAGAAAATTTGTGAAAACCAGAAACCAGATGAAAACATGGTATATTTTTTGACATTGCGGGACATTTGAGATTTATGTCGATGTCTCTGAAAAGTAAAAATACCAATGAACGACGGCAGGCGGTGCAATAGTCACTTCCAAAGCAAACAAACATTTCATTTTCGAAAGTGGTAGAAAGTTGAAAAATTGTAGAAGTTCTTGGACTTCTTGGTACTGCAAACTGCAAACCAGATCTAGAAAAAAGGGCTGAGGATCACCCTTGGAGTATTTTGGGTTATCTGAGGGATGAACGTGAAAGTATGTTTTTAACTTTATTATATTTGCTAGAGATAAAATAGGTGAAAATTCTGAATTTTCGATAACGCTTTTTTGTATATGAGGTTATTGATAAGTAGGTAGTATTTAGAAATGATCCATTTTTTAGTTCACGTTCCACTTTCACTTTTACTTTGTCCCAAATTCCCATATTTTGCTTTGTGTGGTACCCTTGTTTATGCATAGTTTTGAGGTTATATTTGATTATTCAGTTGAAATAAATGAAATAGTAATCAAATGCTTTCCTTTTGTAAATAAATTATCAGTGGGTCACTTACTCCTTACTATGGTATGTAGAAATATGCGAAATTCATCTGCAGTTTTCGAGAAATTGCAAGAAAAATTCAGTTAGATAATCTGTCAAAATGATGAACCTGATTTTGGCAAGTAACCTAAACTCCATTTCCAAAAATAAAATGTTCTTTTCGATTTCAGCATAAACTCAAATCGTCGCAAAGAGAGAAAGTGAAAAAATTCATATCTTTCACCCAAACAGGGGAAAACACAGCCATATATTGCCTTACGCAAAACGACTGGAAACTAGACCTGGCCAGTGACAATTACTTCCAAAACCCTGATGCATATTACAAAGAACCAAGAAGCGTGGATAAAAAGAAACTGGAGTCCCTATACAATAGGTACAAAGATCCCAGTGAACCTGAAAAAATAACAGTAGATGGCATAATGAAATTCCTAGATGACTTAGGTCTTCCACCTGAATCTAAGCTTGTACTCATCATTGCATGGAAGTTCAAAGCTGCAACTCAGTGTGAGTTCACAAGGGAGGAATTCATAAATGGAATGACAGATTTAGGTTGTGATAATGTTGATAAATTGAAAGCTAGGTTACCAGCTTTAGAAAATGAGTTGAGGGATAGTTATAAGTTCAAAGATTTCTACCAATTCACTTTCAATTATGCCAAGAATCCTGGACAGAAGGGTTTGGATTTAGATATGGCAATAGCTTATTGGAATATTGTACTCAAGGGCAAATTCAAATTTCTGGATCTGTGGGTCACATTTTTACAGGTAAGAAATCATGTTTACATTGTTTTTCTAAGTATATTTTGTTTGGTCTGTAAGATACAAGCAGTTAACAACACCAAGGTTAGTAATGGTCAGAGCTGGAGCATATTTTTTTTCACTATAACCTGACCAATGACCATCATAATGACCTTTATTATGTATTTATAAGTTCTCATATTTTCTATCAATGGGTAGTGACTGCTGGTCTGTCAAAGCAACATTAGAGATAGTGGGCCTCCAGTACTGTTAAATTTTACCCTTTTTCTCTATAATGTTATGAAGGGAAGTTGAACATATTTATGGAGAAAAACGAATGACAAATGAATTATTTAATAGTGATAATGCTATTTCAATACCTTTGAATTCAAACAATACTGAGCTGTGATGTCAGTGTCTTCTTGCAATGTGATTGGTTGGAGTTCTGATGGCTGGCAATCACTCTGCTGTTGCCAGTTCTCTATGTAATCCTTAAGATGATCCTATGTGCAAGATGATGCAAGAAATGCAATGGTTTGAAATCACTATGTAGTAGGTGATTAGTTGATTGGTAATACATTGCTGATCATATTCAATTCATTCTGAACTCCAAAGTATTCATTCCATTAGTTTCAAGATAAGCTAGGTTAAAATGTGAAGCAGGCATCTAGTAAGATGCATTTCATTTACTTGGTTTGGTTTTAGCTATGTTGAAATTTTGTTGACTAATTGTTATAATTAACAAATTGAACAGTGTTGCTATCTCACAAGCACTCATTCCCGGAAAATGCAATTGCTTATTAACAATTATGTCTACAAGAGAAGGAGATGAAGCAACTAGTGCTAACACAATTTAGTACTGATTGATTCAGAATTTTTTCATTTTACCATGGTAGATAGGTATAGGTAGGTATGTATGTATACAGGGTAACTCACGGTCGATGGTACGTTAGACGTTTATGGAGAACGGGACATAGGATCATTCTGAAATTCTGGTTACTCACGTAGTTGCTCTTGGTCTATCGATCTAAAATATTTTCAGCTCTGAGGCGTTGCCGCTTCTATCGAAAAGTAGCAACAACTTTTTTAAATGGAACACCCTGTATTCTGTTGCATTTTCAGATTCTCTCTGAAGAGCTGATTTCATCGATGTATCACACTTGGGGTCTAGTGGAAATGATTACAGAGATATAGGGTGTGAAAAATCGACATTTTTCAACTTTAGGAATTTTTTTTGTCGAAACTATCTATTATTGGTCAAAACGGCTTACATGTCCCCATCTCAACTTTTGATAACTATCTACTGATATTTAATTGGGACATATACCGGGTGATCAAGATTCTGAATTCTGCACGACCCTGTATTTGTTTCAATTAAATGTCAGTAGATAGTTGATCAAAAGTTGAGATAGGGACATGTGAGCCGTTTTGACCAATAATGAATAGTTTCGGCAAAAAAAATTCCTAAAGTTAAAAAATGTCGATTTTTCACACCCTATATCTCTGTAATCATTTCCGCTAGACCCCAAGTGTGATGCATCGATGAAATCAGCTTTTCAGAGAGAATCTGAAAATGCAATAAAATACAGGGTGTTCCATTTAAAACAACAAAGTTGTTGCTACTTTTCGATAGAAGCGGCAACGCTGCAGATCTGAAAATATTTTAGATCGATAGACCAAGAGCAATTACGTGAGTAACCAAAATTTCAAAATGATCCTATGTCCCGTTCTCCATAAACGTTTAACGTACCATCGACCGTGAGTTACCCTGTATATAGTAGATACATAATGGAAATCATAATTGCAAGACTCTTAAGATCAGTATCTAGGTACCTAAACCATCTAGGATTCCTCCGATGGTGACAAGGTTCCTATACGTACAGCAGTATTCATAACAATAATTAGTGTATTTCATTGTATTTTATTGTATTGTATATTGTACCCTATCACTTTGGCTGCCGAAGCAACAGTCATAAGCCTTCGAAGGGCTTGTGAAAGTTAAAGTGAAAGAGGACTTACAGTTTATAGTGGATTTAGAACCACATGTAGGGAGCTGAAATGCTACCACGAACCAATTTCTCATTGAAAAATTATCTGATGGCCATCGGCCTAAAGTTCGTTCCCCCCATACTAATTTTTGAACCACCTGGTATATCGCAACGAAATTTGAAGGGCTTCATTGGGACCTAAAAACCTACTTTGTTTCTGAAAAATCTTGAAGCTAAAAGTTTCAAAATGGCGGCTGAGCAACATCTTCAATATTTTTTTTAAATAGAACACCCCGTATATTATTCAATTTTCGAAATTTGCACATAATTCTCAACAGTTTTTCCTAATACACTGATGACATAGCACATTGCAATTTCTCTAAATCTTCTAGTTTTGATTTCAAACTTTCAATTTCTTTCCGCATCATCTCATTCTCATTTTCTTTCTCTGCGATCGTATCATTCAGTAATTCCCAATACGATGACGACGGAACTGTTTTTTTTTAACCACTCTATTTTATAAATTGACGGCACAGCAGACTCTTTCAATTTGAAATCCATCAGCTTGAAACAATCTATCTAAATGGGCCTAAAATTCATCTTGTTTTTACAAGTAAATTTGAATATTTACCTCATATATTGCGGATTTCTTGGAATTAATTTTCAATTCTGGACGTTTTATTGCATTCTTCCATGACATTATCTTTAAAGGATCATTCGGAAAATTGAATAACTTGAATCCCTCTTCTAATGAATTATCGCAATAATGTACGCAGAATGACATTGAAATAATTCAAAATGCTAAATTTTGGCGGCCATAAAATTTCAAAGTGACAGTGACAGAAATTCGAAATAATTAAAAAAGCGGTTGGGACGACTATGGTGTTTCGTCACATTGTCAGGTGGCAAACCAAATGAAACAAAATATCAAAAACCCCAACGACTGTCAGTTTGGTGTCCGGAGTCTTGTCTAAGGAATATACAGGGACTCTAGGTCAAACGAGACGTTCCCGAAATTTGCAGGCAGCTCTCCTACTATTAATAAAATATGATAGATTCCATATCGGTTATCATAGTCTCGATTCTCTAGGAAAACCACAAGAGGTCCATACCGAAAGATACGTGGAACCTGCTGCTGGACTTCGCACAGCAAATAGCAGAAGATATGAGCAACTACGACGAAGAGGGAGCTTGGCCCGTGCTGATCGACGATTTCGTCGAATGGGCCTCCAACAGGGCGAAGGAGAACCAGCCTCACAGCACCAGCCAGCTTGATTAACAGATCATTAGACATTGTATCGAATCGTATTAAATTTATTCACAGATGCGTGATAAGAGGTTGCTGGCATTTGAAATATTCGTAGAGGTTGCCTGGATCGGAAAATTTTCGCGGGAAAAGTGGTGAATCGTGATGTACGGGTGGCTGGAATTCGAGGCTCATCATTGGGATCTCGTGAACCGTAAGAGATACAGGGTCGGTTGAATTATGGCAAAGTTGCGCAATTTGATGCTGATCAAAATGCCGCCTCAAAAGTTTGGAAATTCCTAATATTCCCGAAGATATTTGAGAAAACCCGAATATCCATGATTTCGTTTTTATTTTTTTGTGACTTTATTTGGAGTAATATGTCTAAATGAATATCATATTAGCATTGCCACTTTTTCTGCTCTATCCAATGGCATCAATAGATTCATGATCCGACGTTTCGTCTTCGAGAAGCCATCATCAACTGTGTTTTTTTAAATGGTCGAAAAGTATTTTTCGTTACTAAAAATAAGGCTAATTATCCTACGTTTCAAACAAAAAAATCATTATCATTGTTATTTGATGATGGTTACGAGGAAATCTGATGACGGCGTTTTGTAGAGAAGGAAAAATGACTGCGAAAATGTCAAATTCATTTTGCTCCATTTCTCTGTCTATCTCTATTTTATTTTTCAATAAAAAGTAATTCTCCAAGTTTCTCTAAAAAATGATATTTTTCTGATTTTACTATAAGAGATAGACCAAAATGGATTTGACATTTTCATAGCTATTTTTCCTTCTCTACAAGTTGCCATCATCAGATTTTCGATCCGACGTTTCGTTTCCTCGTAACCATCATCAAATAACACAGATAATGATTTTACTGGTCCGAAACGTGAGATAATTGCAAGGCGTTATATTTCGTTGGATTCAGAATTGGACACAGAGTTTTTTAGGAACAAAAAAATTATTTTCGATCATTTCAAAAAACAAAGTTGATGATGGCTCCTCGAAGTCGAAACGTCGGAGCACAAATCTATGATTGCTATTGGATAGAGCAGAAAAAGTGACAATGCTAATATGAAACTCATTTCGATATATAACTTCAAATGAAGGCACAAAAAAATATAAACGAAATTGCGGATATTTGTTTTTTTTTCAAATATCTTCGGAAGTATTAGGAATTTCCAAACTTTTGAGGCATTTTGATAAGCATAAAATTGCGCAACTTTGCCCTGTATCTCTTACGGTTTAAGATACCCCATTGATGAGCCTCGAATTCTAGCCACCCTGTACACTGTACAGGCTGTCCCATTGTTGTCTCATTATCTTTACGGGATATCTCACTTATTTTCAGAGATAGAGATTTGTGGTTTTTGCGAACGTTGGAAGGTTGGCTAATTTTTTTGTGAAACTCAAGATATAGGGTGAAATCGAAAATGTTGCATTGTTGGATCCCCCTGTATCTCAGCTTGAAAGATAGCTGAGATACAGGGAGATAGGAGAAGTAAAAACTGTAACAGTTTTTCACTTCGATCATACAACAGGGGGTTTGTTGTTCGGAGTTTTTTCACGTGATATCAGCCAAAGTTATGTTTTTTTCAAATAGAACACGGTATATTTTTTCATATTTGAAACATTGATGCTTTGCGCTTTCCTTAAAATATACAGGGTGTCTGTAAAAGGTCTTTACAAAAACATACCACATATTCCCTAGACAAAATAAGTCAATTTAAGTAAAATTACCTTAGTACAAAGTTGCATCGTTTGGGCTCCAGAGGGCCTTGAAGTTACAATTTTCAAATCGTTTTTCCCATATAAATTTGAAACGGCATGTGCGATTTTGCTGAAATTTGGAATATTGATAGAATTTTATGTGGCAAAAAAAATGGTGTTTAAATTCGCGCCAAACTCGGTATCGTTGAATTCGTCGTGATAATCCCTAACCGATTATGGAATACAATACAGGGTGTCACATTTAAAAATCGAAAGTTGGGGTCGTTTCCGGTGAAACTGAAAGTGATAGAAGAAAAATTGTTTCACCAATCTGTTGCTGACAGAGTGTTTCACTATTCATCACTCTTAATTGACTAAAAGCTGTGTACCTAATTAGTAGGTGGCAATGAGAAAAAGCGAATGCAGAATGTTGTATAGTTGTTTCCAAAATGCAACATTTTCAATTTCGCCCTGTATCTCAAAAACGAAGCGGGCTATGAAAATGTTGTTTGTGGTATCGTGAGTTCCACAAAAAAGTAGCCAACGTTCGCGAAAACTGCGAATCTCTATCTTCAAAAATAATAGAGATATCCCGTAAGGACATCTAAAATAGGACATCCTGTACAATTGTATTAAAGAAAAAAGCGTATAAAAATATGGGCCACCCCATTATCTGGTAAACTAAAAAAGGTACAAAAACAATTGAGAATCGAGGTTGTTTCAACTATACAGAATGATTCATATGCCTGTGACATACGATTTTTCAAATGGAATATACTGAATTTCATTTCGTCCTTGGATAGAGCTCAGGAAAAAAAGTTCAATGATGCATGATAACACGGGTCTGAGATCACCCGTTTCGGACTTATCCATGATCTTCTTCAATAAATAGCCAAATTTCAAAGCCCTATAGGAACGTTGAGTATCAAGTTTTTCATGCGCAGTTTTTTCGTCAAGAATTATCAAACATGTTATCCTGATATTTTAGGAATTTTGAATTTGCCAAAAGTGATGATGTATTTTGCAAACCCATCATTGTCTCCCAAATGTTCAAATGGTGTGATTGATTGGTTGCTGAGAAATACAAAGAGGTGTGGAGAGTGAGTATAATTTTGCTTCATTTTCGTGTTGTATCAGATGTTTTCAATATCAACTGATCGTCAATTGGATCTTTACAACTCAACATTGGCGAAATTTGTTTCGGTGTATTTTATATTGTGTACAAAATAATATTGGCATGTTTCATTCGATGACCAAAAGTTACTATGAACAAAAGGGCTTCTTTAGTGAAGAATTGGTTGAAACTTGAAACCAAGTTATTAGTTCCCTGTCTTAAATTATCACTATTTGATTGTTATTCTGGCCAATGAAAATGGATTTCGGTCAATATCATTATTTTGATCGACTACAATCAGGAGGTTTTTAATTATTACATTGAAATTGGACACACCATAATATAATTATTATTATGTCTTGTTCAAAAAACTTTGAGGGATAAAATATTTGTCATACTCAAATGAAATTACCGTTGAAAGGACATCAAGTCATTATAACCTATTGTGAGAACAAGGAATGTGATGATAATAATATTGGTGACAATCGTAAATTGCGTAATAGGGTGGATAGAACTCAAAAATCGTTCATCACTCTCAAATTAGTTATGATAAATACTGCTCAGATAAAAATATACGTAAATGATGAGCTCCAAAGCTTCAATTGGTCATACGTTTAGGTAGCAAAATTCCAGGTTTGTATTTATAGTAGATACTTATCAATCGTGTAATTTTTTTTAAACTATGGATTGTCTAATTTATATTAATTAATGAAATAATTTTTATATCCTTGTAAAATCCTGGATTTTTGCCCACTATTTTGGAGACATTCTGTATGCCTGAAAATTATAGCAGGTATTTCAATTTTCCACTGAAGTGTAGGGAAATCGTCCCAGCTTAAATTTCTGAGTTTCTGACTATCTCGTTACTGACCCCTCAATCATCAAGGCCAAGTTTTACAAGATCCAATATTTTCTCATATCAGAAGAATCGTTATTTCTTCGAAATGTGACAGTTAGGCAACATTTTCGCATACTGGGAATTAAGGAATGGAATAAATTTAATATTGTTCGATCATTTTCGAAATAACCCATTTGAAACATTGTAAATAGTGCTATTTTCCAATTTTAATCTAAAAATTGTTTACAAAGACATAAAATATAATTTTCTGGTAATTGATCATCTGTGTTCATTTTCCTTTCTATATGATTATTACCTTATAGGTATGTTTTTTTTATACAATATTAGGAAGTCCAATAATAACGTATTTGTTTTAAGTTATACCATAATTTTTTTTAACCCAAATGGGTAGTCCTCGCCATTAAATATTCATCCAAAATAGTACCTTTGATATGTGTCATACTCTTTTACATCAGAAAATGCTATAGTATAGTCTACAAACTTTGGAAACAAAGTAATTTTCCAAGTTGTATATTTCCAAGCTACACAAAGTAGATGAAATTAACATATTCTCTTCACATCGTAAATACAAAGAAAGTAAGAAAAATATCTCAAAGAGCTGATACAGCTGCACGCAAGATGGCGAACTTGTTGTGTCCACAAATTCCACGGAAATCGTCCAGTGTCAAATCGTCAATGGCAATACCACCAAGTCCTTTATTTTTGACGTACTGAGCTTTGTTAGCTGCAGTCTCAGTGTCTTCATAGCCCACCCACAGTCCTCCTTTTTCGTCTTTGTCAGGGAGTCGATAAGCGTAAACACCTAAAAACAAATTATATCAATTTCTGATCTTTCCAACCCAGGCAACCAGATGACATTTCAGTGACGTCTTTTTACGTCAGTTGAATGACCAAAGTGACGTCAGGAGTTGACGTAGTACGACGTAACATATGACGTGAATAAGTCACAGCCCAATGACGTCATATTACCCACGTTTATTGACGTCATTCACTCACCAAACTGTGACGCCGGGCTGACGTAGAAATGACGTTCAAATTTGGTGATTTAGCAGCGCTACGCCTCAGTACGCATCTTCATCAGAATGAAATCATTTACTCGTATTTGTATAAAAAATTTTGTAGTTCGTGTCGGCGAGATGTAGGCAAACCAAAAATAGTTTGATAGCAATGAAAAGGACTTTGGCGAATTTAGCTTCACTTAGTTGAGTAACGTATATTCATCAATTATTTGTCACCCAACAAAAATCTGAATAGCAAATACCTGAAAAATTTTCTGAATGACGAAGCTCACCAAATTGGGACGTCACACCGACGTGATTTTTAGACGTCATAGATACGTCACTGCAACGTCATTAAAGTGACTGTTTCAATATAGGTACACCTATATTATCATTTGTATATATACATATATAGCTTGATTGGTTTCCAAGATATACAGGGTGTCAAAGTTTGAAAAAAGTTTTCTCTTACTTTTTGGGTAAGTATATATAATTCCAATAAAACTTGCATGTTGATTTTTTTTAACGAGTTATACTTCTATCGACGTTAGACACATATATGTAAAATCACCAAGACGTACAAGTTTCTATATATGTTTCTAAAATTAATGAAAAAACGATTTTTTCTAAAAACTTTTCGACACTGAAAATGCCTATCTTGTATATATACGTACGTCACAAAACTAACGGTTTCACAATGTAAGTATACATGGTTTAGATATGGTCTGGGGAACATGGACGTCGACAGGACGTCCCTGCAACGTCACGAGACTGACGTCTTATTTTACCCTTCTAAGTGGCGTTCACTCGACGTCGAGATGATGACGTTATTCTCACGTCATAGAAAGAACGTCATAGTGACGTCTCTGACGAAAAATCACCAATTCGTCATATGATTGCCTGGGAAGTCGTCGTCTTTAATTGAAAAATTACCAACCTCTCCTTTTGGTCGCATCTGGAACCTTCTTGAATTGCCCATCAATGGGCCTATTGCCCTGTGGGCCGGTCACTTTGGTGCATATCTCGGGGTAGCTCAGCAAACCGGCCTCTTTGGTCATCGGGCCAGCTTCTCCGGGTCCGCTTAGATCGGTGATGGGGAACTCGTCGACTTTGGATTCGCCTGCTAGGTGCCACGTACGTCCGTAGGTCGGGATGCCCAGGACCAGTTTGTTGGCGGGAGCACCGTTGCTCAGCCTGAAAATGTCGCAAGAAGGATCAGTATCAACTTTGGTATTTTCCAAGCAAATATAGTCATGTGACAGCTTATTTGAATGGTTTTTTGATTTCCTATTCAACTATGTGGAAACGTTTGAGTACTTGGAATGTTTTTGGATCAGTATCAATTATATGCTGTGTATCAACTTTGGTTATCACCAAGTGAAGATGGTCATGTGACAACTCATGTGAAAGGTCTTTCAATTTTCTATCGAACTACGTGAAGAAGTTCGAGTACTTTTTGGATCAGTATCAACTTTGGTATTTAAAAGCAAATATGGTCATGTGACAGCTCATTCGAAAGGTGTTTTGATTTCCTATTCAACTATGTGGCAACGTTTGAATGTTTTGGATCAGTATCAATTATATGTTGTGTATCAACTTTGGTTTTCACCAAGTCAAGATGGTCATGTGGCAACTCATGTGAAAGGTCTCCCAATTTTCTATTCAACTATGTGAAGAGTACTTTTTGGATCAGTATCAACTTTGGTATTTACCAAGCAAATACGGTCGTGTGACAACTCATGTGGAAGGTCTTTTGAATTTCTATTCAGCTCTGTGTGAAGAAGTTCTTGGAATGTTTTTGGATCAGTATCAACTGTATCTTGGATGGTCACGTGACAACTCACATAAATATGTTTTGATTTCCTGTTCAACTACGTGAGGATGTCGAGTACTTGAAGTATTTTTTAGATCAGTATCAACTATGTTATCTACCAAGCGAATGTGGTCATGTGACAACTCATATGGAAGGTCTTCCGGTTTTCTGTTCAACTATGTGAATATATTTGAGTACTTGAAATGTTTTTGGATCAGTATCAACTATGTTATGTACCAAGCGACGGTAGTCATGTGACAGCTCATATGATAGATCTCTTGATTCCGTAGTTGATTATGCAGAGTTTTTATTTCTGCCTATGTTATTAAAAATTTCGTTGCTGTAAATTATTTCTTACCAGTATTTGACCCATGCGTCGATATTTTCATCTCCTCTTCTGTCAATCAGCTCGTACAAGGGTGATGGGAAGTCAGCAAGTTCGTTATTACGTTGGGGTGTGTAAAAATCAAAAGCATGTAGTGCAATGAAATCCAAATGAGGGGCCAAAGATCTAGGATCATAGTAAACTGAAAATTATAATAACTCTGCATTAATTGTCGATATTTGAATTGAAACGATCAACTTACCTGTACTGTTGATGTTTGGTAACACAGTAAGAGAAAGTAGCAAATTGTCTGGTCTCAAAACAGATTTCAATTCTTTCACGAGCGCTGTGAATTGTTCTCTATGCTGTTGTGCGTTTTCATCAACTACATGGTCTCCAGTGAATGTGTGTTTCACTGAGCTCCAGAACTTCTCTAAAATGCATAGAAAGTAATTAGAAACACAGTTTCATTCATAGTCATGGTGGTTTTTACTCAATCCACTCTTGATTTTCTTCGGTTTAGTTTCTGGGAATTCCCATGCTAAATCTAATCCATCAAACCCATAACCTTTGAGTATTGTATGTGCCGAGTTGGCGAACGCCAATCTATGAGTTGAAGTTTCCACCTAAAAAACATCAGAAATTGGTTGTGATCAAGAAATGTTCAAACCATTGAATTGTTGAAAGAACGGCAATTCGAATGAGGGGTCACACGATAACATTCTCATTTCCACTGCCAGAGTTGATAGTTTCTCGCGAATATCAACTCGAAAGTTATGTACGACAAATAGGTCATGTGGCACCTCATTCGAATCGCTATTCAATTGTCTATCAGACTGTGGGTTTCAACTCACGATTTTCCTGTATTTCTCGTTTTTCTCGTCTCCCTCTCCAACTACATCTTCGTTTCCTCCAACAGAAAGCAGTACCTTCAACTTGGGGAATCTTCTCTTGAGATCGGTGACGTGTCTGTAGTTGTCCTTGATAACGTCGAATTGTTCATTAAGTGGTACTAGTTTCAGAGTGTTCTCGTCAATGGCAGCATAGCCATAGAGTAGATGGGTGCAGTATTGAAGAGCAGGGTCTAAGTTAGAGATTTCAAATTTTCCTTGACCTGCGAATTGAAAAAAAAAATATACTGTTACTTATCGGACCATGAAAGTATCTAATTTTCGAACTAGGCCAAAAAAGTGCAACTTTTTCAATGAAAAAAGACGTTCGGTGAATAAACAGCGTTGCCATCAACCGATTCATTAGCTTGTTTGCATAATATTTCAACATATTCATCGCTCTCAAGATTTATAACTGATTACTTATAACAATGTCATGGACATTTAATTTGTGGGATAAGCGTAAGGTATCAGCAAAAAAGCTGTAATTCGGAGAATTTTAGAGATAAATCAATGAATAAAAAACAAAATGCTCGCAAAAGAAGCCTCTTTCGTATAGGGTGTAAGCACTTTGTATACCATTACTCAATTAACACACAGGGTGAGTCAAAAATTAAGAATAAATCATGGTTCGAGTTATTCCACCACCATCAAGGAGGCTTCGAAAAAATTGACAAATGCATTACCTACCAACAAATGAAAAGAAAATAAAAATCGGGCTTTTTTTTAAGAAGATGGGTCAAATATCAAGTGCGTCACTTTTTTTGTAACTGAGTGTATTACTGCATATTCTAGCAAAAAATGGTTGCACCCAGGTAGCACATCATATTGGCTGGAACCCGATTTCATATTGGGCCGATATAGATATATCGTACATGTGAAAAATAATATAGGTCCAATATGAGAGTATATTGGACAAACAATATTGGAATGATAATATTGGTGGAATATTGGTTCAACCTGAGCTGAATATGGATTGTCAGCTACAATATTGGAGCAATATAGGTTGTAAAATTCGTTAACTATGTGTTGAAAAACATATCTATGAATGTTATATAATATTGTTTTACGAATGTCGATACAACAACATCGTATACATATTGTTCCCGACATTTACAACCAATATTGCAATTTGAACATTCTCCCCATGTCGATTCTGAAGCGGTTATGCAATATTGTATATTCAAGTTGAACGGCATATCGGTTGGATATTGTTTCAACAATATTTGAAACATTATATTCACCCATCTTGATTGATATCATTTTATCTATATCATGCGGAAGATATCGTATACAATTTGCTTCTTACATTTATAACCAATATCGCGATTTGAATATTGTCCCCATGTTGATTCTGAAGCGGTTGCGCAATATTGTATATTTGAGTTCGACGGCATATTGTTTGAATATTGTTTCAACAATATTCGAAATATCATATTCACCTATCTTGATCAATATCATTTTATCTATATCATGCGGAAGATATCGTATACATATTGTTTCCAACAATTATAACCAATATAGCAATTTGACCATCCTCCCCATGTCAATTCTGAAGCGGTTATGAAATATTGTATGTTCGAGTTCGACGGCATATTGGTAGAATATTGTTTCAACAATATTTGGAACATGGAATTTACCAATATTGACTGATATCATTCCAACTATATCGTGCGGAAGATATCGCACACATATTGTTTTCAACAACTATAACCAATATCGCAATTCAAACATTCTCCCCATGTCGATTCTGAAGCGGATATACAATATTGTGTAATCGGATTCGACGGCGAATTGGATGAATATTGTTTCAATTGATATCATGCGGAAAATATCGTATACATATTGTTTCCAACAATCATAACCAATATCGCAATTTGAACATTCTCCCCATGTCGATTCTGAGGGGTTTTCAATGATTCAAATATGAATATCAATAACGGCAATTCAATATATATCTTATATTGGACATAGAAGAGAAAAACAATATTGTAATTTCAAGTTCAATTGCATATCGGGTGAATAGTTTTCTAGCAATATTGAGAAAATAATATCATCTTATATTGGCTGATATGTGATTCACTATATCATGTGAGCAATATTGTTCACATATTGTTTTGAGAATACATATCGATATCGAAATTTCGATATTTATTCCATATTACGCACTCCCAAATCGATGTCGATAGATGGCGCTATAAATGATTGGTAACGTACTCCCATTGCCGATCAGACGAGAGAATATAAATATCAGCTCTAGACGATTGTAAAGTATTGTAACCTGGAGTAGGGGTTAACCGTGATCAACAAGGCGGCTTCCCCAGGGCAAGGCCCTCCCATTGCACTCCGGCTGGGCTGACCTTTGTGATTATTCCTGATGCGAATAACTCGCAAATATTGGTATGAAAATATTCCACCAATATTTTGAAGACAACATAGCTACATAATGATTTTCAATAATGTACCAATATTTCCAACCAATATTGCACCAGTATTGTCAAATGTTCACTGTCCATTTATCAGCAATATTGATATCACATTTTGTGACCAATATAACTTCACGAATATTCCAGCAATATTGGTATGAGAATATTCTACCAATATTTCTAAGACAACATACCTTCATGATGATTTTCAATGATTCACCGATATTTCCATATATTACACCAATATTGCCGAATGTTCACCATTAATTTCTCGCCAATATTGATATTACATTTTGTGTCCGATATAACTACGAATATTCAACCAATATTAAAATGGGAATATTCAACCCACATTTGGAAACTGATATTGTACCAATATCGCCGAATGTTCACATTTTTTTTCTCGCCAATATTACTTTCACAATATTTTGCCGATATTTTCGTAATATTGCACCGATATTGTCCCAATATATGTGTGCTACTTGGGCATTCATGTTATGTTTACTAATAAATTCCAGTTATATGCAGTATTATTCACGCATTTGTATTCTTTCCTATTTTTTAAAGATCATGCTGATAATTTTTTCAATAGCCTTTGCAACTGAACATGACAAATTAAGCTAAGTCAACGGTGATTTTGTCAGCAATTTTTTAATAAAGCAATTCGTTGTTCTAGATGAGAACATTGGTAATTGCCAATTTTCACTTGAGTTAACCTCTATGACATCATTGTCAACTTTAAATAACTCTAGGTAAACAAAAGAATCAACAAATTCTGCTTTGACCTCTAAAAAGAAAAGGTCTTCGAATTAAGTGATAATGTATTCCGAAAATTATATTGTTTTTGTGTCGATTAATAACAACATTAAGGATTAGATATCCATTATCTAAACGAAAACAGAATTTGGGAAGCAATAAACTCATGAAATATTATTGGAGCTATATTATTATGTATAGAAAAACAAAATATTGAGATTGAGATCATGGACTTCAATTATATAATGAAACCGCAGAAAAAATCGCTTGCGTTAAAATTCAAGGTATCAACAAGATTAAATCGCTCTGCCATGCAAATCAGGTTACTGGTTTCGCATATCAAGGTGTGATCGAATCACTGAGTCAACTTTTTAACAATGGAATATCGAAGAAACAAACAACAAAATGGTTCAAAAATATACCGCAGGGTTGTTACACGAGAATCCCTTATAAAAATTTCGCAAAAATTCATATGAATTCATCATTTTTTAAACTTTTATTTCCATGTCTTATTAACAGACCTTATATCTTATAGCAGGCCCATTTTATGTTCAATCGTATTTTTTTCCATTACTGTTCAGTTTAGAATAGGTACATGAAATACAAACAAAAATCAAAAATGTAATACAAAATAGGGAAAAAATGAAGGTCCGAGCATTTTTCAAAAAACTAACCGCATTCAGTTTCAATTGAATTTAGACCTTACCTACTTATTCTGGGTAGCATTGTAAATGTTTGATTTATTATCATGACATCGTTTTATTTTTGCAAATAGGGCATCGAGAATAAATTATTTTCTGCGATACAAACCGACTTGATTATAGAGGTGAGAATTAAAAACAAAAAACTTAAAATGCTTCGAGATAAATACCTTATCACATGGAATAACTCATCTGATTATCATTTTTATTCGAATTTATTCAAATTTACCTTCTCTTAGATGAGATTTAGCCTCATAATTGCAGACAACAAGCTTTTCTCCGGCTGCAAAAGCCGCCAGGGCCAGTAAAAGCGCAGTAAACAACACAGTACACATCGTCATGCTGGTTTGTCTAATACTGATCTGCTATTTCCAGTCACTTGGGTTTTGTTGAAATTGTTGATCTTCCCACCAACGATAATCAAGAAATAAAACAGTTGATTATGTATATAATTGTCGATGTACTCACTAGTATGGAAAATTATAAGAGTGGCTCATTTGTTTTGTTAAGTTGACATAAAATATTAACTATATTACAATTATAATTACCGATAATTTGAGACTGAAAATATCAGAAGCTGTGAGTTGTAACCATCACCAGAGATTATAAACTCCCCCATCTCTGCCATCGCAATACTTGCTATCTCTCTAATACTGTTCCCATATTTGGAGTGCAGCACCCAAACATACCCTGAAACTGTTGGATTCTGTCCAAAAAAGGTCGATTCGTCTCGTGGGTGATGCCTCGCTCACAAACTCACTCACTTCTCTGGAACACCGAAGAAAAGTTGGCGATCTGGCTCTATTTTATAGATATTTTCATGGACGATGCTCTTCTGAAATATCAACAATTGTTCCTCCCTTGGCAGTCCCCGCGAGATTAACCCGTCGATTTGAGGCTTCGGACCCCTTCGTGGTCACTGTGGAGACCTGCAGACCATCTCTTTCCAAAGACTCGTTCTTCCAACGAACAGTGAGGCTCTGGAACACATTGCCAAGGGAGGTGTTCCCCGAAGCATATAACCTCCAGAAATTTAAGAGGAACATCAATTCCTACTTTATTTCCCTTGGTTCTCACGATGTTCTCTGAACATTACGACAGGATATCCCTTTTCGCAACTTTTCCTAATGTTGTGATAATCTGAAATTATTAGTTGCAACGTGCATTTAACTTGAATTAAAACTACCCCTTAGTCCAATATCTTTATTCTAGCGATCCAGAGAGTTTCAAAAATAAATCCACAATTTTCATGCTGGATAAGCAACATACAACCTCAATTTGTCGTTCCTAAGTTGAATAGGTACCCTAAAATTGCCAGTTGTAAAGTGCCATTAAAAATTTGCAAACATCCCTAAAATGAACATCAGTTGCATCTTTCCAGATAGCACAAAGTCCATAGAACGTTCATATGATATTCTTCGAGAATAATCGAATATTCTCAGGATATCCTCACAATATTATACAAATTTTCTAGGGTCGTTCTATGAACATTCAGAATGGACTGTTTCAAATATTCTGAAAATATCCCTAGTATATTGAAGGAGAAGGAAGGAAATTTAAAAAAAGCTTGCTCCGGTGGAGAAGCGAAACTTTACGAACCTGAAACCTTACCACTTCGCCACGAACCTTATTGATAAATTAAATGAATAGCAAGATGACTACACTGAATTAGTGAGATAATCAGCAGTGAGGCTATAGAATAATAGGTTGTGTCAGGGTAAACATTATAAATATTGATACATGAATAGGGTTTTGCTACGATTCTAAATATTCTCAGAATATTCAAAATGGATATTCTTAGGATATTCAAAGAGAATATCCTGAGAATATGTCAATAATTGAATGCTCATAGAGTATTTTTTGCAGAATGAGAATATTCTATGATCATTCTGAGAGCATTCTATAGGAATATTTTAAAATAATTATATTTGGACAATTCATATAATATTCTGTGCTGTCTGGGTTATAATAATCGTCCTCCTCTTGTCAGTTTAATCTTAAAAATATTATTATTTATAGTGTTCTCAGTGGTAGTCATCTTGAATCACGAGAAACCTCCGTTTGTAAACACCAAATAGTAAGTACCACAGAGGGAAATAAAACGAACCAGTTTATAAAATACGATGATTTATTCAAATTTTCAAATTATAAAAACATGAATTGCCATACATCTCAACATTTAAAATCATTCACAGTCAACAAAATCTATTCATATCACAACCTATATCGCACGGATCTCAAAATCGGGTATTTATCTCCCGTGCACAATCCCCGGAAATCGTCCAACGTGACGTCGACAATGGCAACACCGCCTAGCCCTTTGGCCATAGCGTAGCTGGCTTTCTGTCCTGCCGTTTCGGCATCTTCGAAAGAAACCCACAGTCCTGGGGTATCACCCTTAGGCAGGCGGAAGGCGTAAGTTCCTGAAAAACAAAAAAAAAATCTGTTGAACACGTTGTCATGTGTGAGAATGCGCCATGATGGTCGCCAAATAAGCCGAAACAGTGGCGTAACTACATGGTGGCAAGTCGGCAAAATGCCACGGGCCACCAGCCCATATGTTCCCCGGTAAGAGGAGAATTCCAACTTCCAACTCCCAATATTTATTATTAAAACAAGCATTAAAATTTCAATGCACTTGTGAAACAGTTTCAGAACGAATGGTCAAAATCAAATTATAGTCCAATAAATGAAGGAGGAAAAAAAGGCAAAGTTAACGTTAATTACGCACTATTTTCATCTTCCGGTTGGAAGTAGCTTTTGGTGCCTCATCAAACATGAGACAAAGTTTGACTGGGAAACGCGTGCGATGGCGGAGAAAATGGCCCCAAAAGACCAGGAAAATAGGTTTTCAGCCAATATCTCCTAAAATATGGCAGTTAGAGATTTTCGGTTCAGATAAAAATTGAAGTTCAGTTGATTTTCTACAAAAAAGGTCCTTATCATTTTTCTCGAAAATCTGCCCGGTTTCGAGAAAAACGGCACGAAGCGCACCTCGAATAATGAGCTTCTGTGTTGTATGCCGGAGAGCACAGTCCGTGTATTTACACATCGGCGGGGGGACAAATTATTCAATAACTTTGTTAAAAATGCATATTTTCCCATGATTCAAAGTTCATGTGAAAGAGGAATTCTGCTGCTATCATACCCTGCGTGGCCGCATGGTTTGTAGCAGACGACCCGAGCGCCACGTAGAGCACACACGCGGCGAACGACGGAGGAACGAAACTAATAAATTATAGCGTGTGCATTCAGATATACTGGTTTTTTCCCGGGGTATCAAAGGTATGACTTATATACATCGATGGAAAGGTGGGAATTCCCCCGTTACACTAGTTAAGGTGTTGAAATGTTAGAAATGAAGAGCACGGAGAAAAAAAAAACGAAAATAAAGTGCGTTTTTTCCTTGACCCCGCTTTTTCTAATTTTATTGAAAAATGGACGACTTCGTCTAACAAAGTAATTGCACAATCGAAAAGTAGACCTTCTTAGCTTTCAAATGATGTATCATAGAAACCAATCGGATCATGTATAAATTTTTAATTGATGGTTGTTCACAAAATTTCCCCGCGCTCCAAAAACAGCAAAAAATTGGGATTCAATAAACAAAGATTAAATGAAAATTAAAAAAAAATAGGGTATATAAATTTCAGGGATGACGAAGGACCTTATGAGGACCCATAATCAAGAGAATTTTGAGTAAATTAGTGCAATACAAAAAAAATAGGAACAAATTCATGGCGAGGTCAAAATTGACCGGGAGCAGAAAGTTTTCCCGTTTTACAGTCAAACTTTGTCTCAAGTTTAATGAGGTACCAAAAGCTATACTTCCAACCGGAAGATGAAAATAGTGCGTAATTAATGTTAACTTTTTCCCTTTATTTATTGGACTATTAATAATTTCGGAGATATGCGTAGACAAACATTGATACTGATTTCCGATGAATTCCCGATGAATTTGCCACGAGCCTCGAACGGTATAGTTACGCCACTGAACCGAAACGTCGAGTCCAAAATCTGATGACGACATTTTGGGAAAATAGCAAAATAGCTCCACCTTTTCTCTCTAGTACTATGATTATCAGATATAACAATGAAGTTGGCAATGCATAAAATTTGAATAACCGATATAAGACATGTAACTTTTAAAAGAAAGAGGAAATTTCATTGAAAAACTCGATACCCTAAAACGAATATATAACGTTGATTTGATGGACAATATTATTTTTGAAGAACTCCGTAAAAAAGTATTCCAAGAAGCGTATCATACTATCATAAACAATATTAAATCAAATTATAGAACTTCAACTCGGAGAGTTGCTTGAAGAACAAACAAAACGTTGAGAAGGTTTATCAAAAATAAGGAATAAATATAAATAAAATATAAATTCGAAAAATCAAGAATGTGTGAACCGAATCTGAATCACTTGAAAAAGAATAATGAAATTTTGAGAGTGCAAATAACATCTCATTTGGCACTCTCCGATACAATTAAACATTCTGAATTACTTCCGGTTTCAACAGAAATGACCTCATTTTCGATTTTCACATGTGACACCCTGTATATTTTCACATTTTTTGATTTGGGAGATAATTTTACAGAAAGGCATCATCTCTCTTTCAGAATTTATTTTAATTGTATCCATTTTGTGTTTAGATTATCAATCGGATATTGACAAATGTGGTATCAATTAATTAGTTGAAGATTAGGTACTCTTCCAAAAAAAATACCTGGCCCACCATCATTCCATTTAAAAAAGCAAAGTTATTCTAGAAAAATCATTTATGATAACTCGGAGAGCCGCTTAGAACAAGATAGTTGTGGAATTGTATGATTAGAAATTTTCCCTTGAAATAGAACTGAAAAAATAACAATCTATGGCAGTGACAGCCTCCTGAATCCGAAAAATATGTAAATATACATTTGAAAATCAAAAGTTGAGGTAATTTCCGGCGACACCGGAAGTAACTTGAAAAGCATAATCATATCAGTGAATGCAAAATATGATGATATTCAAAATTTAATCTCGAACGATTCAAAAGTTAGAGAGCCGGTTCGGTATATTGGTCAGATAAAACGTGTGATTTCCGCATTCATGAACATTATATGAGTTCTTGAAAAAAGTATACGAATTCAACATATAATGCTAAACAAATATTAGAAGAAAATCATAATTTTCATGGTAATATCTAAATTTCACATGTAGAAAATTTACATAACCATCAACTAGACCGCAACAATTCACTGTTTGTCGTAATTTTCCAGTTAATAACTTCAAATTTCGTGAAAGTAATCACTGCAAGTTATTGTTTGCAAAATTGACAGATCGGAAATTCTGTTACCATCATTTGCAGTAGGTTATTCGAAATTTCTCGACTTCTATAACTTGCAGTAATTCAAAAATAACTTGTCATACTAGGTTATTCGAAGTTTTGCCACTTCGAATTTGAGGGATTTCTGGCAAATCGCTCCAAATTATAGATTGCAAAATTACCTATAACATGCAATTACCTACCTAATTTAAGCTATAAATTATAAAAATCTGCTAGTTGTGGATTGAAGAATAGATACCTATCAAATCTATTTCAGAGTTTTATGCATTACCAAAAATTTTTTTCATCATTTCAAACTGAAACCCTGAGACAAGGCAGCACAAGGATATAGAAGATGAATATGTTTCGATCACTTATCTTTCAAAGCTAGATGATTTGCATGGTCTACTCAAACATATATTCATATTCAAAAGAGTTTACACTAAATAGTCTGTTTAGAAGGTTCAAGACAATACCTACCAAAACGTTTAGTAACATCGCTATCGGTGTTCCAATATTCTTCTGCGGAAATTTTCCAAAAAGAAAAAATAATGTTACTCGCAAACACACAAAACCGTTCAAAACTCCTTACCGAATCTCTTCGTGGGGTCATTGACCTTCCTGAGTTTCCCCAAATACCCGGCTTTGACTTCCGTCGGAGTGGCGATTTTCGTGCACACTTCGTTGTAGCTAAGAAGTCCGGGTTGTCCGGTGTAGGGACCCGCTTCTCCGGGACCGTCTATGGGTAGGGGCGGGACACCTGTCAGGCCAGAATCGTCGGTCATCTTCCAAGTACGGGCGAAGGTCGGGATACCGTAGATGATTTTGTTGTTGGGCATGCCGTTTTGCAACCTATGAAACATATTGTGCTAGATATATTTGGAAGTGGGTAAGAGGGTAATTCTGCGCAGTGTCAGGGTAATTCCGCGCAGCGTGTGGGTAATTCAGCGCACCAAGTAATTCCAGGCAGCGAGTAATTGCGCTCATAAAATTCTCACTACCTCATATTATCGAAGAAATCGGATATTTCCAAATTTGAAATGGATTATCCAAGTTTCAATTTTTTGCTTTCGACTACAAGGTTGGTTGCTAAAGAGTGAAGTTAGCGAGAATATGCGGTGATTCCGCGTACCGTAAAGGTAATTCTGCGCAGTGAATGATTCCACGCAGCAAGTAATTCGGCGCATATCATTTTCGTTACTTTATGAATGAAAAAATCGAATCGCATATCCCCTAATTAAAAGGTTTTACATTATTATAAAACATTGTTTGTAGATTTCCAAAAATAATGAAAAAAGTCATGGAATACTGTTATGATAAAGTTTTAGGTATTTTGTAGAATACCTTTCCAAAAAAGAAAGGTTTTTCTCAAGAACTAGTAGACAATTTGTTTTCATAGGTTTGTATTAACCTTGTTGACTAATCAGATCAACTCGCATTTGTATGATGAATTATTATTGCATTATTATCTGAATTGAAAAATTGATTAGAAAAATTCCTTAGCGTGATATTAGCTGAATAATCAACCAATAATAACAAAACCGGCTTCAATCTTCAATTTATCTTGTTTATGCAGTCAAATCATGTCATAAGGTGATAAGGTTAACGAACATGTGGAATATTATCGAAAATTCCTGATATAATTTATATTCGGAAAATAAATTTATCTCACAACAGTATTTTTTCGAAACCTGTTGAAAGTAAACAAACCATAAAGTAATGTTCCTATACTCACCAATATCTGACTTGGAAGTCCCCATTTTCATAGTTTTTTCTGTCAATGAGTTCATAGAGAGGCGCGGTATAATCAGCCTCTTTAGGATTACGTTCGGGAGTATAAACATCAAAGTTTTCCAGTACGACATAATCGAGATGAGGAGCCAGCTGATGAGGATCATAATACACTAAAAACCACAGCCATATCAACAATTCAACTCGAATAATTCAAATAGCAAAGTAGGTGTTGCGACCCCTCGTTTCAAAGCTATTCGAATGTTCTATCAAACTGATATATTTACCTGAACTGTTGACATTCGGTAAAACAGTGAGAGTGAGCAGAAGACCGTCATGTCTGAAACTGTTCCTGAATTCTCTGACGAATGCCGTGAATTGTTCTTTATGCGCCTCCGTTTTATCGTCCAGCACGTATTCACCAGCTACGGTAGTTGTCACCGAATGCCACCAACCGGCTGAAAAAATAAGTTTCAACTCTATATCAACTCTGCCATTTTATTTGCGAAGTGGGTCATGTGACACCTCAAATGAAATGTTTTTTCATGCACTTCATGGTGATCTGGGTTTTGATTTGTTTCCTTGAAACGTTTGGAGAAAAATATAATATTGTTTGTGTATGAGGGATTTTTATTTGCTTGACCTTGAGGGTTAGTGAAGCACACCAACTCAACTAATTTCTGTTAGAGATGGGGTCATGTGACACCTTATTTGAAACGTCTTTTCATGTACTTTACGTTAGTCGTGGTATTTTTGAGATTTCTTCTAGTGTATTGTGAGAAAAATTGAAAAATGTGTTACATACATATTTTACTTCGGATTTTCTTTGGTTTATTTTCTGGAAATTCCCACGCCAAGTCCAATCCATCGAATGCGTAGTTTTTCACGAGATCTTTTGCAGAATTAATGAATGTCAAACGGCTGTCTACTGTCTCAATCTAAAAGTATGTATTTCTATAGACTATACAGTTGTGATGAACCAAATATATTTACTTACTACAGTCCTGTAGGGCATATTTCTATCTTTAACTTCTGTCCCACTAGTATCCCTTCCACCTCCTACTGAAAGGAGAACTCTTAGTCCTGGAAATCTCCTTTTCAAATCGGAAATTTGCCTGTAGTTATTCTGGTTGACGTCCAGTTTCTCGTCTAGGGGTTGGATTTTATTATTTGCGGGGTTGATACCCGCATATCCGTAGACTAAGTGGGAGCAAAATTGCAGGGCCGGTTCCAGAAAATTGATATCGAATTTTCCCTGACCTAGAAAAAATGTCATATTTTTCACATAATTGATGTGGTTCGTCATAAATCAGGAATGTTCTTTAACTTCTCCAGAGTTCTCCCAACTTTTCGAATCACAATCAGAAAGACAGAGTTACATATAAACATTTTTTCACTAGGCTTTTCAGAGTTCACCTCATTTTTCAAAATAATTAGGTGAAGGGGAATTACTGTTATATAAATATTGTTAATGCTTGCCTGGTAGTTTTGCCATTCAAATCATTATAATGTGTGACAAATGTGTATTCTTATTCTCAACTGGTTTTCCTTGAAGAGTTTATTTTAAGGTTTCATGACCGTTCATAGCCTTACAAATAAATTATAATGGACAATGGAAATTTAACAATAAAAGAGGTAATGATTTATGTGCAGGGTAATTCACTATAGCTTTCCATGGCCCGAAATATATTTGTAGAGTTTTAGAATTCCATTTATTTTTTGGTCACGTGACATAAGAAAGGAGGTGATTTTCTTTCAAATGGATATACGTACCCAGAAAATGCAAAATTGATAGTTTTTAGAAAAAAATGATTGTGCTTATTTGAAAAAAACTTAGAGAAAACCAGATTCCTATTTCCATATTGAAACTTTTCGTATTTTTCGTTTTCCGAACAAATCAATTTTCGACGATGAAAACGGTGAACGAGATGAACATGAATTTTAAAACTATATACAGGGTGATACCTTTGGAAGAATCTCCCTCATTATGCATTTGCAACTTTTTTATTCAACTATTTTTTGTAGCTCTTTCTTGAAAATAGTCAAGGAGCAGGGGCAAAAATATTTCATTTGACCATAGCAAATGTAAAATCTTGAGATTTACACAAAATTCATAGTCACACGACATATTTTTCATTGTACCAGTATTCCACCTGACGAAGCTACTGTTTTGTTTTGTGGAAATCTCATCGTTTGTGGTATTTTTACAAGGGCAAAAATATGTTAAAAATACAGTTGGTACTCTATTCGAATCAAAATAATATTTAATAAATTCAGAATGAATAATGAAAATGAATTATATACGTATTCGCAAGATCATAGGCGGCCGATTATTTGAATTTTTGGCGAACACGCATTTTTACTTTCACCAAATATTATTACTAGGTAGTAAAACAGTTTCAGAAGTAGTGAAGCGAGTTTTTTCCTCAATGCCCCTAAATATTTCAGTTGCCTCATCTCCCAATGTTTTTACAACAAAATATGGAAACAACGCTTCTCAATATATTCCGTACCAAATTTCAAAATATATTGAATGTATTCTCTTAAACTAAAATTGATCTGAATATACTGAGCGTAGACTGCCGAAAATCAAAAATCCTTGTGTCAATTTAATAAGGGTAAGGTTAAATGAATATTTTATTTAAAAAAAATTGAATCTCTCAACTTACCATTTCTGTGATTGGCTCTGCTGTCATAGTAACAAACGACTTTGCTGTCTGCTTTCGCATAGTAGGCATAGGCGAGGATAAAAAACAAAACCACTCTCATAGTGGTCATAGTTACTACGATAATCAGACTCGAACTGGCAGAGAAATCTGTGCACTGGGTGTCTCGGATTTCTTAGCCTTCGTCGCGCATGACATCCAGAGCACTGTGGAGAGGCGACTCTGTTTTTGTTCGTGGTTTCAATTCGTAGAAAAAATTGGTTTAAGAGCTACCTATTGTTATTCATTGTTTTCTAAGGTGTTGTCTCCTGCTGTTACGAAAGAAATAATGGCCAATGTAAAGATATATTCCTGAAATTTAAATTGAATTACCATATATTATCACTTCACACCAGACTCTGCGAATTCAAATATCTCATTAATCTTCAATAATAGAAATGGTAATAATAAAAAACAGAAAAAATATTGAATCATTCAATTGTCAATAGATATACACCACTCCTTATTTTATTTGAATAAATTGCGATATCTGAAATATTATTTTGGACAGACTATACCTATATAGGTGTGATTTGTGGCCATCAGTTTAGAAATCGAATCTGCATATCAAATATCACTTTAAATAGCTCAACCTGGATCATAAATCTTTTTGAATCAAATTCTGACAAAAAGGCAAGATAAAAACATCTAATATTATATATTTTTTTTGTATGAGAAGTGTATGGGTATTATTTATTGCTTTTCATAGTAAATGAACCTCGTTTACCGATTTTTTTACGTAGAGGTCATCTAAAAGATATGTGTGTTATGAATCATTTGAGACAAGCAATTTGCATATTAGAATAGCGAATAACCATAATTTTTTATGATTCGTCATTTTGTTATTATTCAATTGTGATACTTTTCCTTATTATCAACTTTGCAATAAAAGTATACCAAGAAATTTCATGACGTATAGGTACTACTAATAGTTGCTTATTAGTTCATGAAATTTGATACACATTTTAAAAATGCTAAACCATCAGATTTTTGCAATGTATGATAAAACAATTGATACTTAACCTATATACCGGGTGACTACCAGATTACTTGTCATTCTCTCATAAAATAAAGTGAGTATTTTTATCCCGGATATATATCACATATACAGGATGTCCCGTAAAGACCACGTCAAGCCTAGGGAGAATGTAGATAAAAATATAACTCACCTGCATATGACAAAATTCCCATTATAAAAGTCTTACCGTTTTACGTTAATAAAATCATTCTTCAGCAATATTTACTGAAAAAATGAACCAAAAAGGTGTTAAATTGTACCAACCGTACAGACAAAACTATTGAAAGGGACAAAAATTCAATATTTTCAAAAAAAATAACTCGAAAACGGTATTTGAATAATAAATAACTATTTTTCTGTGACGGGAAAAAAATTTGGCATTTCATCTCTGTTGGCAGGTGTATCAGATTTTAGCCCACGATTTTTTGTCTCCCTTCGCTACACGTCGGGCGAACAACACAACCTGGAGCTAAAATCTACAACTCTTTTCCTTGTATAATAAATGACTATTTTTGTTGACGGGAATACAGAAAGCACTATCAAACCTTTATATTAGAGACAGAGATAGTTGCTTGAAAACTCAAAAACTGTATCTGAAAAAACAATTTAGAAAACGACAGGCTGGCTTGAGGGTTTTCCGGTATAGAGCTTCAGTATGAGAACAAAATCACAAAAAGTTCTAAATATCTTCACTTCAACTGCACTCTTTCGCAGTCTAGATACACCCAGGTGATCAATAGATCCATCAAAGTTCAAAAGACCGAGATTGCCAATAAACCAGAGAAAATTTTAACATAATGACCAAATTTACTCTTCTCAAGTTTTTGATATTATTCACTATGTTCCTGCTATAAACAAATGTTGTTTCTTGGGAATAATAAAGTTGACTGATTGATTGATTGATTTGTTCCGTTCGATCTTATTTGGGGCAGAAGGGCAGTTCGCATCAAACTTCAATACCGTTTTTCATTTTGTTTTTGATTTTTTTTTTTTTTTGTTTCATGATAGATATCAGGATAAGAGGGACTCTTCCCTGGTCTGAATCAAATAAAAGAAAGATCCAATAATACGATTTCATTAAAATCTCTCGTTTAATTGTTACCTATTGAATTTTATATTACCATCATATATCTATTTACAGGGTGACCATGCAACGAGGTTTTTGCAGTTTAGCAAAATATCAAATTTGACAGGATGTCGCATATGATCTGCTCGAAAATTGTATTTATCAACGGCTTGAATTATTTTTGAAGCAGAAACAGGGTAAAAAAAAGAGGTTTTGATGCGACTTTTTGAAAAATGTGATATAACGTCGTACGGGAATGCATCACAAAAGTGCCTTTTCGTAATCCCTTGGTCCTAGGTGCCTTGCTGTACGTTTTTTTAATGTTTTACCTGACAAATTTACAGAATTTACTTTCTTCTTGTAAATTGTATAATTGGCTTGTCCGTTAATAAATAAATAAATAAATAAAATTCATTGGAAATCTCAAGAAATTTTTACTGAAAAAAGCATTTTTCTACAAACGTCAAAAAATGACAAGGTTCGCGCATTGATAACAAATTGCGAAGTGACACTTTTTTTCAGTTTCCTACGTTACCATGATACCTTGCACAAAACAATGCGCGAAGTAAAACAGTGCGCGAAAAACCTACTTCGCGCATTGTTATGTAGAATATATGAGATATTTATATTTCAACTTTATGGTCCTCAATCGAGCAAACATCCACGAAATCATTCATTTCTGAATGTTCAACAATAACTTTGTTTTATATCTTGGAGCGCACGAAAGGAAATTCTTATTATATGTTCGTGGAACATCGTGTGTACCTAGGGAGGGTAGGGGGAGGCCTTCTAAGCCAGTTCAACACTATTTTTTATATCAAACTGAACATATTGTTTCTTTAGAACTATATTTTTTGACGTTCGTAGAAAAAATGTTGTTTGCAACTCGAGCGCGAAATACTTTGGTCATCTCGACTATTTTTTCAACTCGGCTACGCCTCGTTAAAAAAATCAGATCTCGATCACCAAAGTTGCATTTCGCACTCTAGATACAAAAATAACTATTTATTCGTTTGATGAGTTTTTGAACTATCATTTTGTGTCCTTAAAATTCACTTGTTTGATGTTAAATCTGTAGTTTTCAAGACATTTTATACGAAATTATTTTTTTAATGGAGAAGTCACTCTCCCTCTATGTATATGACATTTGAACCTGTGTAAATACATTCGTTGTATAATAACACTGATAAACGATTGAGTATTAATTGAGGTACGTGGTTTGTTCTTTCCTCGGAATCAAAATGTAATCTTTCAACGGGATTACGAAAAGTCCTGTATAAAAGAGGAAACATCTCTACTCAAATCAGTCATTCCATATAAATGACACGTTTTGGGTTAAGTCCCAATATGTCTTCCTGACAGTTCCGAATATCGCAAAATTCCATATCGAAAATGAGCTATGGTCTCGGATCACACGAATCTACCATTTTTTCCGAAATACGAGACCGACCGTTTGTTCGATGACAAATTATCTGTAACATGGTTTGAGACGAATTTTTCACAATCCCACTACAACGTCCACAACATCAGCAGGGGAAGCAATGCTTGCACACTAATCGCCATCCTTGTGGCAGCAAAATGTAATAAGTACAAAATATTGGTAAGTGATTCTTTCATTTTAAACAAGAGGCGATCTTAATATAGGTATTGGTAATCAACACGTAGTTATATAAAAATACGTGACTGCTGTGCCGTTAGAAATTGTAGTAGGAGATAGACTGAATATCAAGAAAATTCTCACATAGACACGCCCATTGGAACTCATAAACACCTACAAACATACAAGTACCTACTGGTAAACACACATAAACACCCGGAAAGACAAGGTGACTGGGAAAGGAACCCAGCAAGCACAAAAACATCTCAGAGATGTTAAAAGTACGAGATTTCGAGACATTGAACCTAATAGAACTATTATAGAACAGCCAATGTCCGTCGCAGGCGGCAATTATCGAGATGTCCTTGATATGTCACAAAACTACCTTCTCCCTAGTTCTTTTTAAAGCCTTTTCATGGACACAACAGAACATTTTCAACGCGTCTTGCGCACATAAAATCGCTGTAAAAAAACCATTTTGGAGGTACTTTTCTGAAGCCTTTTTTCAAAATGAACTTTTGCATTAGGATTCCATTTCCCTTGAATGAAAAAATGCATTAAAAATAGATTGAACATAAAAATATTTTCTTGATATGAAATTACCTTCTTGATCGGTTTCTGAGTAGTGCTTACTACACACAGACATATAATTGGAAATAGGTTTCCCAATTTTTGAAATGTTCTCCACAATGCATAATTTTGCAACTGCGGAGAAGCTGTGTATTGATAAATTCGTACGTTTATTTATTGATTACTCTGAGGCACCGAACAACACATCTTGCATCTGATGGTCATTATTACAAACTAAATAAGTCTTCTAACACAATAAACTTCACCAAATTCCTTTCTTTTCGTTAGCAGCGTGATGTAAGCGTGACACGCTGCAAACGTGAATGCCAATTGCGAACAAGAAGAACAAAATCGAAAACAAATCAGAATTCATCGTATTGTCGTAAGCATGAGACCTATCATCATCCAGTGTTCTTAAGATGGAAGCAATTTTATTCGTATGTGCATGAATTCCTCAGTCAACACCTTTAGACACATGAATACCCACAAACAACCCGTGAACACATAGATACTCGTAAACACTCGTGAACAGTTTCTCACACAATAAAGTGCCAGATAGACACATACTGGTAGTGACTTCTTTTTATGAATGAATGGCAGATCTGTAAATCATTATATATATATAGTGTGTCGCAATAATTGATAAGATTTCTAGGGGTTTGGAGGGAAGAACGTCTGTTGAAAAATATTTGCTCACGTTTTTTAGATAAACAAACCAGAAAATTGTTTGACCGTTAAATTGGTCCAGGTGCTAGCCTTGAGCATGCTCGAGGGAAATCAGATTCACGAAAATCTGAAGCTCAATAATAAACTGAAGCATATCAACTTGAATGTCCCAGAGGCAATATCGTTTGCTGACAAAGATACCAAAGGAATAGTAGAATGGGTAAGGATCAAATAAAAGTGGTCAGTTGAATGAGAATGATGGCACTTATTATTCCATGTTGTCTCATTTGATTTCTAGCCTTACATGTATTTTTTTTATTTTAGAAAAATGAAGTTTTTATGGAACCTCTGGCAAAATCTTTGTATACCAACATAAGAATACATTGGAGAAACTGGGTGAAATCCCAAATGAACAATGAACCTAGTGATTTGTATCTTGTTTTGGTGGCTGATGCTAGGACAGTTTTGTTTATTTTTCAAATACGAAGCGAGACTGTGAGTAAATACGTATTTTGACAATTATGCTACCACACTCAGTAGGATTGAAGAAAAAATAAACTAACTGTCTCTATAGTCTATAGTATCTTTGGATACCGATTATATAACAATATGTTCTTTGAACCTCGTGCTTATGCTTCAGCGTGTTTACCCAATACATTCCATGGTACAGCCATTACAATTCATTCCATAGTAATTGATCTTGTTTTGGTGGCTGACGCTAGGAAAGTTTTGTTATTTTTCAAACATGAAGCGAGACTATGAGTGAATACGTATTTTGACAATTATGCTACCACGCACTCAGTAGGATTGAAGAAAAAATAAAGACTGTCCCTATAGTATCTTTGGATACCGGTTATATCTGAAGTGAACAATATGTTCTTTGAATCTCGTGCTTATGCTTCAGCGTGTTTGCCCAATACATTCCATGTTACAGCCATTGCAATTCATTCCATAGTAATTGATCTTGTTTTGGTGGCTGACCATAGAACACTTTTGTTTATTCCTCAAATACGAACCGAGACTGTGGGTAAATACGTATTGTAAAAATCATGTTACCATAGTAGGATTGAAGAAAAAATGAAGACTAACTGACTCTATAGTATCTTTGGATACCGATTATATCTCAAGTGAACAATATGTTCTTTGATTCTCGTGCTTATGTTTCATCGTGTTTGCCCAATATATTCCATGTTACAGCCATTACAAGTCATTCCATAGTAACAAATAAGTCATTCCATAGTAATTGTTGTAACATGAAATATATTGGGCAATGACGTCAAAGCATAGGTACAAGATTCAAAGAACATTCTAGTCACCCTGGACAATATCTCGAAAAAGCTATAATCTCTCAGTTCTACTTATGATGGCAACATATTTGCCGGAATACGCATTTCTGACTCTTATTTTGATATTAATTATTTGTTCTTTTTTACTTATTACAATAAATGTTTGTATTTTTCTTGGATTTTCAGATTACCCTGGTAGATTCACATCAACATAGTGCTGAAAAGGGGGCCTTCATAGCTATAGCTCACTGTTCGATATTAAAATACCTTTGTGAATGGTATACCAAAGTTTTGTTCAAATTCAACAACTCTGTGCCACAACTCTACGAATTATCGTTCCTGTATTTCAAAAAATCATAAATTACAAAAATTTCACGAATAATCGGCTGTTTATTGTTGTTCTTTTATCGCGTCCACTCAGTATTGGAAAAATCCGCTACTATGCGAATCGAGTGAAATCCTCAGTACATTTTATATATGAATTAAATACATGATGTCTCATTTCTTAATGAGACAATTTTTCCCTAGTGATAATTTAATATTGTTAAATATTTATTGATCTATGTACATTTGTTTTTTTTTTACTTACTACAAGGTTCACTTCGTAAGGTTTTTCCCAGTTTATTCAAAATACCTATCTGTATCTTCCAATGTATATTTTGTAAACGTTCTTGAATAAACTTATATTATGATTATTATTATAATGTATACTTTGCCTGATGAAAAATGCAGAAAATTCATGATTTTTTCTGGTGCAAAGAGAAGGAAATATCTCTATTGTATATCATATAAAGTTTCATTCAGATTCCTCAAGCCAAATTTGTAGGCTATACAGCCTTTTTCATGGAAAAATGAAAAGATATATTTCAATTTTTTCGATTACCGATTGCATAATAGGAACCCAATACCAAAATTATTATTGAAATAAAAACCACAATTTTTTCAAAAATTCTTATATTCAAAATACAATATCACAGCTATTTACATATCATCTGACAAAATACATAAACTCTGCGATGCAAAATAAATATATCAAAAAACTGAACAAAACAAATTATTTAGAAAAAAATATTCCCAGCGAACTTCAATGGCCTCTACCCCCTCCTCTTCCTCTTCCCCCTCCTCTACCCCTTCCCCCTCCTCTACCCCTTCCCCCACCTCTTGACCCCCCTCTACTTGGTCCAAAACTACCGAAAGTAGACGACTGGTTATTTCCTTTATGTCCACCTTTCTTGCCCTAAAATTTCAAAATACACATTTAAATAAACATTTTAGTTATTTATTGTGGCTGAAAACTGTTTTTCTTTCCATCTCATTTTCAAATTCTATAGTTTTTATGTTTGAATTTTTCTAGATTAAATATAAAGGATCTTTCAACAAGGACCGGTCGATGTTGACAGTGTGTGACGGCCATGTTTTTTTGGAGCCATCTGTCAAATCTGTTGTATTCTATTCAGTCACTGATGCCGAATTACCATGGCAAGTTACACGATCGAGCAGCATGTCCAAATGATTGAACTTTATTATCAAAATGGTGACCCTTCAATTTCGACTCTCCAAAGTTTGGTAGCCAAATTCGAGACAACCGGTTCGGTAAACAAACAACCAACGCCCTTACGTCAAAGGAACGCCAGATCTTGCGCCAGATCGGCCGATAATATCGACGCTGTCCGTCAGAGTGTGCACGAGGCAGTCGATTTCTCGCCGTGCACAAGAACTAGGCTTTCGCAGACTTCAACTTGGAGAATTTCGCGCCGGGACTTGGGCCTTTACCCGTACAAGATCCAACTGACCCAGCAGCTCAAAGTTAATGACCATAGGCAACGCCGTTTGTTCGCTCAGTGGGCTTCGGAACGTTTGGAAGACGACCCCGATTTTGGCGACGAGGCCCATTTTTGGATGAATGGTTTTGTTAATAAGCAAAATTGCCGTATATGGGATGAACACAACCCACAGGAGGTTCGCTAGGTGGCAATGCATGCACAAAGAGTTACTGTTTGGTGTGGATTTTGGCCCGGCGGCGTCATTGGTCCGTACTTCTTTGAAAATGACATTGGCGAGGCAATCACCGTCAATGGCGAGCGCTACAGATCAATGATTAGCAATTTCTTTAGGCCTGAATTGAACGATATGGACGTGGACGAATTGTGGTTCCAACAAGACGGCGCAACGTGCCACACAGCGAACGGTACAATGGACATTCTGCACGAACGGTTTGAGGGTAGGGTTATCTTTCGCAGAGAGAACGTGCGATTTGACTTCACTAGACTTTTTCTTGTGGGGTTTTCTGAATTCGCATAACATAACATAACGCAAGCCATTGCTCAGATTCAGCCAGATTTATGCAGCAGAGTCATTGAAAATTGGACCTCTCGGATCCGTGCCACCATTCGAAGCCGCGGCGGACATTTGAACGATGTCATATTCCATAAATAATGGCATAAATGGGCCATTCAAATAAAATAAAAAAATCGTTAATATCTCACACACAGCTTGTTTTATTCAATTACAACATCGACCGGTCCTTGTTGAAAGACCCGTTAGTATTCTACTCGCGCATAATGACACACTTACTAAATATCATCAAATTTCATCACCAGTTATAAAACTTCCGTCAGGCTTGAAAAGTGTTTTGACTAGTTCTAAAGATATCAAACTTCATTTGTCTGAAAAAACCTGTACTCATCAATTATTGAATAATGTTTTTTACCTTCGACCTGAAAGTGCTCTTGATTTCCTGGGGCTTTGGGGCCCCCCCAGCACCGCCTTGAAACTGCCTGTAATCCACGGAGGCATAATCATAAGTGCTTATATCCTCGTTCGCATTCCCTCCATTTTGCTTCTTGTTGCCCCCTCTCTTCATCTGCTTGTTTTTCTGCTTCGATTTCTTCTCTTTTCTATTGCCCCCATTGGCACCGTCGTTATCCTGATTCTGTTCTTGGAAAGACACTCTTGAATTGTCTTCTAAAACCGACTCGTCTACCACTACAATCTCCTGCGTTGCCAAATTGTTCTGAGGTTTGTTCCTCCAAAACTCCTTTTTATTTTTTTCTTTCCTCTTTTTTTTAGGACTGGTGCTGGCGAGATTATCCCCCGATTTTCGTTTTGTCGACTTTTGATTAGTTATTTCACTAGATGTGACGTCAGGTAAGGTCTTATTAGCATCTTCAGAAGAGGACGGTTTTTCTTCTGGCAAAGAATCAACCCTTTTTCTTTTTTTGGCGCCACCCATGTGGATGAGAGGTTGCTCCAGGTTATCTAACAAGACAGGAGGCGTTGATTTTTTGACCAGATGGAGGAAATGTTCGCGAATCTGAAAAAAGGAGTCCTCATTGTACAGGGTGAGCGGAAACCAATGTCTCGGCTCGAAAGGAACAACGGTTAAAAACAATCTGAAATGACGTTCCAATTTTTGAGCCAAATTTATATATATATATATATTCCAATACTGGGACACTCAAGAAATCACGTCATCGGGATCTCTTTTTCCATAAACGAACCTATGTTTTGATATATTTCAAAGGAGCTGATTTACCTGCTTTAAAAAAATATAATTGTTGGAAAAGAAAACTAAACTTCTTATGAGAGGGGTTAGAAAAGACAAAATCATCTCGATCTAAATAATCGAAAGATTTTTTAGGGGAACATGTTTAGAGGACAGTCATGTGTCCATCATCAGCCTTAATCCTTACAAACCAATGGTCGTGGTAATGAAAAAAACATTATGAAAAACACTTTGAATAAAATTATTTTGCAAATAAGCGCCGGTTATGGGTCAGGTTAACTATAAAAAAGCCCTATACCCCTATGATAACGTACATAATCAAGATTCAATGGCAAAACCCATTTTTGAAAAAAAAAACGAAAACACGGTGGAGTCAAATAATTACTCAAAACAAACCTGAGTAATTATAAGATCTAAGTTTTTATGTTTTCTTCGTTCTTTCTTTTCGCCACTTCTTCTTTTTTTGTCTGCTTTCACCATTCTCTTATTATCTGGATTGAAATTCAGCTTGTGTGGAAGCGGAAGACTAATATCCACGCCAGAAAATTTGAGAATCTGGTAATAGGCTTTTTTTTTCATCATCTTAATCAACTCTCATGTAATGAGTGACAATTTAGCTTGTGAGGGTGTAGGGAGGAAAGGGGTTAATTTTCATGTAAAAAATCATCCATCAAAACCCATTAAAAATGCATTTTCCATTTTTTTTACTAAATTTGTTTTGCAATATCATTACCGGAGGCTTTTCTCTTTAATCAATAATGGTTGTGCGCATTTTAGATCATACTATTTTTTCCAACAGAATAAGACAGTTATTTTTTCCTATTGAAATTTAAAAAAATATATTGCTTTTTGAATATTCAAAAATACAGTTGCGTCTCCGGAGAAAAAATGGATGAAGTAATCATTCAGTTTCCAAATATAAAAATTTGCAAATTGTCATAAAATGACCCACACTCAATGTCATTTGACAACGTCAGATTTCATCTATTGGTTTTGCTTCAGAACTGAGATATTGCATTTTGATCACTCCATACAAACAAAATAAGAGAAATATCAGTTCAACTTGGAATCTTCGAATTTTGTAGCCACTTCACTGATTGGGTTGACAAAATTATAAGTATTCAATAAAGTTAAGCAGTGTTGGAGAAAAAATAAAAATTTTATGTTGGTGACACTAAAAAAGAAGAAAAAATTAAGAAGACATTCTAACTTTTTGATATTGCCGTGAGAATAGTCTTCTTCTATCTTTCTTTAGATTTCTTGTATTACTGACATGAAATTTTCATAATTTCACGTTCGAACCCTGAAAACAAGGACAGAAGGGGAAGACATATTGTATCCCTCTCAAAGTATTACTTTGGAAAAGAGATTGAATAATAAAAAAGAATGATACACATACCGATTCTATTCGTTCCTCATCAGTTTTTTCAATTATACCATCAGAATTATTATTCTGTTCTTCTTCTTTGGCTTTTGCTAATTTCTCTTCTTCAGCTTGTATGTAAGGTTTCACCAATTTGTATCTTTCAAAAGGTGCTAAGAAGGTGACACCCTGTATCTTTTTCCTGGTTTCACTAGTAATCTAGAATCAATCAGTAGATTAGAAGGATAAGTGGCAACTTTGAACAATGATTCTTACTTCATCTACAGTATTTTCAGGTGAATCAAACACTGATATAATGGGCTTCTGCTTTTTATTGCCCATTTTCATGTTTAGTATAATTCTCAAATCCTCGGAATCTGGATTTGCAAGAAGGGTAGGCAAATCATCTCGGAAATCGCTGGATTTTGTTAAATCATGAGGGCAATGCAAGGGACTGTCTACATTTATTTTTGAAATTTTCTTAGTGCTGCCTCTTGCTCTTGTGTCTTCTTTCAAAATTGGCTAGAAATAACGAGTTATTCTTCACTAATTTGAGTACAGCAAAATGAAGTCGTCAAAGATAAAAGGAATAAGTTTGGCGTTTATGTGGGTTAAATGAGTTTTAGTTGCTTTGTTATTAACTTCATACGCAGCCATTTTTTTGATCACTTAATACAATATCAATTTATTGGTTGTCACGACTAAGGAGTATTCACCAAAAAGGAATATGCTTTTCCTGGACTTTTAATGAAAATAAAGACTTCCATGCTCAATAAATGTTAGACTGGAAACTTTAAAATGAAACGTAATTCATGGACAAATCACCAAAAATGTTGTTGGAATTCTGATATAAAATCGACCTCTTAGTAGCAACCAAAATAACCTTCTTCTTCTTCTGTTTGGGTTTTATTGGATTTCTGTGTCCTTTCAGTAATAATTTCTCCAGATCAGGTAAGTAATTTTTTCAAGAATAAATACTTGGTTATGTAATAATTTTATCACTCGACTAGCCACATAAGACACCAATTATCTATCACAATGGCCTGAAGCCGAGTCATCAGTGTTCATAAGATTCAATCGTATGTACTCCTCTTATCCAGCAAATCCGTTGATGATCCGGCCTGGTTACCGGCGTAGAAATAATGGAGCACATTTGACTTCAAGTATGGCCCCCTTATCCGATGAATCCGTCATCATCCGGCCTCTATACCGCCGTAGAGATAAAAGAGCCTGATATTTCTCACACACACTTCATAAACTTCACATTAAATATTGGATTTCAATCCAGATCAGGTAATTAGAAAAATTTGAACTTGCACACACATTAACCTGACTTTTGAGCTATCATCCACCATTGCAATCATCAATGATCAAATGATATAGTACTGCTGAATAGGATAACAATAGATTTCTGTTTCAATTGAATTTTACCACCTTTTTAATGATGACTGTGTTGATTTTGATATTTAGGTCTAAGATTAAAGAGAACCTATTTTTTTTAAAAGTTCCGTCATCGCCGGAAAACTCATTTCAAATGGAAATACTATTTTTCTTTCTATGTAACCCTATACAATGTTAGTCACCTAAACCACATTCAGTAGTTGTTCCTAAAAAAAATAATAACAAGAACCAAAAAGAGAGGAAATTGTTTTATATAGTTACTTTGTATCATGATATGATGTTGATATAAGAAAAAATAATAAATATTCCGACTTGAGCAGTCCAAAAAAGTCTAATAAAATATTGAATATCTCGACTAGAAGACAAAATACTGTTACAAATGTATTTTCCATCTTTCTATTTATCAATTGTAATAACCCCTTTACATTCCCAACTAGCATTTATAGTCGCGATTACGTAATTACGACTATTGGGTCGACTATTAAGTAATATTTACTAGTTGCGGTTACGTTATAATTACGTCGTTACTACGTATTTACGACCAAAATGGGGAACAAATCACGAGTAATTATTACGGTTTGCCGACGTAGCGGGAACTCACACAATTACGTAATGCTTACGACCCGTCGACGTCGAAATTACGTAAAGATGTAGTAAATTTTCCTACCTGACTTTCTATTTCTTTTCCACTTCATAAAAATATTATTTTCTCTCTTTATTATTCTTCATTTCATCCATGAAGTTCACATTCACGAAAAATGAACAAGTCCAATATGCCTAACCATTCAATAAATAATACAAGGACAAACACGCGAAATAATTGATACTCAAACTTGAAAAATTCGAACAACATTCAGTTTTTCGATAAATGTGATGATTTTGCCTCGAAATTCAAGATGCGCCCACAAAATACGGCTCATTTCACCAAAAATATGGTTTTATTTCATTCGGCTATTTTTCAAAAATCATCGTAAATCATGTTAATTTCCATCATTATGCAATTTGTGATCGAACGAATGCTATTATTCTTCATAAAATGATGTTTATCAACAAGAAAAACCAAAATTATTTCCTGTTCAAATGGTTATCACATCAATCAATATGGCTTCCAATCGAAAATGAATCAGAAAGTTACTTTTGGAACTCGTCAGTTATGATAACCTATGTATTGGTAACTTCAACTGAATATAATTACCGAAAAGTTGTTTCAACTATGAAGGAATTGTTTGAGTAGGAATTACCAATATGTTACTTGAAATATCACCAAGAATTGACTAAATTATTAGGTGATCGATCAAGTAACGACAACGTCGTAGAAACCTAATTGGTGACCATAGAGTAATTGCAACTGTGAAGCCTTCTTGGGGTGGTAAGCGTTACCGTAATAATATATCCAAAGTTCCGAAACCTTAAGAGTAGTTTTGAGGAGTGACAGTTTCGAAATAGTTACTTCGTAATAAGCCATGAGAATTTCTCACTTTGAAGTTATTATCTAGTGTAAAAACTACGTAATTTTCACTCACTAAATAACTATCACTGACATTTATACTATGAAGTTCTGAAATAAGTGATAAATACGTTATTATCACTAAATATAGGTAATAGTTTCTTGAACTATGGTGCCTGTGACTGAAAATGCTAGTTGGGTTAGAGCCCTGAAGATGGCAAAATAAATTGACAAAACGTTGGCTTTCAAGAAACAAGATAGTTTTTTCAGCTTACCATTTCCAATGGCTGTTCCTTAGCTCTAAGGACTATCTGATGGAGCTCCAAAAGATTTCCTCTAACCAGTGGAGGTATAGGGTTGCAACAGGCCAAAATACCCTGCATTTCCCTGGGTAAGTTTTCAGATATTTGCAGCAACATATGATTGGGTAAAACATACCTGGAAAAAAGCATAATTGAGTAAAATGAATAAAATGAATATTATGAACAGAAAAGTACCCAGTGCTCTCGTCTTCCTCCCGGGATATTTGGTCTCTCCATTTGTATAGTTCTTTGAGGGCATATAGTTGTCGATTGTCAAACAATCTTTTGCATTTTCTGTAAAAATCTAAGTAGCTGTCATCTTTCAGAACTGGCTTGAAGTATCTCTAAAAAAAAGACACCAACAATTTAAAGATCCTTATGTTTAAACTTTTAGGGCATCACCTTTTTACAAATTTCTGTACTTTGGTTGATAACTGAAATCAAAAGATTATCCTTCCCATTGGCTTTTTCCAGAAGTTCGTTTCTCAACTTGTGGTAAATATAAATCAGATAGTGAGTATCTTCTCTGGCATAAGCTTTTAATTCTTCTGGCAGAGGCCTTATTCTCCAATCAGCCAATTGAAATTGTTTATTGGGGAGGAAATTGCAGAATCTCTGCATCAAGTAAGCTAGTGAAAGTCCCGAATATTCTAGAACCTTTGCTGCTCTATATGTATCAAACATATTCACGATATAAAGTGACAGGTCTCTCTGCAGCCACTGTATATCCATGTCTGAACCATGAAATATCTGAAAAAGCATTTTTCTGTGATTTCCTAACAATTTTGACAAAATGAGAATCATTTTGCACATGCGAGCTCTTAATCAAAGAAAATCTTAGCCTTTGAAAAATATGTGGCTTGTACACAAAATCTTTCATACATCCCCAGACAATCCTGATCTGCTATTTCTTTCATCAAGTAGCTATTTAAATCATGGATATCATAATTTCACCTAAAATTTCCGAAAATATTTTTTTTACATTTTTTTCGATTATATTTCCCGTTCGTTTTTGCTCGACATACCCTTTTTAAGAATTATTGAATTGATTTTATTCGAGAACAGTAAATTTTTCAACAGGAAATGGAATCGGAAAAAAATGAAAACAAAATATTTTCGGAAATTTTAGGTGAAATTATGATATCCGTGATTTTAATAGCTACTTGATGAAAGAAATAGCAGATCAGGATTGTCTGGGGATGTATGAAAGATTTTGTGTATAAGCCACATATTCTTGAAAGGATAAGATTTTCTTGAATTAGGAGGGCTCACATGTGTATTCAAAAAATCGGAGGTCATATCAAACAATTCATTTAGACGTGTTGAACTTCTATCAATTTTTTTTTGTAAAAATTATTTTGATTCATTCGCTATGGTATTTCCATATTCACCTTTTCGTACGTAAAAAGTTACGCCCTCTTCCAATTTCGACGAAAGAATATGAACATTATGAGATTACCATAAGCCCCATAGGCATCAAACAATAATCAGTACTTTTCGAATTATCTTAAAAACAAATGATTTTATCGAAATTTCACAAGACACAAAAAATAATCAAAAATGATTGAACACTTGGAGAAAAATAGATAGAAAGTCATAAGCGCACGTACAAAAAAAATATGGGGGTAAGTGTGTAATTGACCCCCGGTATTTTGAATATTTGACAGTTATTTTCTGTTTTGTTCTCCTCACAGGATGCAACTCTTTGTGCTGAAGTAATGTACCAATTTTGAGATTAATATTTCATTAAATACGTGAGTAATTGAAAAAAAAACAGTTTTCAATTTCCAACTTTGACACCCTGTATATAGAATATGAAGGGCTAAAATGAAAAATTGTATGTAGAAACTCATATTGTTTTTGTTCAAGGAATATATTATTATGGTTAATGGATTGACCTCCTTTGAGGAATTCAAAGATTCATAGAATTCTATTCTGTTCCAAAATATTCCATTAGTTTCAAGAAATCTCTAATGATTTCGAGCAATACCAAATGGATTCAAAAATTTCAAAAGGAATTTCAAGAAATTACTTGGAGTCCAAAGAATTCCAAGTAATCCCAAGGAATTACAAACATCTCATTGAATTCAATGTAATTCTATTGGAATTCCACAATATTCCACTTGAGTTTATATACTCACTACTATACCTAAACAAAATCTTCTTATAAAACATTTCAAGTAATATTTTGCCGATTTTGATGTGCTGATATTAGTCCAATAAATGAAGGAGGAAAAAAAGACAAAGTTAACGTTAATCACGCACTATTTTCATCTTCCGGTTGGAAGTAGCTTTTGGTACCTCATATTAAACATGAGACAAAGTTTGACTGGGAAACGCGTGCGATGGCGGAGAAAATGGCCCCAAAAGACCAGGAAAATAGGTTTCCAGCCAATATCTCCTAAAATATGGCAGTTAGAGATTTTCGGTTCAGATAAAAATTGAACTTCAGTTAGTTTTCTACAAAAATGGTCCCTATCATTTTTCTCGAAAATTTGCCCGGTTTCGAGAAAAACGGCACGAAGCGCACCTCGAATAATGAGCTTCTTTGTTGTATGCCGTAGAGCACAGTCCGTGTATTTAAACATCGGCGGGGGGACAAATTATTCAATAACTTTGTTAAAAATGCATATTTTCTCATGATTCAGAGGAATTCTGCTGCTATCATACCCTGCGTGGCCGCATGGTTTGTAGCAGACGACCCGAGCGCCACGTAGAGCACACACGCGGCGAACGACGGAGGAACGAAAGTAATAAATTATAGCGTGTATATTTAGATATACTGGTTTTTTCCCGGGATATCAAAGGTATGACTTATATACATCGATGGAAAGGTGGGAATTCCCCCGTTACACAAGTTAAGGTATTAAAATGTTAGAAATAGAGAGCACGGAGAAAAAAGCCACCGAAAAAAAAGTGCGTTTTTTCCTTGACCCCGCTTTTTCTAATTTTATTGAAAAATCGACGACTTCGTCTAAAAAAGTAATTGCACAATCTAAAAGTAGACCTTCTTAGCTTTCAAATGATGTATCATAGAAACCAATCGGATCATGTAAAAATTTTTAATTGATGGTTGTTCACAAAATTTCCCCGCGCTCCAAAAACAGCAAAAAATTGGGATTCAATAAACAAAGATTAAGTGAAAATTAAAAAAATTAGGGTATACAAATTTCAGGGATGACAAAGGACCAAGAAAATTTTGAGTAAATTAGTGCAATACAAAAAAAATAGGAACAAATTCCTGGCGAGGTCAAAATTGACCGGGAGCAGAAAGTTTGACCCATGTTCTGATATGGCCAAAAGAGTCAAGCGTGACTCAATTCACAGGGTATGATAGCAGCAGAATTCCTCTTTCACATGAACTTTGAATCATGAGAAAATCTGCATTTTTAACAAAGTTATTGAATAATTTGTCCCCCCGCCGATGTGTAAATACACGGACTGTGCTCTCCGGCATACAACAGAAGCTCATTATTCGAGGTGCGCTTCGTGCCGTTTTTCTCGAAACCGGGCAAATTTTCGAGGAAAATGATAGGGACCATTTTTGTAGAAAACTAACTGAACTTCAATTTTTATCTGAACCGAAAATCTCTAACTGCCATATTTTAGGAGATATTGGCTGAAAACCTATTTTCCTGGTCTTTTGGGGCCATTTTCTCCGCCATCGCACGCGTTTTCCAGTCAAACTTTGTCTCAAGTTTAATGAGGTACCAAAAGCTACTTCCAACCGGAAGATGAAAATAGTGCGTAATTAATGTTAACTTTTTCCCTTTATTTATTGGACTATATAAAGTGTGACTCATAATGCAGAATAATTTAATTTTTGTACACATACAAAAAAAATTCCACAAAGGGATACCAGTAGATACCTTGACAATAGTTGGTTTGGTGAATACTTCATTCAACACATACAGTTTGTCCCTCAAAGCTAAGGTATCTATAATATAATCAGTATCTCTGGTAGATATCTGCATGAGACATGTGATTCCCATAAAAGACCTGTAAGAGTGGTGCTCCAAATCTACAGCAAACTCCTTGCACTTTTGAAGAGTCTCCACCAATTGGTCAATTTGCTCAGGCAAAGTAACTTCCACAAGGGGGGTTTTGTCTAGGGGAAGGGGTATAGCAGGTACTGTTTTCAATAATTGATCAGGCAGGGGTGTAAAACGGTCTAATTCAAATTCATAGGGATGTGAAAATCTAAAAAGTGAGAAATCATCATTGAAAATGTTGTGAAAAATATATTTTATTTTAATATAGAGCTGACTCAGGGCAGATTCACTTACTCTTCTCCTCTTTCTGATTCTTCTAGGAAAATTGCAAGAGGTTTCAAAGAGTTGGGTTTTTCTGTGATTCTGGGTTCCCATGGGGCTTTACTGCAATTCACAATTTTATCCTTAAAGAATTTTTGTGGCCTGATGATATTCTTGCCTGTTAGAAGTATTATTGAATTTGCTGACTTTTCTTTGTTGACCTGGAATGAAATAATCATACCATTGTCTGCTAAATATGGAAAAAAAATCTAGTGAGCTGGAGTATCTGGTCTGCTCAAACAAGGAAAATCACCTACAGGGTTCTTGGCCAATACAGTAGTACCGCCATGATCAACTCCAGGAAACACTTATTTCAATTGTTTTCCTGTCAAACCTACATAACCTTGAAGATCATAAATGAGTTGAGCCTCCCTCAGTGGTAGCTGTGATTATTAGAGACAGAGTTGTTACAAATTATCAACAGAATAAACTATTATAACACTGGGAGCACAACACAAAATTATATCTATAAAGGAATTGAAACAGAATGATATTTTAGGAAAAAAAATACAAAACAAGTCATGATGGCACCACAGCTCCTGACACTCAAGGCTATCCAACTTCAACTAACTTTGCTTGACACTGACAACTTACATAACCACAAATTTCTAAAATTCTCTAGAAAAAAGTGAAGATCATTTTGTCCCATATGGTAACATCCTCTAGTGGTCATACACTCAACTGAGCTATAGGGAAGACCAGTAGTTCTAGTTCACTAGATTTTGTCTCCATATTTAACAGACAATGAATCATACAGAGGTCTTTTCAATATGTCCAACTATACCATGACAACATTTTTACAAGTCAGTATGACATTAGCTTCAAAATTGTAAGTCAACATACCTCTGTAGTGATAGAAGACCCAACTGAAAATGTAGTGCTGTTGAATTTATTCCAAGAACCATTTACTGGTAGCTCTGCACTCACTGTTTGGATCAACACAGGTTCGTTCACAGTCTTTCTTATGCCATTCATATCATCTATATTGTTAGCTACTTTTTCAAGAATCATATCATTGGCTTCTATCAGTAATTCTGTTTGTTCTTCCAAACCCCTATTTCTAATATTGCCTTCTACTTTGTTTGTGCGCAGGATAGTGTTGATTTGCTTGAGCACATCAGCACTAGAATCATTCATTATTTTGATGAAGGCATCATGTGTGTTGTAGAAATTCCAGTGCTGTGCTTGTGGAAGGGTATTGGAATTTCTTATGGCTTCCATCAAGATTTTATATCCATCCTGAAATAAGGTTGTTAACAATACATTCACGAGAAACATTTATCAAAACTCGCCCTCATAAATTGATCCACATTTTCCAAATTTAAAGGAGAGTTGCCTTCAGTGCTGGGCGGACTCTTCTCTTGGTTATTCATCTTGATATCAATCACAATATAACACTTCTACAGGTAATAATGTTCATATCGTGGTAGCCTGAAGTACGAAATTCTGGAAATAGTACCTCGTTTTTGGCCCCCAAAGACAAAATTACGACATAACCTGAAAAAAAATACAGATCTTCAGAAGTTTTTCAGAAGGTAAAAATGACAGCCAGTGACAGCATGAACATGGCAATTGACATTCAACAGAAGTAGAAGAGTCAAGAGAACTTTTTTCATGATGTTCAACGGAACTTCTGAGCGTTTGACCTATTTTGATCAGTGGCTAAAATTACCGACCCGGCAAGTTTGAGCCACTACCATTTTTGAAAAACTAAAAACACCTGTTGCACAGCTTCAAGCTTCAACTCTTTTGAGTGTTGACGTTGGTCTGTTGCAAATCTTATAAAGAGGCATTACTGGCATTAGTGATTTCATTTTAATCTCAAGTAGTTGATCTATGGAACTGATGATATATATATTAAAAAGTATGCAAGACCAATAATTTTATTAAAATTATTATAATCATATTCATTTCATTTGTAGATTTGCAATGATTCAAACGCCCACCTGTCATTGAAACCATATTTATTACTTATTATTAATTTTCAGGAATGAATAATTCATCAAAATGAATCCAGAATATGCAGAAATGGTTGCTGCAATAGCTTTTGGCGTTCTTTCTGCGATTTTCGTCAGTGCATTTGTAATCCTCATTGTAATTTGTAGAAGGCAAAGATTGTTCTACAAAGCTACATACTTAGATATGCACAGTGAAATTTCAAGGTAATTTCATAGGCTTTCAAAAGGAACGTCTCATTATCATTTTTTAGACCAGAAAAACAGTTAATAGAACCTGACAGACCAGAACTTGAATTAGGGGAAGTGAACATGAATTTTGAAGAGATATTGACAGATGAGCAGTGGATTGATGATGCCACAGGGCTTATTCCTCATTGCTTGGCTATTCTGAAAACTTGCAGATACCTGACTGAAAGACTCACTGCTCTGGCTATGAATTCCACTCCAATATCTGGAAATTTCAGGCAAATTGTAGAGGTGAGTCCAAATGAAACACCAAAACTAAATTTGGTAAAACTGCATTTAGCATGTGATGCGTTTTTTTTCGAAAAAATTTTTTGGTACTTACGTATTTTTGTCTGAAAAACACGAATTTGATAATAAAAATGTGAACAAATCATTATTTATCAAGATATTTCACTATGAAGTTACAAATTTCACCTACTTTTCCGCCTGTCTTCTGGATTGAATTCAAAACAATTTACCCTTCTTTTTTCATCAATGGACAATTTATATATATCACAATGTAAGCCACACTTTTTTCTATTATTGAGTCCACTAGAAATATGATTTTCTTGTGATTTATCCATATTTAGTGAAAAGAAGGAAGAATATCATTTGAAATAATGGCATGTGTAATGTCATTCCAAAGCAATCTATTGACATTTGACATCTTGTATTTGGATTGCCTATGGATTAAATGGCCGTCATCTGGTATGCTTGCTCACTAAATAGGAAAAACTCACCATAAAAATCATATTTCCTGTTGAATTTTCTGTATAAAAATATGTCAGTGAAGTACATCATGAGTATACAAAGTGTCCAATGACAAAATAAGAAGAGCAAGTACCTGTAAATGCATCCAAGGCAAGGGGAAAAAGGAGTCGAAAATTCGAACTTTTTTTTGAAATATCTCGATAAATAGTGGTTTGTTCACATTTTCATTATCAAATTCGTGTTTTTCAGACAAAAATACGTAAGTACCCTAAATTTCCTTTACAATAATGTTTTGCAGAGTGCCAAAAGAATCTCAAGTAGAGTAGATGACATGGTGAGAAGTATGTACCCACCTTTGGATCCCCGACTTTTGGAGGCTAGGGCTGCTGCACTGACTCTAGCAGTGACTCACCTGGCTTTATTGGCAAAATATGAGTGTGGGCAGAAGCATAGGGACAACCTTAATTGGATAGACAAATCTTTAGGGGAGATGGATGGGCATATGGTAGTAAGTAAAAATCTTATTTCTTCTTTGAATGCTTCAAAATATTGTTGGAAAATACATTTATTTTGATTTTATATTTCAGTTCCTCAGAGAAGCCTCTATATCTCAAGAAACCATCAACAAAATCTCAAATGCTTTCAATTTGAGTACAACTTTGTGATCTGATCAAAAATGTGTAGTTTTGTTACTCGTCTGTAATACTCTTTAAAATGCCAGTGATCAAAATTGTATTACTGATATATATATTTTTTAGTGAATATGGAAGGATTCAATACTTGTTTTATAATTTTTTATTACCTTTTATCACAATGATGGTGTAGATGGACCTTTTAAAAACGTACAATTGGAAAGTTGCTACAAATATAATTATGTTTTCAAAATCTCTAATGTTTAATATATGATTAGTGCATGATTTGTTTTCAATCAATCAAAAAAAAAAGCAAATACAAAATATTACTCTGGTAAATTCCTGAAAAAAAAAATCGACAATATTTGGAGAGAGCAAATTTTCACCCTAGTTATGATTTCATTCACTTTATGGAAGGTACCTGTAACAGCAAAAAATTAATAAACCGAAAAATGACAATGTTTTGAATGTGTTTGCTCTCGTTCCTAGGAAAAATTAATTTACTATCAGATGAATCATTTTCGTTTGGCTGCATCTTTGAGAATCTTCGTTTTCAAATGATCTTTGTAGGACAAGATGTCGCCCCGCCACTTTGTACATGCCTCCTTTTCACATACCCAAATTTCTTCAGCCACCTGAAAAAAAAAGGAAAACCAGTTAAAAAACTGTCAAGGCATATTTTTCAGTTTGGAAAGTTGACCGAACTCCTGGGAGAAAATACTTTTATCAATGTAAAATCCATTTTTCTTAGTTGTAGTTCTTTTCCCTTTGGACCCGCCATCTTGAATTTCCAAATTTCGACTAAATAAAGTCTCCGACCCGAAAACCCCCGGATACCAATTTTGAATAAAATCGGATCATGCTTACAAAACTCGTCCGTCATACTGGTTCCGCCATCTTGAATTTTCAAATTTTGACGAAAGAATCATAATCTCCGACCCCGAAAACCCCCAGATACCAATTTAGAATAGAGTCGGATCATATTTACAATACTCATCCGCCATCTTGAATTTTCAAATTTTGGCGAAGGAATCATAAGTTGCGTTTTATTCATCCGATTCTGCCACCGGAATCACTTTGAATCTCAGACACCAAAAACCCTCAGATGCCAATTTTGGGGAAGACCACTGAGGGAAGAAATCCGTGCGAACCCCTTTCAATCGACGAATCATGATTCACGTTTGATGTACAATCAATATTATGGGTTGAAGTTGAAGGGAATCGAATCTATAGCGTTTTGAAGCATATTTCATTCGATATTTCCAAAAGCCGAATATGAAGGTGGAGCCGTGTCGTATTAGTCCGGACTGTAGCTATCTCTCTCTGATACCTCGCCATTCTGCAGTGTTGCAGTGTGATTGGTCAGCTCAAGGACAATAGGCGTGTTGGGACTAATACGTCGCACCAGTCACACCAATGAATTGACACCATTTCAAATGGCGCAGGAATTGTGTTTTGAAATAGATATATTCTAAATTATCTTTTTCATCGTCCTAGCATGAATGAAATAATTCAAAATTGGTTCACTGGTAGTTTTTCAGTATAGAGTTCAGGATGACGTCGTTTCAAAAAATCAGTGGTCTCCCCCATTGAAATACTCATCCGCCATCTTGAATTTACTAATTTTGACGGGGAAATCATAATTTCCGACCGAGAAAACCCCCCGATACTAATTTTGAATAGAGTCGGATCATAATTTCGAAATCCGCCATATTGAATTTCCAAATTTTCATCAATTTCAATACTTATCCTATACCGGACTAAGAGAAATCCAAAAATCAAAAATCACAACAATTGGTCCAGCCGTTCTAGAGTTATAAATGGTCAGCGTACATACAGTCTAATCTATGTAAGCTGAAATGGTATAACTAACACGATTTTAAAGGGTTAAGTGACGTGACGATGGCACGAAATCCAATGTGTTTCTTCACCCAAAAAAATGCTGAACGCAGCGAAATAAATTTTCACTGCACAAATTCCTGGAAAAAACCTGGCTCGATGCGTAAATGGGAATATCGGGGTGGTGGGACGTGACCCTACGCCCTCCAGTGACGTGACGATGGCACGAAATCCAATGTTTTTCTTCACCCAAAAAAGAGCTGAACGCGCCAAAAGAAGTTTTCACTGCAAAATTCCTGGAAAAACCTGACTCGAAGCGTAAATGGGAATATCGGGGTGGTGGGACGTGACCCTACACCTTTCAGTGACGTGACGATGGCACGAAATCCAATGTTTTATTCACCCAAAAAAGTGCTGAACGCGCCAAAAGAAGTTTTCACTGCAAAAATTCCTGGAAAAAACCTGACTCGAAGCGTAAATGGAAATATCGGGGTGGTGTGACGTGACACTACGCCATCCAGTAACGTGACGATTGCACGAAATCCAATGATTTTATTCACCCAAAAAAGTGCTGAACGCGCCAAAAGAAGTTTTCACTGCAAAATTTTTGGAAAAAACCCAACTCGAAGCGTAAATGGGAATATCGGGGTGGTGGGACGTGACCCTACACCTTCCAGTGACGTGACGATGGCACGAAATCCAATGTTTTATTCACCCAAAAAAGTGCTGAACGCACCAAAAGAAGTTTTCACTGCAAAAATTCCTGGAAAAAACCTGACTCGAAGCGTAAATGGAAATATCGGGGTGGTGTGACGTGACACTACGCCATCCAGTAACGTGACGATGGCACGAAATCCAATGATTTTATTCACCCAAAAAAGTGCTGAACGCGCCAAAAGAAGTTTTCACTGCAAAATTTTTGGAAAAAACCCAACTCGAAGCGTAAATGGGAATATCGGGGTGGTGGGACGTGACCCTACACCCTCCAGTGACGTGACGATGGCACGAAATCCAATGTTTTTATTCACCCAAAAAAGAGCTGAACGCGCCAAAAGAAGTTTTCACTGCAAAAATTCCTGGAAAAAACCCGACTCGAAGCGTAAATGGGAATATCGGGGTGATGTGACGTGACCCTACACCCTCCAGTAACGTGACGATGGCACGACATCCAATGTTTTTCTTCACCCAAAAAAGAGCTGAACGCGCCAAAAGAAGTTTTCACTGCAAAAATTCCTGGAAAAAACCCGACTCGAAGCGTAAATGGGAATATCGGGGTGGTGTGACGTGACCCTACACCCTCCAGTAACGTGACGATGGCACGAAATCCAATGTTTTTCTTCACCCAAAAAAGAGCTGAACGCGCCAAAAGAAGTTTTCACTGCAAAATTCCAGGAAAAAACCCGACTCGAGGCGTAAATGGGAATATCGGGGTGGTGGGACGTGACCCTACACCCTCCAGTGACGTGACGATGGCACGAAATCCAGTGTTTTTCTTCATCCAAAAAAATGCTGAACGCGCCAAAAGAAGTTTTCACTGCAAAAATGGAAAAAACCCGACTCGAAGCGTAAATGGGAATAACGGGGTGGTGGGATCGCTCACCTGACTGATCAACCTGAAGTCGTGACTGACGAGCACCATCCCGCCATCGAAGTCGTTGATGGCTTCGGCGAGAGCGTCGATCGTCTCCATGTCCAAGTGATTGGTGGGTTCGTCCAGCAGCAGCAGGTGGGGCGTTTGCCAAGCCAGCCACGCGAATACGACCCTGCATCTTTGGCCGTCCGACAGTTGTCTGATGGGGCACACCTTCGAACAGAAATACATACTGGTCTTATCTATTTACACTAACAAGATGATCCACTTCCATGTAAAATGTTGAAGCCAAATTTGGCCTTGGTTCGTGGATGGTTATAAAAAACAATATCGCGAAAGTCGCACTCATTTATACCGTAGACATCTACATGAACTAATGTGTTGCGTGCAAGAACTGTCAGATGACCGACCCTGGAGGTGAAACATTGAAACACAACCTCACTTTCTTATTTGTTTACAGACGATTGAAATAGTTTTTCACAATTATTTTGATATACGAATCGTGTTTTTGGGCTATTCATTAATTCGCGCATGCCATCACATTGGGCTGTTGTACAATGCACAAAGAAATGCAGCGAGAGACGAAGGAATCCGGTTGGTACATTATGACTTAAATCGGAGTTCCTTCTCCAATAGGAGCTAATAGATATACTCGTGAAATTTCCAGATTAATGCAAGAAAATTGGATTCATGCAATCAAACGGGAGGACTGGTCTGGCATGCTGACGAAATATGATCGTGTGTGTTGTAGACATTTTCAATCTATTAGCAGTATTAGCTTCTATTGCAGGAGTGGCAGTAGGAATTTTAATATGAAATGACAAAATTTCATAATGAAAACTATGTGAGATTACTATTTACCTGAAAAATCATATTCCTTCGTCTCTCGCTGCATTTTTTGTGCATTGTACAACAGCACAATGATAAAGCATGCTTGAATCAATGAATATGGTAAGAAACACGATTCATATGCCAAAATATTGTGAAAAACTATTCAATTCCTTTGATTCCTCTGTCAACAAATGAAAAAAGTGAGGCCGTGTTTCAATATTTTACCTCAAGGGTCGGTCATCGTGCTCACGACCTATAAGTTGTTCATTTCTTATTCCTAACCTTAACATTTTCAATGTTCCTGTCAAGCATAGCCTGTCAAGTTTGTGAATAAAAATCTCGCATGCTGAAACTCGAAGTTGAAACATCAATAAAGATATTTATCAAGTATGAAAATCATCTACCAATACTGGAATGGAAGCAAGAAGGTGAACAACTTCCACCAGATTTTCTTATTGTGCGCAACTAGTACGAAGATGACCGCAGATGGTCGAGAGGACTAACATCAAATTATTCCCCGGTTTGTGTTTCTTTTTACTTTTCATTATTCCAATTATTTTTTAGTCTTGGCCCCACTTGTGATAACAATATATCAAAAATGTTCATATTGGCATAAATGAGATAGATCCTGTACTATTAATGAGAGAGAGCTGATTTAGTTAACTTCCTGGACTATAGGGATATATGTTGAGAAGTCGTCAATTTCGATAGATGTTGCTGTAATGAACTATTAATTGATCTGTCTAATATACGTTGATCTTTTCATTGATTCTTGCAGTTATTCTGTAAAATTGAATCTACTCAAAGTTATATCAAACACCAGGCATTGCATCCCGTAAGAACCCTAACCAATTTGGCGCCCAACGTGGGGCACTCAGAAGTGTTCAAGTTGCTGCCGTCAGGTAGGGCGACGTGTTATTTTCTAATTATTATTATTATTATTATTATTATTATATGCATTTATTCTGTAAAATTGAATCTACTTAAAGATATATCAAACAGTAGACATTGCATCCCGAAAGAACCCTATACAATTTGGCGCCCAACGTGGGAAGCTCAGAAGTGTTCAAGTTGCTGCCGTCAGGTAGGGCGACATGTTATTTTCTATCGCGAAACACCCAATTACCTGTTGCCTTCCGGTGAGTCCGTACCGTCCGATGATCTTCCTCATCTCCTCTTTCTCTTTGACCTGCGGGAACTCCTTCAGCATGTATTCGAGAGGCGACAGATCGAGATCGAGCAGCTCGTGAAGATGCTGGTGGTACCTCGCTATGCGCAGATGAGAATTCTTCCTGATCATGCCCTCGGTGGGGGTCAACTGGAAATCATCGAGAAGTTCGAAACCTCGCTCATACGAATGGTATAAAAATTGGTATGATTGAATATGTGATGAAGATCCCCAAGCACCGGGTGGGTATATAGGAGAAACATTGCTGTCTAATGCTTGATTATCACGGACTGTATAAAAAAGGTGAGTACCAGCTGACAGCAGAAAAGAAAAGCGGTTTACCTCGTCAAGGAACTGTATAATTCTTTGCCGGCCGGCTATCGGTGTTCCAGAATGAGATTCCTGGATATTTATCAAATTTTGCGGCGTGCAACTGCTGATAGTTTATTGTTGCACCAAACTATATACAAGGTGAATCACAAACTACAGATTTTAACCAATTTTCATAATTGTTCAAGTTCACGAAAAGTGGAAGTGTGCTTTTGCGATCACTCCTTTTCGGAAAATATCCCCATCACGTCCGTATCTGTCCTGACTGTTATCAGGACGTATTTTGATACTTGGTAGCAGCGGTAGAGGATATGTAACCACCAATACAATTTTGCTCATCAGATATGTATGAAAATAATTGAATTTGAGCATACCAAATGGGGAAGTTTGCTATATTGAGGATCATATCTCACTGTGAAGTTTGTAAAAAAGTAATATATACGTGTTTTTTCTTATTTTCGTAAGATCAAATTTCACTTCAGCAAAAAATAAATAAAAGAGGAACTTGGCTCCTCCACCATTCCTACGACGTACTTTCTGAAAATCAACATTCACACAGAGTTAAATACACACCTCTCCATACAGCAACTTCAGCAAAGTACTTTTGCCGGCCCCGTTCGGCCCTACCAGCGCCAACCTTGTGTCCAAATCGATACCAAACTCCAGATTCCTGTAGATCCACGGCGTGGTGTCGTCGTACCTATACAATGCAATAAAATAGTATATTGTTCAACCAGCACGGAATGATAGTGATTTCCTACGAGAATGAAGTTTGCAGCATAAGCCATAGGCGAATTTTGTGGAAATCTTATCGTTTGTGAAGTTTTCACGTTTCTTGAACAGTTCTGAAATCGGAACCCGAATGAACCTATGGACTTCTATCAAAGATCACACTGTATATGATTATTTCACCTGAAGCTGACGTTCTGCACCATGATGACAGGAGGCGGGACGGTGCCGCAGCTGGGGAAGTAGAACGTCACCAGCTTGTCGCTGCTCACTTTCTCCGTGAGGCCTTGCGCCACCATCTTGGCCAGGGTTTTTTCTTTGGATTGCGCCTGGCGGGCCAGCTTGGCAGATCCGTGGCCGAATCTGGCGATGTAGTTCTGGTGACAGGAACCGTTATTTATACACAATATCATGGGCATTAATGATATTCTTTACTATTATAGTATTATACAGGGTGATTCACGGTGGATAGCACTTTAGACATTTCTGGAGTAGGATTATACTGAAAATTTGGTTTCTTGGATAATTAGTTGTGTTCTATATATTCTTAACACTGCGACGTTTCGGTTTACATTAAAAAGTAGCAACACCTTTGATTTTTTGAATGGGACACCCTATATTTTATTCCATTTTCAGATTCTTCCTAAAGAGCTGATTTCGTCGAACTATTACACTTGGGGTCTAGCGGCAATGATAACAAAGATAGGGTGTGAAAAATCGAGATTTTTCAACTTCAAGAATTTCTTGTGTCCAAACTATTCATAATTAGTCAAAAAGGTTTTCAAGTCCCTCTCTCAATTTTTCATGTACTATCAATTGATATTTAATTGAAATAGATACAGGGTTGTTGAAAATCTAAATTCTGAACCACCCTGTACCTATTTCAATTACATATCGATTGATAGTAAATAAAAAATGGAGATAGGGACATGGAAATCGTTTTGATTCCTATATCTCTGTAATTGTCACTGCTAGACCCCAAGTGTAATGGGTCAGTGAAATCAGCTCTTCAGGGAAAATCTGAAAATGGAATAATATACAGGGTGTCCCATTTAAAAAATCAAAGTTGTTGCTACTTTTCCATATAAGCGGCAACGTCGCAACGCTGAGAATATTTTAGGTCGATAGAGCAGAACTAATTATCCAAGGCACCAAATTGTCCGAATAATCCCAAGTTACGTTCTCCAGAAACGTCTCATATTTCTCTATTTTTGATATTAATGATCTTATTCTCTCTTTATTTCCCATTTGTCTATCTCTCACTCTTTTATCTCTATATTATCCAGATATTTATCTATTTTCATCTCATCTTTATTGGCCTTAGATGGGAAAAACTTTAGGCAATGATTTACTTGGAAATTCGACTTTGCCGTCAAGTTTTGCTTTGAAAAATATGATAAACTGCCTACTTGGTCGGGTCACGTGACTTTAGCTACATTTCAAAAGTTACATTCATTAAAATGATTCGCAAATGAAAAGATATATTGCCCCCAAACGTGCAGCGACTCAAACTGATCTAAGTTAGTGACAAAGCGTCAATATTTCCGAGAATATTTCGCCCCCGTCAAATGATTATATCCGATGGACCAGTGTAGCAAATGGAAGGAGATATTGTCCCCTTTGTGAATATCCAATCGTGCCGCGAATCAAACAGATCTGAGTTAATGACAGAGTGTCGAATGATTATATCCGATGGATCAGTGTAGAGAGAGCCTTCTGTTTCAAATTCAATTGTATTACCTTCATATGATTGATCTGATCTTGTTCCCAATTGTACTGTTTCATCTGGTTCTCCAAATGTTCCATTCTGGTTTTAACAAATGCATCATAATTACCAGTGTAATATTTGAGCCTTTTTTTATTAATATGTATTATGTTGGTACAGACGCCGTTGAGAAAATCTTGTGAGTGAGAAATCAGCACCAGAATTCGCTTATAACTGAAAATAGAAAACAAAACTCATCACTCCTAAGGAAAAATAGTTGAAGTGCTCACAAAACCTACTTTCTGAGTTCTTCTTCCAACCATACACAAGCATCCAAGTCCAGATGATTGGTTGGCTCGTCGAGCAACAACAGATGGGGCTTCACGTACAATGCTCTAGCCAGTGCTATCCTCATCCTCCAACCTCCGCTGAAGTCCTTGGTCTTCTTCCTCTGCATGTCCCGATCGAATCCCAAACCGTGCAGAATGTTGGCTGCGCGAGCTTCAGCCGTATCGGCAGACATGTCGTCCAGTCGCTCGTAGATGTCCATCAGCTGCTCCTGAGATTCGTCGTCTTCGCAGGCCACCAGCGTTTCGGCCAGTTTCTCCAACCTAATCATAGTTGAACAGATGACTCACTGCCTTGGTCAATTAGAGTCAGGGGAGCTGGGATTTTGGTCAGATTAATCCTGATCAGGTCAGGTTTTGGTCAGTGTTAGTCAGGTTAGGTCTTTGTCAGGTGAGGTTTTGGTTAGATTAGGTTGTGTAAGTTTTTCGGCCAGTTTTTCCAACTTGATCATAGATGAACAGATGATTCACTGGAGGACCTTGGTCAAGTAGAGTCAGGTCTTGGTCAAGTCAGGTGAGGTCAGGTTTTGGTCAAGTCAGATCAGGTCTTGGTGAGGTTTATCTTGATCAGGTCAGGTATTGGTCAGATCAGGTCTAGATCTTTCGGTCAGGTCTTCAGGTCTTTTACCAGGTATTTGAGAGGTCCTACTGGTTAGGGGTTGGTCTGGCCAGGTTTTGGTTATATCAGATCAGGTCTCAGTCAAGTCTTCATACCGGTCAGGTATTCACTGATTCAGGTGTGATGAGTTTTTCAGGACAGGTCTCCGAGCATTGGTCAGTTTTTCAAATCTTGGACAGGTTTTTCTCATGTCTTTGTCAGAACTGATCAGGTCTCAACTAGATCCTAGTCAGGTCTAAAACATCAAAAATTTAGGTCAGTTCTGTTCTGAAGAGGTTTTGTTTGAGGTACAGGTCTTTATTTCAACCTCAGTGTTTATCTTTGTCAGGTACTGGAGAGCTTCTGTTCAGTGTCTCATTCAGATTTTGGTCAGATCTAAGTCAGACCTTAAAGGATCTCATGAAGTCAACTCTTGGCCAGTATAGGGTCAAGCCTTGGTCAGGACAGATTCAAGTCGGGTGAGGTTTTCATAGACTCAGGTCTTGATAAAGTTAGGTTTTCTTGAATCCAGGTCCTCTGATGTCAGAACTTGCTCAGCTCAGATCCTCAGGTCCGGTCTTCAAGTCTTGGTCAGATCTTCAGGCCTTGATCATGTTTTGGTCAGATCAGAACGGGTCTTAGTCAGGTATTTTTTCAGACCAGTTCTTCATGTTTTCCTGAGCCACTAATCAGGTCTTAGTCATGTATTAGTCAGATCTTGGTCAGGTCCTGTTCAGATCTCAATGAGCTTATGGCCAGGTACAGTCCTGTTCCAGTCAAGTCATGGTCAATGCGAGCGCAAAATATGTCTGTGCGAATTGCAATAAAAATATCGGTAAATCAACTCTTTCAATATACTGCAGTGATCATTGTAAGCAGTGGTATCATTTGAAGTGCACGGGAATAACAGAGATAGACCTAAAAGTCATGCAAGAACAGAAAAACATAAAGTGAGGTTATGGGTGTTACAAATTGATCCCAAAATAATTTAGAACCTGAAGAATCTACAAATACGAAAGTGAATTTACCACAAAACACACAAACAAACGATATATTGAGAGTATTAGAGGCGATGAGAGCAGAAATCAAGTAACAATATTCCATGCAGAACAATACGAAGAGCAGAGGGTGAAAAATATGGCCTACGAAGACCAACTGAAGCCCCTCAAGGACGAAAATAAACATCTTCAAGAAGAACTCAAGGTACTGAAACAAGCCTAGGTCTGGCCTTGATCAGGTATTGGTCAAGTCTAGTCAGTAATTTCTACTACATACCTCACTCTTTCTTCGTCCACTTCCATTACACATTGCAGCGCACTCTTGTCCGATGCGGGCATCTCTCTGGTCAGATGGAAGATGTCGATGTGCTCTGGAATGGGCACTTCCCTGTTGCCCAGCACCGAGAGTATAGTAGATTTACCGCTGCCGTTGAGGCCTAGAAGGCCGTACCGCCTGCCGCAATTCAACTCCAAGGTGGCGTCTTGCAGCATCTCACAACCATGGAAGGTTATCGAGAACGTCGCTATTTTGACGTCTCTCGATTTCGGATGGACTGCCAGAGAGCCCGTACACGATCTAGCTTCCGCGTTCAGTCTAGCGTCAGACTCTAACTTAGCGCAAAGAGCCTCTGAAATTTTATGGGGGCAGTATGCGTCAAATCCGGTAGTTCTAATTTTTTGCAGACTAGTTCATGATGTTGGCCTAATGAATGATCCAAGTTTGTAATCTCGAGCACCGAACGCAATTTTGTCAAGAATCGAAAAAACCGCGAAAAAATCGTAATTTTTTCAAATTTTGGTGATTATAACCCTGAAGGACTAATTTTTGAAAAAAATTCTCTCAGGACGTTTTTAAAGCAGATCAAATTTGCTACAATATGATACAAAAATTGTCTTTATAGACCGAATAGATTTTAAAATTGATCCTTTCAAAGTTTATAATTTTTTTCGAACTTCGCAATTTTTTGCAATGTTTTAGGCGTCACTCGAATATACTCTAGCGGGATGAAGTTTCAATTACCTCCGACGGAGTGTGCTAGAACTGTTCGTGTGAAGTCACGAATGTGACCCACCTGTAGCACGTTTTCAAACTTTTTAGGCAATCTAAACCACGGCACTTTTTAGCTGGCAAGATGGCGCCTGGTTGTAGGGCCATCACATATAATAAGTATATAGGTTTTCTCTCAGGTACCTGCTACACATCCTTTGGTTTCTCATGATTGATTCTGTTGTTAGATCCTTTCTCTTGATGGCTGCTACCCACATTTCTATTCTTATTCTTGATAGCTCTTTTATCTGTGGATAATACACAGAGTTTTTCACAGAATCACAGTAGAAATGTGAAAAAACTAAGCAAATTCTCCCGATCTGCACGGCTTCCACTATCCACTACAATACACGTTACCCGCATTTTTCCTTCAAAATCATATTGAGTTTTCATTATTGAATGAACCTGATGTTGTAGTAGTAGATATCCCAGAAGGAGACGATCTGTCCGATGTTGAAATGGAGGATGACTTGTGGGCAAAAGAAGCGACGATTCATCACCATCCCCTGATGGAGATATGCCATCCCAATACGTCGATCCAGATCCAGACGAACCTCAACCGGGACCTTCCAAGAGGGCTGAATCAATCTAATTTTTCGTTCTTTAATATTACTCTATTTCCTAACAAATAAACTCATTAACTTTTGTTGTACTTATCTTTTTTATTTCATTATTCGTAGCTGAGCTTAAACAATAAACATCCTCGTTCACACTCCTCATTTTCTTCGATTGTATAATCAGGGTCAAAATTCAATCAGGACGACAGGATTGCAAAAAATTGCGAAGTTCGAAAAAACTGATAAACTTTGGAAGGCTCAATCTGGGAAACAAATGAGTCTACAGAGACAGTTTTTATATCATATTGTAGTTCTGAAAGAGTTTTTTTTTTTCAAAAACTAGTCCTTTAGGGTTATAATCGCCAAAAACTTGAAAAAAAAGAGATGTTTTCGCAGTTTTTTCGATTTTTGACAAAGTTGCGTTCGGCGCTCAAGGTCACAAACTTGGATTATTCATTATGCCAACATCAAGAACAAGTCTGCGAAAAATCAGAACTACCGGATTGGACGCATACTGTGATGTATAAAGTTACTGAATTAGAAGGACATTCCATGGGATTAAAAGAAGCTTGATATCCATGGAAATTAGGGCACAGATGGGTATTTGTCAAGTCTTGATAAGGACAGGTCTTGGTCAAGGCAGGTCCTGTTCAACAGGTTTCAGTAAGAAGTCAGGACATGTTATGATCAGGACAGGTAAGGTAAGTTCATTGTCAGGATAGATTTGGATCAGGTCAGTCAGACATTGGTATGAAACATGCACAGAATGTGCACAAACATCCATTTGAAAAAAAAACTCATGTGATCTTTATTTAGCAGAATATTAGTTTACAAAATTACAGCACATACAGGGTGTCCCAAAACTCAACGTCATCCTTTGGAAGGGCTGATAGTCTGAAGTTCCTCAAGATTGTTGTGCCTCATATTTTCACTCTCACCAGTTGGCGCTACTAAAGCGTGAGCCTTTTTTATCGAAAATATTCGAAAAAAATGATGTAGAATATTTGAACCAATAGAAAACCTGAAGTGGTAAAACTGCACTTATCATGTGATGAGTTTTTTTCGAAAACTTGTTTTGGAACTTACGTATTTTCGTCTGAAAAACACGAATTTTACAATGAAAATGTGAACAAACCGCGATTCATCGAGATATTTTATGATAAAGAGCGAAATTTCACCTTCTTTTGCAACCCATCTAGGATATTCATCTACAACTACTTGTCCTTCTTTTTCAATTACTGGACACTTTATATACTCCATTTCCCTATCTCAACTTTTCATGTACAGGGTGATTCACCATAAATGCCCCCCCCCCCTCTAGCTCAGTTATATTTGAACTGATTGCAAAATTTTAAATATCTAAAATGATTTTCGATAGAATTCTTTTCCGCTACATCAGAAAATACAAGGTGCTCGGAACAAAGGATCTACAGGGTACTATTTGATATTTTTAAAAGGAACACCCTATGTGTCATTGTATTTTTAGATTCTCCCTGAAGAGCTGATTTCATCAATGTATCACACTTGGGGTCTAGTGGAAATTATTACAGAGATATAGGGTGTTCAAAATCGAGATTTTTCAACTTTAGGATTTTTTCGAAGATTTTTCTTTGACGAAACTATTCATTATCGGTCAAAACGGCTTTCATGTCCATATCAACTTTTGATTTACAATCTACTGACATTTAATAATTGGAACAGATACAAGGTGATCAGAATTCTGAATCTTGAACCACACTGTATATGTTCCAATCAAATGTCAGTAGATAGTGAATCAAAAGTTGAGACAGGGACATTAAAGCCGTTTTGACCAATAATGAATAGTTTCAACACAAAAAAATACTAAAGTTGAAAAATCTCGATTTTGAACACCCTATATCTCTGTAATCATTCCCGCTAGACCCAAAGTGTGATATATTGATGAAATCAGCTCTTCAGAGAGAATCTAAAAATACAATGAAGTACAGGGTGTTCCATTAGAAAAAATCAAGTAGTACTCTGTAGATCGTTTGTTCCGAGCACCCAGTATTTTCTGATGCAATGGGAAAAACATTTCAGAAAAATCATTTTAGATGACTTTTCAAATGTTCAAATCGGTTAAAAAATAAGTGAGCTAGAGGGACATTTATGGTGGATCACCCTGTACTATCAATTGATATTCAATTGAAATAGATACAGGGTGGTCAAGCATCTCAATTCTGAACCACCCTGTATTCATTTCAATTAAATATCAATTGATAGTGAATAAAATGTTGGGATGGGGACATTGGAACCGTTTTGACCAATTATGAATAGTTTTCACCAAAAAATTCCTAAAGTTGCAAAAAAATCTCGATTTTTCACATCCTATAACTCTGTAATTATTGCTGCTAAACCCCAAGTCTTATAGGTCAATGAAATCAGCTCTTCAGGGAGAATCTGAAAATGGAATAATATACAGGGTCTCCCATTTGAAAAATCAAAGTTGCTGTTACTTTTCAATATAAGCGGCAACATCGCAACACTGAGAATATTTCAGGGCAATAGAACACAACTTATTATCCAAGACACCAACTTATATATATATTATATGTATATATATGTATATATAAACTTAAAATATGTTGTTTTATTAATTTTGCCAGGGATCAATTGAAAATATCAAATTTAGCTTTTAATGAAGTCAATACATTCCATAGATATGGGACTAGACAATTGAATTACTTAATAGCACATACATTCAAGTGGAACATTGGCATATTGGCAAACACTCTGTATTTCACAATGGAATAATTTTATACAATTCATTACCAAATGAGTTAAAACATATACATGATACAAGAAGGTTTAAAACCAATTTAAAAAAATACTTACTCAGGACAATTTGAATGAAAAATATGTGGCATGATTTGATTACTCAGAAATGAAATGTTATATAACATTCATCTTAGAAAACAATATCAATTTGTTTCCACTGAGTGGAATTCATTAACTAACCCTTAATTATATTTTTTATGTATTCATGTATCCCTATTATAAACAGAAATGTTTCATGGAGTAATAAAGGCAATCAATCAATCAATCAATATTCCTTCCGATTCCTTCAACTAGAATTTTCTTTAAATGAAAAATCCATAGCCCCTTATTAACATTCAATGTTTCAGTGATTTTGGAGCATTTTTGAAAATTTCATATACATACACTAATAAAATGACCCTTTCCATTTAAAAATCAAAAATTTGAGCCCCATTTCCAAAACCATAAAAAAAATGAGTACACCACTGGATTCTGCTTCTATCTTCAACAACAGCTGAGATACCTGGCTGTCTCACCCAAAAAGAGGTGCACTATACATGTGGATCCAAGTGTGGATCCATGTGACTCCACAGTTTGTAAAATTGAACAATGCAAGTTATTTATTTTGTTCTGGTTACTACAAAGAAGTCAGACAATGAAGAGGTTGATCATAATTATTATAGACTATTGGAGACATTAGACTGATAAGTAATTAGCTAACTATAAAAGGAAATCATGAGCTTGCATCTATTCATCATAATCATCAAGATTATGCAACTATGATAGTTCTATTTGAACTTGAATTTCTTGATAAGTGTTCTATATTCCTCTCAGTTTTCCCATATTTGACATTTTGGAGAACAAATCTCTCATATCTGATCTATCATGATTCTTAAGTCAAAGGCTTATCCTAGGCTTAAAAACAAGTGGGATTTGGATTAAGAAAGGTCTATTCTACCTGCAAAGAGATTACTAACTAGGAATATTACTTTGTATGATAGTTATTCATTACTGTGTGTGCTCAGATCTAAAATGGTATATAAATGATATTGAATTAATTCAGAAATTAAAATAATTAACAGTAAACATAACACATAATTGACCTTACCTTCAGGACTTAGTTCAACAGATCCATTGGATACCCCATTTACTCCATTAGTTTTAGTTTCAATCTGTTCTTGTTCCTGCTCTTGATCTTCTTTCTGAGGCTTCTCAGTTTTCTTTCCACCTTGTCTAGCCTTTGCTGCTTCCTTTTTGCGCTGCTGTTCACGTTTTTTGGCATCAGACGGCATCTTGATTAATACTGTGTATCTGCTTAGAGATCAACATTTTTTAAACATTGTTCGATCAAGTTAAACCCGACATTTCAAGATGAGTGCACAATAAGGTCATCACAATGAAAAAAAAAAATAGGTGAAAGTAGGTTTGAGGTGTGAATTTTTGAAGAGAAAGATTCTATGGGAAATCAACAGATGTGAAGGAAAATATTGCTTTAACTTACTTGTAATACCTAATAATAAAATAGGCTCAAATTTACACTAGATACATGTGTCCATCAACGACGGATGGTCCTTCAGAAAAGAATCTTCAAGTGACAATAGTGACATGACGATGACAGCTGACAGTGACAAAGCTCATTTGTCCAGTCCAGAGGCAGTATGACCATTAGACCGTTATGTGAGTTGGTAATGTTGGTATAAGCACATACTGGCTAAGTTCCAATTATGATAGAGACAAAAATTAGTAGCCGGCCTAAGTTCTGTTGTAACAATGGTTCGAAAATTTGATGTTTTTGAGGTTAGGAAAATTATCAAAATAAATGAAATGTCAAGGGTCACGTTGCGTGTTGCGTTTTGTTTAGCTGTTTTAATAGGCCCCAAAGTGCATGGTCGTAATTTTTCACTCATTCACTCTAAAAAGTACTAGCCTCATAACTTCAGAATGGATGATTTTGAATTGCCAGAAGACCTGGAAGACATTGAGATAATCTACTCTGATGGAGAAGACGAAGAACCCATTGAGAATGCCATAGAAGATATAAATATTGAAGATGATACCTTGGAGGCGGAAATCCTCGATCTTTCCACTCTTACTTTCCAGAAGCATACTAAGTCAGTTTTCAGTTCTGACTTGAGCCATGATAATCAACTAGCAATTACAGGAGGAGAAGATGATATAGCATACCTGTGGAGGACTGATACCTCTGAGGTTCTGCTAGAATGTACAGGTCACAAAGACTCTGTAACTGAAGTGTGCTTCAGCTTTGATGATCAATATGTAGCTACTGGTGATATGGCAGGTATGATACAAGTATGGAGCACAAAAGAGAGGAAACTAGTGTGGTGTTTTGAGGGAGATGATATGGAATGGCTTATCTGGCATTCCATGACAAATGTACTATTCTGTGGGTGCCATTCTGGTGATATATACATCTGGCAAATACCACAAGGGCACTGTAAAGTGCTACCTTCTCCTAATAATATATCTGCCTCATGTGGAAAAGTACTGCCAAATGGTAAACAGATCTTGATTGGCTATGAAGATGGCCAGTTGAGGCTATGGAATATCAAAGAATGCACTGTAGATTGGGCAAACCACCATGCACAGGCTATAACAAATCTGGACATCAACAGGGAAGGCACATTGGCAGTAGTGTCTCCTGGGTCCATTATTGTGAAACTGAATGATGGAAAACCTACAGTAACACTCTTACCAGATGGAGAAACAGAAATTGAAACTGCTCTGTTCAATAGTGAGCTTGGTATAGTTGCTACAGGAGCCCTAACAGGTCAGCTGTGTGTTTGGGAGCTAGGCAGGCATGCTTTGAGGCATCAAGCTAGGATAGAATGTGCTGTTACTGTTATGGAATGGGGATCAGATGGAAAGATTTTCATTGGAGCCACTGATGGAGCAGTTTATGTTTGTAGTGTCAAAACTGGGGTGCTGCTGGAAACTCTGACTGGGCACAAAACAGATATTTTGAGTATTTCAGTGTTCAAAGATGATAGGATACTAACTACTTCTGATGATGGAACTGCTAAGATATTTAATGTTAAGAAATAAAACTATCTCGAGAACCATAATGTGCATGCAGGGATTTTACATGACTTATCTTTTTGAAGAATTTTTCAACATTTATTCAGCTCCAGATGTTTGACTATGTACTTATATGTGATAAAATAAAGAATTATATTATGGACTGTGATCCTGAGATAACACCCAACACTCTTCAGAAGTAAAATAATTTTATTTTAGACCAAAATAAATATTCAGACCTCTAAATAATTGCTTCAGCTTTTTTCATTAGTGAATAAAAGTTGCTAATCTCTAATCTTGCTCATAGATTTTGTAGATCGAAGATTTTGTATCATTTGAAAATTAGTCCAAAAAATCAAAGAAACCTTAGAAAGGCGTAAACACGTTGGCAAAACGGCTTCTTGCCATTCGGATACTCCTGAATCATGGCCCCTATATCATTGGTCAGAATGCCCATTAAGTTAGTGTCATTGAGAATATTATTAAGAAGAAGAAAAAAGAGGTTAGGTTTGATTGATGTTTTTGTTTATATTTTCACCCGTATTTCACTTTTAGTTATTTACATTTTCATCACTTAAAAATGACTTATTACTAGAATTATAAAATAACAAAAAACATGGAATCTCAAAGGTTGCTGGGGTCAGCTCCTACAGCGTCTAAAACCGGTGAACAAAATATTTCTGATGAAGAATGGACAGAGGAGGAAGAATCAAGCTACAGTTCCTACTGCTCTGACTCGGATAGGTAAACTCAACATTTCTACTATTTCTAGCTCAATTCCTGTAATGCTTATCAACATAAAATTTTCAGCACAATTCCTGAATGGGAACCATATGTAGATGACTTCACAGGAGAACTACTCTATATTGAATGCCATCCTTTTGTAGTGCAAAATAACAAAGAAGTTAAAGTCAAACCGTCTGAAGAACCATTAACAAGAAATAAAGTTAGGCACAGTACTAGAGGCAAGTTCCTAAAACTGCTGAGGAGACGTGAAAGTAAACGTAGAAGCAAGAAAAATGTGAAATCTACAGATGTGAATGAAACAAACACCTCAAAAGTCAAATTCCAAGATTTTCAAGAAGGTGAAGAAAAGGAGGTTATGCTTGAAATTGATTCTGAGAATAGGCATAACCTGAGTAGTGATAAATCCCTAGCAGAATCTTTGCTGGGATTGATTGTAAGTACTTTATCTGATGGAAACAGAGTCATGATAGCAGGTTTTTCATATGAGAGCAAAGCCAAACAAGAAAGGAACATAAAAATAGGAGATTGGTTGAAAAGTATCAACAATATAGGGGTCAGTGTACATAATCTAGATGATATCCTTCAGAAATTCATTAACAGAACAGATGTCCTACTCAAACTGCAAAGAGTAGCTGGTATTGAAGTGACAAAAGATCCTCCTATAAATGAGTTGAACATTGAATCAGAGTTTGTCAAAGAATTATTGAATAAAAAACCCTATGATGAGCAGAGTGTTATGCAGTGCTTATGTGAATTCTCCATAGGGATCATCTATATCAATACTGAGAAACTCAGTGAGAGTAATCAAGACAATGAAGACATAACTTATTGCTTTCCTAAACCAATGCAGAAAAACATTTTGTGTAATTCCAGGGGAATGTTTATTACTTTGAACCATCTTCTTGAAGATGTTACAAAAAGCAAGCCTAGAATTTTTTCTCTCAAGCACAATGGACACCTAGCACATATTGTCACAACAAATATTGATAAAAACAGTCTGCTGCTGATGCTTCCTGATGAAAAAGCTTCAAAACAAGAAGCACTATTGATCAACAATCAGTTGTTGACCTTTTTGAACTTTGCATATGAGAGCATAGACAAGTGTTTCACTTCTGAACATAATCTGTGCCAAATCAACCATTTTTTTATGAGATTCTTCACCAAAATCCTGAGTAATGAGTCTTGGATTACTGCAGAACAGTTTGCTAGTAGCCAGAATGTGGATGCCACAGAAAAAAATCTATTTCAATTTGAAGGTGTGATGTGTGCTGCATCAACTTTATGTCTGCCAGATAGTGCTCAGATGCAAATTGATGATGCACTCTCTGAGTTAGAAGCTAGTGATTACAGGGACTGGGTATGCTCAAAACAGTATTTGTTTCACCTTTACATTTCCTCTTTTTGTTTTTTTAGAATGAAGAACCACTGGACTGTCAAAGACTTTTCACAATATTAGGTAGTGCCCTATTCCATTCTGGCTATCTTCTAGCCAGTCACTTCATTCATGAAGATCTTGTTGATGTTTACTGTTTCTGTAAGATTCAGGGGCTGTTTCGATTGTCTAAAACAGAACCTGTCAAGTCTCTGGTACTGTGGAAAGAAGTTTTTCCACATTCTTGTAACAAAGAAAAGAATACTAGAGTGAAGATTCCCAGTGGAAGGCGATATTTGCTTGTAGTGGAAAGCATGAAGGTAATTTGATTATTTGTACTGAGTGAGAAAAAACAGTATAATTCAGTTGGTATACAATAACAGAATGTCAAATTATACAGTATGTTTATGTGACTTTTCATTGAGTACTAGTAAATTTACTCTTTATTTGCTTACTTGCTCAGAAAAAAAAAACTGTATGCCCCTGAGGCTTCTTTGATTTAAATTCTCTATCTCCAGATCAATCCAATTCTCTGCCCTCTCTGAAGAACACCATTTTCATTATTGTTTCAAAGAAGAGGGATGAAAACCTAAAAAATGACCTGAATTTGTATTTTTGACCCCTTCATAAAAATTGATTTGGCGCGCCACTGTGAAAAAATGTTGAAGTTTTTTCTTTGAAATACAATTGTTTGAAAAATTCTACCTTCCTATAGTTCATGAAAAACGTTTCCATAAACATATCTCGAAAACTCGGGTGCCAAAAATGTTGACTTTCTAGTTGTTTGACCTGCTGATATGTGGTTTTCTCCATTGAGTTCCTTATGAGAATTGACCCTTACTTAACAAGATCAGTTTTTTCCTATCTAAGTAGGCAAAAAAACGGCCCGCAATTTTTAATTTCTGTCCGGTTTTTTTAAATTTCAACCAAATCGTAGTAGGTCTGGCAACGCTGCTGAAGGTGCAGCCATTGAACTCAATGTAAACTTAAATTGAGTTCAATTGGTGCAGCCGACACAGACATATACAGACGCTGTTTTACTGCCATCCCAGAAAGTGTCTAAGGAGCCTATAGAAGTTATCACTTCAAAAATCCCACACTTGCTTAAAAACACTTGTATCTTTTCTTCAAAAGAAGATATATTGACTTGAATGAAAAATAATTGTGTTAGGAAGTGATCAATCACACTTCAGTCCAAAATATAATGATGCTAAGTTTAACCACTCATTATTTTTTTTCAAAGGGTTTAAAGAAGTTGTGGGTGAAAGAGTAACATTTGTATTTCCCTGTATAATGATCATGCCGTCAGATTTTCTTAAGTATTAAAATTCAGGCTGACACCCCGAAACATAAATCTACAATTTGGCCGAAATTTCACCAGATTCTATCAATAATGGGGAAGTTTCATATATTGAAGTGTGTAGTTTGTAAAAAATAAATATACGTATTTTTTCTTTTTTCCTGTAAGATGAAATTTCAATTCAGAAAAAAATAAATTAAAGAAACTTGGCTCCTCCACCATTACTATGACTTACTTTCGAAAAATCCACATCCAAAATCCTATTCCCTGTGCCAGTGCGATGTTGCCGACATCATCAATGAATGCATAATAACTATATCATAGCAGCAATGGGATATAATAGGTTCTTCAATCCTTGGCTGAATAAAGTTGATTACTAATAAAAATAAATTAAGACATTTTGCGATAGTGTCTATAATTTTTCACTACCGTTATATTACAATATGTTATTCATAACTTGTCAGTCATTTTTTTGCTAATGAATTCATTCCCCATTAAAACGGATCTATTTTCTAGGAAAGTTGCAGATTATATCTTGCAACAGAGCCTAATACTTCGAGTCCGCCCACACCACTCAAAATACATTATGTTCTGGCAGTAAATTAGGAAGGATAGTATCATTGAATGTAGCCGATAGTGATTTATTGCTTCAATGATATATTTTCGTTTAGGATCGTTCGAGATATTAAGGAAGCCAACTACCCTTTGCATTCCTGCTCCGACGGCAATTTGTGGTTATGTATGTTTTAGTTCACCAGTTTCACTTCTCCTTTCTCCTTTTTTTTCATCCGTTTTTCCTTTCTTTAGCCAGTCGTTAGCTATTCGCTAGCTTTATTCTTCACCATCAGCAATTTTCAGACTAGATTCAGAAATTGACTATGGATTTCTCGACTTCAACAGCTGATATCTCGAAAACGAAAAAAGATATTTGAAATTTGGAAAAAGGTACTTGAATGAGATGTCATTTCTTTCTAGAAAATGTGTTCTCTGCTTGATTTTATTATTTCATATACAGGGTTCGTGAAAAAACAATATTTTTTCAAATGGAACCCCCTGTATATTATCGCATATTTCGAAAGAGTTATTATTCCTGATTTCGAAGATATATACTTTTCATATATTCTATCGAGGGCTTGACGAAATATCAGCAAAATTAAATATTAATATTTGGTACAAGTTAGCTATGGTTGAAATAGAATGAGATGATGAATAAGTGAATTGATATTTGGCCAACATTCCAGTGAAATAAGTGCGCAAAATTTCGACAATTTTCTTACGATGCCATATCCATTGGAACAAAGAAGAGATATTTTGGAGTGTTATTTTTCAGTTAATAAAAATCTTGCTGAAACACTTACACTTATACTTACCTAAATTTAATCTTTCAGATATGACAAGACAAAATTCAATCCGCTTCTCATTATCATCATAATTGAGTTTGTGGCATGGTCTAAATCTGAAATCCCTATATTTATATTTCCTTAAGGTATGTTGAACAAAATAATAGCTGAAATCAAACTCTCTCACTGCATTTCTTATTGACCGTGAAGGATCCCCAACAAAATACTGGATTACAAGAAGTTCCTTGTCTTCGTTGTCTTGCCTTCTCACTATTCTCTTGATATTCGACAAACTGGAAGTTCTGTCAAATTTAGCAGCCAAATACTTTACATAATTCTTACTTGGTAATCTCCTGCCTGGAAAACTCCTCATAAACTTATGAAGTGTTACAGCAAGATTTTTATTAACTGAAAAATAGCACTCCAAAATATCTCTTCTTTGTTCCAGTGGATATGGCATCGTGAAAAAATTGTCGAAATTTTGCGCACTTATGTCACTGAAATGTTGACCAAATGTCAATTCACTTATTGATCATTCCAGAACACGTGATTTTGACATGGTTTCTTGAGGGGCACACAAACTATCTGTTAGAGGTTACCTTTGATTAGCATAGCCCTGGCCATCCCTGCCACATCTACAATATAATAACAGTTTCACCAAACACAATTATGGAATTCTTTCTAGTTCCAACTCGGATTCCAAGGAAAACGATCCCACTTATTCTGGTTTTATATGACATATCTTGACAAGATACAATGTTTGCCCCTCAGCAACCTGTCAAATGACGTAATTCTGGAATGATTTATTCATCATCTCATTCTATTTCAACCATAGCTAACTTGGACCAATTATTAATATTTCATTTTGCTGATATTTCGTCAAGCACTCGATAGAATATATGAAAAGTATATATTTTCGAAATCAGGAAAGATAGCTCTTTCGAAATATGCGATAATAAAAAAAAAATTTTTCACATACCCTGTATATGAAATGATGAAATCAAGCAGAGAACACATTTTCCATTGGAAATGACATCTCATTCAAGTAACTTTTTCCGAATTTCAAATATCTTTTTTCGTTTTCGAGATATCAGCTGTTGAAGTCGAGAAATCCATAGTCAATCACCCGTACGTCACAGTGTGATGGAATTTCAAATATCTTTTTTCGTTTTCGAGATATCAGCTGTTGAAGTCGAGAAATCCATAGTCAATCACCCCGTACGTCACAGTGTGATGTCCGGAAAATCAGAAATTTCTTTAATTTGAAAATGAAAACGACTTGGACTCTATCGGTCGCCATTCTGTACAGCGTGGCCATTAAACTGAAGAGTTCCGAACTTATTATAAAATTCATCTGAAGGAAACTTCCCAATTGAAAAAGATACTAGACGATCGATTCGGGTATATTTTTTCTGGCCGGATTTTTCGCCTGTACCCGATTCACCCTGCACGTTTCAGGACCTGTTGGCCGTCATAATGGAAGCGGGCGGATGCACTGAGCCCCCCGAAGGCAACTCGGGCCCCGACGCCTTCTACGTAGAGGAGGCGCAGGCCACCCTGGCGCATATCCAAGAGCTGGGGCTGGGCGAGCTGTGCGACCGGCTGCTGGCGATCGGCCCCCATGCCCAGGTTGCGAGGCCCCTTCCTCCAACCGGCAGGAACAAGGGGGATTTTATGAGTTTGGGGTTTTCCAAGGGAGGCGTGGGAACTGTGAAGGTTAGTTTTTTATGGGTTGCGTGCAAGAACTGTCAGATGACCGAATCTGGAGGTGAAACAACGAAATACAACCTCACTTTTCTCGTTTGTTAAAAGTGCATCCCAAAATTTGGTTTTCTATTTCGGGCCAGGAGCTATTTCACTTCCAGTCAGCTGCTTATAATCTATAAGGCACAGATCCGACCTGTCCTGGAATACTGTTTCCATATTTGGAGTGCAACACCCAAACATACCCTGAAACTGTTGGATTCTGTCCAGTATTTCAATTTTTATACTCTTGATATTTCAAATTCAAAAAAGTTCTCTCTATTATTGTTGATTTCACGTATCAAATTTCGAATTTCACATGTAAAATTTCGAAAGTGTCATCAAAACCTATGATTTTCTTTTGATATATGATGAATTTGTATTCTTTTTGAAAAGGGCAATTGATGTTCGTGAACGCGGTTGCCAAACTTTCTCCCTGTCTGGCCAATATACAAGACAAGGTCCACAGTATTTCATTTTTTATACTCCTGATATTTCAAATTCAAAGAAGTTCTCTTTATTATTGTTGATTTCACGTGTGAAATTTCGAATTGCACATGTAAAATTTCGAAATTGTCATAAAAAACTATGATTTTCTTCTGATATATGATGAATTTGTTTTCCTTTCTGAAAAGGGCATTTGATGTTCGTGAATGCGGTTGTTAAACTTTCTCCCTGTCTGGCCAATATACAAGACGAGATCCACAGTATCTCATTTTTTATACTCGATATTTCAAATTCGAAAAAGTTCTCTTTATTATTGTTGATTTCACATGTGAAATTTCGAAATTGTCATCAAAAACTATGATTTTCTTCTGATACATGATGAATTTGTTTTCCTTCTTGAAAAGGGCATTTGATGTTCGTGAATACGGTTGTTGAACTTTCTCCCTGTCTGGCCAATATACAAGGCAAGATCCACAGTATTTCATTCTGTATACTCCTGACATTTCGAATTCTAAAACTTTATCATTATTATTGTTGAATAACCTTCCCACCATGTTATAGGCACAGATTGTTTATCCAATCGTTAATGATAATGAGTTTCAGTTTCAAGGGAAGACGTAACAATAGCCGAATCGTTTCCATTCAAATGCTCTATATCCTTGATTATATAAACTAGTACCATAGTACTCAAAGCCTATATGTAATGATTCGATAAACGATCTGTATATTTCAAGTCCTGTTTATGTAACAGGTCTTCAAAATCACAATATTATACTAATCCTGAGGTGGAGATACAATCAGTTCTATGTATATACTTCTATTTGGTTTTTGAGGATTCTTCGTCTATCATCTCCAAAAAAAGTGAAGTGACATCCATATTGAAGAAAAGGCTTTCAGACCAGAATTTCGTGGCGCCCTCTAGTTCATCGAATTCTCTCCAAGACGACTCTTTCGATGGACAATCTGAAGGATCAGGAAGCCACAGCGAGATAAGCGACGATTCCAGACAGAATTCCAAAAGGCGGTCCAAGTATGACTCTAACGAAGACGAATCAGAAACCGATGAATATGGGGCAAGTCGTTACCACCGATAAAACAAGGCCTGCATGCTCCGTGGGTGACGTCACTTAGTCAGGCCTAACCAGCGGCTCGAAACGACAAGCGCTTATAGCGCTATAAGGCGACCGCATATTTCGATTTTAGTTTTAGATCATTATTGAGCCGATTTTGCTTTTTTTTGAAGGGCTTCCGGTTGAAAGAGGATGTCAGACGTTAACTGAGCACTTCTTCGCATCCCATTCGATTTTATAATGGAAAAACGAAGTTTCAAAGCAAAAACCAGAATAAAACACAAATACCCACCTACAGCAACCCATTCGAATTAAATATATTGGCAAAAATTGTAGTGATTCAATCTCATTAGAGGTAAACTTCACACCTACTTATACAGGGCCCGCAGAACATAAACTTATCATGAGATTGATCGAAAGAAAATTGGGGAAAATGTATTTTAGTTTGATAGACATGCCGTTCGTTATACCTAATTACCTATATTTATCTTGGAGAATTCCTATTACCTAAAAAATTAGCCAGTGAGTGTTTTCAATTTCCTGTTGTTGGATTTTTTACCCAATTGGTCGTTAGACTTGAAACAGTAATTTTTAAGTAGAGTGTTTGTAGTACATGTTAATATAATAGTTGCAATTTGATCATTGGAATGAATTCTGCATTCATTGCCACGAGGCAAATGACCGTTTTCAGAAAGAAATTTGAGAATGTATTGAGTCAGAAACCAAAGAGTCCAATGCATTCGAAATATGTTTCAAAACCCTCCTTTTCTGATTATCAAGACATTTTCCCGAATTATGTATCTCGTTTTTATCTATTTCAATTAGTAATTATTTGATTTGATTGCTATTATTAGAGATAAAAGGTGTTTTCAGATTGGCTTTTAGAGATGTTTGTATCGCTAGGTCATACAAAAATGATTCCACATTCAAAACAAAATCAATCACAACCGAATATGTAATTACGGGCCCTGGAGAATAAGACAATTTGAATAATGTGACTTTTTGCAAATCGATAATTTTGAACCACTTTTCGGGCAACTGAAAAGACTCTAATACAACTAGAAATTCTTGAAATTCTGTGTAGCAAAATGATTTTTGGTAATTTTCGAATTCAGTTTTACTTTTGGTAAGTGCTTGTGCCAAATTTTTAGTCTCTAGTATCTCAAGTTTTCCATCACGACTTGTGCGTAATTTTACATCTTTCGATAAATAAGATGGACAGTTGGGAAATTGAGTGGGAATAACATCTCGTTTGAGCCTAGGAATTTTCAAATCTATTGTTACAGTTTTGCCAGTTTTTGAATCGGTTGCAGTAGATGAAGTAATAATATCATCTTTAGTAAAATGTAATTCACATACTTTACTGTACTTAGATGGAGTCGTAAAATCCTTGCGGTGAATTGCATGTACCCACTTTTTCGATAGTTCCTTGTCCAACGGGAAACTAAAAGCATGAATTTTTGGACCACCCACATAATTCCCCCGACAAAAGGGAACACAACACTTGTAAGGCATTGTTATTTCGCCTATCACAACACGAAATATTTCACAAAACAGTAATTTCTCCGCCAATTATTTTGATGAATAAACAACAAGAGAATTCGAGCACACACGCGATTTACCTACGCCACCGTTCTTAAACAAAAACAAACTGACGATCGATCGACGCGAATGCCTTGGAAGATGGCCTGAGTATGCGACGTCACGAGCTGTTTACGTCAGAGTCTGCTGGCCTTGTTTTATCGGTGGTAACGGGCAAGTGTCCAGTAACTTTTCTGGAGTGTCATTTCACTTGGTAATTATTCTATTTTAGGAGGGAAGTCAGATGAGCGTTAGTAGCTTCGACATATCGGAAATGCGTCAGTGTATCTTGAATGAAACTGAGGATTATCGACCGGTTCAGCTGACTTCCGGATGTGAAAAAAATCTTTTCCACTTTGTCCAGCTGGATAGTGCGAAGGGAATTATGTTGTGTCCGTCTGAATGTCAAGAAACGTCGTTGACTTATGACTTCATCTTGAATAATTTTAGAAGGTGCTGCTTGAAAATACACGTTTTATTTCAAAACACCCTAAGATTCAAGGTAACAATTTCACGTGGAGTTCCAGATCAGCTAATCATATGTCATATTTTTTTTTAGAATATGCCTGCACAAGATATTGCAAAATCTGTGATGAATAAAAGTCTCATTGCTATAAAGGAGCATGGGATTCTCTTTCAGTGTCCCTACCTGGACGAAAAAGATAACAAAAAAAGTAAAATTACTTACTGGGTGTTAGGGTAAGTGGTGACAACCCTGAAAAAAATGACGAATTATCGGATTATTTTTTTAGGAGGCTATTTTATATGCCTTTACCCAAGGAAATTTATGTTTGTTATCAAGAAGGTGTCCCTCAAAATTCTGTTGAATTAGCATTCAAAATGTGCATGGCAAGTTTATACTGAATTGCCATGAACATAATGATAAATATTCCGTCCAAAATTATGAACCCTTGTGGGAGCATAAGCTCATGAGGCCTTGAAGTATTAGAGAAACTGATTCAGATTTATAATTTATTGAAATTTTATATTTTTTATTTTTATATTAAATAAGCTCTTTTATTTCTACTTTTGTTTTTTCTCTTCACCTTTCAAGTTATACTGCTAATTTGGAATGAAACATTTGCAGCCAAAAAAAATATGTATTAGGGAATAAAGTATGTATAAATTATATGTCCAAAGAGCACTCATAGAATTATTGTCTTATGACATTTATAGAATATGTTGCAAGTTGATCACAGCTTAGTATAACTATCACACTTCATTTTAAAGCAGTTGAAACCACATAATATAAATTACTTGCTAAAAATATGGTGGAGCACTGAAGGCAAAGCTTTTCTTATCAAATTATTCAATCATGAAAGAATTAACTAACAACAAAATTTCAACTACAAATTCTCCAGATTGACTTCAATGCACTCCATTTTATAAATTATAAGCTCATCAATATCTTTTAAAACAGTTTTTTCTTAAAAATCTCATAATTGACAGGTGTTTTCAATCAAGAAATTACTCAAAATTAAGATGATGAAGCCACTATTGATACCTTCAACTGTCAAAAACATTTACAATTTATTTCTCCCAATTTCATAAGAGAAAATTGACTCAATTTCTAGGCTCTATGCCTTCAATTAGGAATTTAACAACACCTCCTGCCATTTTGCTTCCATAATGACCTTTCCAAAACTGAGTATCTCTACCTTGGTGTTCAAAAACTAGCATTGCCAGATCAGCAGGATAATTTTCAGATATGATAATCTCCACCTAAAAAGTTTTGATGAATACTGTGGAATAATTTAAGATTGTAGGTAGGTACTTTTTCCCATTTATTGCCCTCCCACTGTCTCACAGTGACCTTTTCAGCTTTTTCAAAATGTGGTGACCTTCCTTCTTCTGATGCATCAAAATTGTCTTCTTCAGTAATATCATGCATACCTAAATCAACATGTTCTTTAGCCAAGTCATTATTAGTTTCACCAAATCCTGTAAATTTTAGGTGGTATTCACAACCACAGTCAAATCTACCAGCTGTCCATTCACTGGCATAGATAGGAACATGGAATTTTGTGATGATATACCTGATAAGTCTTTTATCTTTCAATGGGATTTCCTGCAACAAAACAACTACTGTGAAAGTAATACATAAACAGGATAATAGAATGCACATACCTGTATTTTGTTACATTCATAAAATGAAGTGGCAAAGCAAGATTCATGTCCATAGAATTCTGGTACATTTGCTGGTAAAGGATCAGATCCCTGAGGCTTCTTCTCTATCACAAACTGGTCTCCATAGTTTTTGACAATCTTCCAATGCTTGAACTTTTCTTGACCATTTCCGTTTTTCAAGAGGTTCTCAAAGTTATTTGTGTTTAAATAGGAGTAATAAATATACCAAGGGAGCAACTGTGTTTTGTTGGGCTGGTGCATATTAAACACATTTTTCCAGAAACTATCAGATTTGATAATATTGTTCCATTTTTTGCAGACCAGAGTCAAGTACAGTAAATGTTTGGGTGGAATGTGGATGAGAATGTTCTCTAGTACTTCTTCTGGTACATAGATACCATTTAAGCATAACCCGTTGTTGGAATCTTCCTCTAGTGGATCAAGAAATTGGAAATCTTTTACTGGGGTGTATTCCTTCATGGGTTTTAACTTATCTTTGCTTTTAACATCGCCCATATTATGTATCCAATTTCCACTAATAACTACCAGTTGAATTGAATAAACAATTTAAAGCAGGATCACAAGATAATCGTTAATCTGACTCTGAGCTGTGACTGAGAATCATCTGAGAAAATCTGAGAATTCTGAGATCACCAATGAATCACTTATGTTAACATAACCTAAAAATGTTTTGTCATTTTGTCAACAAACTTTCAAGGTTGGTAGTACTGACACAAGCACAAGCAACAACTGCCACTACACTACACAGTACACACAAACACAAATCATCTCATATACAAGGTAGAGTTATTAATTTTACCGAGAATATTTATTGTTAGTTTATTTTATTATCCATTCAAATATATTAGTCATGTAATCATTATACACCGAATGATACAAATTTCGAAGAGAATATTATATTTTTCAAACGAATTCTGAGAGTTATAAAAAGGTTCTACATATATATACAGTGTGTCCCTAGACCAGTGGGACAGTTGAATATCTCCTGAACCAATAGGAATTTTCAAAATATTATAATTCCACATCATATCGCATCATGAGTGCTAACTTCAGGAATTACTAAATTTTATACGAGGGGCGCAAGAAAGGCTCACAAAATCGAACATCAATTTTTTCAAATGGAACACCCCATATATTTCAACAGATCTGAATTCTCATTCCTTTAGGCTAATTATCAGTTTTTTATTTTTGAAAATCCGACAAGGCGTTGCCAAGTTATACCAGTATTTCATGAAATGCAGACATTTTTTTTATAGACAAACCCATTATTCATACTACTAAGAATTCATGGAATCATTCAAGACTGTTGGTAGTCGGTGGCATATTCTATCATATGGAATACTCATCTTCTTCGAAAGTTATACAGGGTGGTCAGAAATATTATATGATTTTCACGAAATTCAAACTTTCTTCACATCAATTTTTCAAAAAGTGCACCCTACAATATGTATGATGTTTTATCCCATTGGTGGTTTGATTGCTCATGGTCGATAGTTGTGAAAGAGAGATGTGAATCTCATCATCAGCAAATGCAAATAAAAAAATGCAGTAAACTATTTATTCAACTGTACTTAACTACTAAAAAAACAGTCCCAAAAAGAAAAAACTGATTAGGCGAATAATTAGGCACAATAATTTTAATATAAATGTTCGAATTGCCTTCCGTTTGCTGCAAGGCACATTTCAAAATTTTTCATCACATGATATAAAATTATACATATTGTAGGGTGCACTATTTGAAAAATTGATGTGAAGAAAGTTTGAATTTCGTGAAAATCATATAATATTTCTGACCACCCTGTATAACTTTCGAAGAAGATGAGTATTTCATATAATAGAATATGCTACCGACTACCAACAGTCTTGAATGATTCCATAAATTCTTAGTATTATGAATGATGGGTTTGTCTAAGAAAATGTCTGCATTTCATGAAACACTAGTATAACTTGGCAACGCCTCGTCGGATTTTCAAAAATAAAAAACTGATAATTAGCCTAGAGGAATGAGAATTCAGATATGTTGAAATATATGGGGTGTTTCATTTGAAAAAATTGATGTTCGATTTTGTGAGCCTTTCTCGCGCCCCTCGTATAAAATTTAGTCATTCCTGAAGTTAGCACTCACGATGCGATATGATGTGGAATTTTAATATTTTGAAAATTCCTATTGGTTCAGGAGATATTCAACTGTCCCACTGGTCTAGGGACACACTGTATAGGTATATATATACTTACCTACTTACTTATAAGAATTTTCGATGAAGAGCTGCATTTCTGAAAATTTATTACCTATTTTCACCAATAGATCTTGAAATTCTCAAGAATTGATTATGGAACGTTTACAGGGCGATCTGCATAATTTTTAATCACAACGTTACTTTTCGCAAGTTTTATATATTTATGGCTTTATTATATGTATAATAATATATCCCATTACTTAATTTAATCTGAATATATAAATATTAAGTATCGATCGACTTAAAATTAATACAGAGGCTTTTTGTTGAATATCGAAATGAGAAAACCAAAATATATGTATCTATACTTATTGGGTAATCAATAGACACAACAAAAATGATATATATACCTAGTCGACAGCGAATTAATACATCGTTTTCAATAGTAAAAAAACAATTTCATTTGCTTATTTGCAGAAAAAATGAATTTACGACAGCTCTACAGAAAAACTACAAAAAACGTACCCCTATATATATATGAATTCTTCGAAATGGATGTACCTTAATAGAACAACAGTTAACAAAATGGACATCTGGTATGGTGGACTCAATCGAGTCATATATCATAATCACATCATAATATAAGTTTTATGACTTTAATGTCAGTTGAATCCTTGTCATAATATATGTAGGCCGATCAGAATATCAAATTAATACTCATGGTTTTCGAGCCATCTCTCAGGTATTTATTGAACTAAATACCATCAAAATCAACATCAATAATATACTTTTGAATGTCTATAATAATTAACGAAAAAGTATTTTTGTTATATACAGGATGGCATTGAAATAAGTGCAAATATTTCAAACACTTAAAAAGTTCCACGTGTACTATCGAATGGCACTAATAAAAAAAATTAGGAATCAAAATGAAATTGGAGGTTAGACCCCTTTCAAAGTTCTACACTGTAGCAAATTTGACGTCACCTCTGTTCAAATTTCCATGCGGTAGGCACTATCAGGCGGAGTTCAATCATTTAAATTGTTTCAAAGTGGGGTACTTGATTTTTTTTCTCGTATTTTGATCAATTTTTGGGATGAATAAATTTCTTGTTAATTAGAAGAATTAGAAAAAATCTGATATCATGGGAATATTTCTTAGACTGTACCATATTTTAATGTGCTGAATATGTGCACTTATTTCAAAAACACCTTGTATAAGACCTTGTTCCTCGAGAACGAAGCAAATTGGGAAAATAATGTTTATATCAACTTTTTTCCATAAATTATCACCTATATCGAAGCACCTTATTAGGAGAATTGTTCCATCACACAAACACAGCATGGAGTCAAACGAAAACCATCACTTTATTCTCGGATAATAATAAAGCACCGAAGACCCCGGCAGCTGCCAATTGGAAGCGTGCAGCTCGATCAGCTGCAAAAGCGTGCGCCGAACTCCAGGCGACCCGGCACTAGCCAAAAACCCGTCCCTCACGCTGGCCAACAGCTGTTCCAGCTGCTGCGGCAGCTCCGCCTCCAAGTCCCTCCCTATCGACGTCAAAACAAAAAACAAACATTCGGTCTCAGAAAGACACTTAATAGGCAGGCTAACGCAAGCCTGGCAGCACTTCGCGAGTACCGACAGCAGCACCAGGTCAGGCTGCAAGCCTTCGAACTGGTCCCGAAGCTGGTGACGCTTGATCTGGCCGCACATTTCCGTCAGGAACCACATGAAAGCAGTGAAACGGGTGCCATCACCCGCTTTAATCCCCCTGAGGATCTTATCGCGCTCTTGGTACCACTGCTGACAGGTGTTCAGCAACGACTCCAGGAACGTTTGGTTCTTCTCCGTGTCGATTATAGACACGCACAGCTTCGCTATGGACTCGCTGTACTTGATGCCTTCCACGACCTTCTCCAAGATGATCTTCACCAGGTCCATGAGGGTCCTGGAGGCCAGTTGGTTGGGATCCTCGAGAGCTAGCTTCAAGTTGGTTTGGTGCTCTGGCGCGAACATTTCGAGCTGTATCTCCTCCTTGGCCAGGTCTCTCAGCTTCGCAGCTAGGTTTCTCGATTCTGCGGCGCCTAGGCTCTTGGATCGCTTGAGCGACGCTGGTTTGGGACTGGGCTGTTTGCTCTGGTTGGTCCAGTTGGCTTGGTAAACAGTTGGCTGGTTCATGCCTGTGAACACTGGGTGCGCCATCAGCTCTGGCGGGAACTGATGGTAGCTAGGTCTGACCACGTGGTTGAGGAGGTGGGAGGAGGAGGCGGAGTGTAGTAGAGGCAGGTGCATCCCCGGGATCAGCGGGTAAATACCGCCGGGGTGGTTGAGGTGTCTCAGGATGTTGCCGCTGGATTTCGAGTGCTGCAAGGTCATGGGTTCGTACATGGCTAGGTTGATGTTTCCACTGGATTTGGAGGTTTGTAGCTCGTGATTCATCGTGAATTCCTTCGCGTGAACGTTGAGTTTGCCTCCCATGGGGAGATCGGTTCTTACGTTGGGGGGTCTGTAGATTTCCAAGGATGGTTTTCCACGCATGGCCAACATGGTTTGGCTTCGCCGTTTCAAGGCGTCCTTGTTAGGCCTTATGAAGCTCCTTTCGCGTTGGACCATGGGTAGCTGATTGGAGAAGTCCATTTTCTGGCTTTTTCTCAACTGGGCGTCTTGAGACATGATGGCACAAACACACACTATCGCTATAAACTGTTGGTGACGTTTATTATGAATAGTTTAACACACAAAGCCAATTACGACCACGCGTGATGCCCAATTTCGGTGGCAAGGCTAGGCTTCACTTGTTTTGTTGAGGCGGCCGTGCGACACTTTCGTTTGTTTCTGAAACTGCATGTTTTGGACACAATTGAACAGTCGCGGAGGCTTTGGGGCGCTAGATGCGAATTTAGAGATGCTGGAGTTAGAAACACACATCCGAAGTGACGTCTGTATATTTAGAATGCGTATATTTTTAACGAACTATGACTATGCGCTGGTGCGGATATAAATAGTCCAAATATTACGTATACCAAATGTATACAATATTCTAACGATGATAATTATTATGTAAAAATACTTTTTTGTAATGGTATGCCCATTTGATGATAGCAATAATAATATTCATTTGTTTCATCAATAGAGGTATAGGTATAGATATATCTAAATTGAATAGTGGGTGTGTCCACAATGAAGGAAGCAAATTGCATTTCTAATGACGTTCGCATCATCTTTAATTAAGGCGTTGATATCATTTTTGTCTGACTCGTGTCGATATACTGAGTACCGTACAGCTAGGCGACCTGAATTTGCGTGTGACTGACTATGAAGATAATATGGTTTCACCGGGTTTTACAGTGTGATTCACTTTTCATATTTAGACATACGAAAGTTTCTCGGAGAGCTATAGATCATTCCTAAGCCACCTGAAAACATATATCCAATGTTAAATTCGAGAAAAAATGTATTTCATTCATTATTCCAGATTTTTTTTGATTTTCTCTCCTCGCTTCTATAAAACAAAAATATGAATATTATTTCAATATACGTGTAGTAAGGACAAATCAGATGATTTTCCCCAAAATGTCACTGCGTTTAAAGAATTTTCCTATCAGAGCCTGAGAGAAAAATTCACCAGCTTGTCAGTGACAATTTGTATTGAAAAAGGTTTGGAGAAGAGAAATAAAGGAATATAGAAAACATATCAAATTTTCTCTAAGCTTTGGACGTTTCGGGACCGAATCTGCTCCCGTTTTCAAAATAAAAAATGATTATTTGAATAATAAATTCGTATCTGTCTTGAAACTTTTCGTTCTCACTTTCTCAGTGACAATTGGTGACGTTGGCAATCAAATAGTATTCATATTTTTATTTTATAGAAACCTCCTCGATTAACCTACAGACAGTATGTATTTCATTATTTTGAATATGTACCTACTAACCCTGCTCAAAGAAACAAGTGGACCACTGAAATATTTGACAATTTTCAAACCGCCATATCTTTTTAGAAAATGATTGGATTTTCAATCGAAATGCAGTGCTTGGAAGATGCAATCTTTCTGTTCAAGATTCCTTGTTCAAAACTCGTCGGGAGTTTTCCTTTCATTATACACCAAGTGTTCGAAAAAAGTATTACACAAATGAAAAAATTCAAACGCTTCCGTATTCCTGGGATTTTTTTTTATTTTCCTATTAAGTGTTTCTTCCGAACGTTCAAGCCAATATCTCGAAACGGTTTTGTAATTTTCCATATTCCTCATACAGGACGTTGAAAATCGATGATTTTTCATTTTTAGGTTTTAATCACATCAGTTCCGATTTTAAAATTATGCAAGCCACAGTCAACGTATTTTGCCACTCTATACGATGGAATGACACCTTCCTATTAAATACTTATATCTTATATCTACAACTTTTTTCCCTTGTATAATAAATAACTAATTTTTCTGTGACGGGAAACAAGTTTGGCATTTCATCTCTGTTGGCAGGTGATAAAATGTCACTTTTCATAAATTACTTTTTTTTTCGATTGGCAGCAAATATTAATTTTGCTGACACATATCAATCAGCAAAATATTACTTTTCCTGCCTAGGCAGCAAAGTGGTTACTTTGCTGATTGATATGTATCAGCAAAATTAATAATCCATAAATCGTTTTTAATTTCCTTCATATTTCATCCAAGACTTCTCCGGCAACAAATTCAACTCTATATTTTTTGCCACCTCCCTCATTTCTGGAGGTGTGAGTACTTCCAGGTCGCTTTCACTGTCCATTATATAATAATTTAAATAATCCAATATTTTTTCGCACAACTGTCAGAAATTTCATGAAATGTCAAACTATAATTATTATGAACTTTTCCATAGCAACCAACCATTCCAACAACTGCGATTTCTATCAAATTTTATTTTAATTGAACATTACAGGAAAAATAAAGAGGTATATATCATTATGAACAATCGGAGAAAAAATTATATGTTCAACTCGGCAGCAAAGTAGATTAGTAGATTGACTGCCTTAGCTGGATTCCTCTAGCCCCGCTACGCTCGTCTATGAATTCAGCCTCGGCAGTCAATCTACTACTTTGCTGCATAGTTAAACAAATAACTATTTTCCCGGATATATATCACATATATATACACTGTAAAGGGCTTTTGTTGTGCTATAGTTCCGAAAAAGGAGTCAATAATACCGTCTCCGAGAAAGAACTGCAAGTCCTTTTATCTTACTTCGCGGTTACGTATATTACTAAAAAACCACTGAATTCGCAATTTTTTGAAATCAAATCACAGAATTAGACTGACAGAAGTGACATCAAATATTTGATTACTTCAAAAGAATGATAAAGATGTCTACAACGCAGGTGTCCCTACTGTTAAAAACTTAAAATTTCACGTCGATAATTTTCAGATTTCAAAATAATGTAATATCTTCTCAATATTGATTCGTCCTCTCTTCTGTCACAGAAAAAAATAGTGTATTATACACGGGAAAAATATTTGATTTTAGCTCACGGTTTTTTGTCTCCCTCCGATACGCGTCGGGAGACAACACAACCTGGAGCTAAAATCTACTACTTTTTTCCCTTGTATAATGAATAACTATTTTTCTGTGACGGGAAAAAAGTTTGGCATTTCATCTCTGTTGGCAGGTTATAAAATGTCACTTTTTATAAATTACTTTTTTCCCGTGGAAAAAAAGTTAGTACTTTTTTCCTGGATATATATCACATATGTGTATATATATGACGGCTTTTGCTGTGCTATAGTTCCGAAAAATGAGTCGATAATACCGTCTCCGAGAAAGAACTGCAAGTCCTTTTATCTTACTTCGCGGTTACGTATATTACTAAAAAACCACTGAATTCGCAATTTTTTGAAATCAAATCACAGAATTAGACTGACAGAAGTGACATCAAATATTTGATTACTTCAAAAGAATGATAAAGATGTCTACAACGCAGGTGTCCCCACTGTTAAAAACTTAAAATTTCACGTCGATAATTTTCAGATTTCAAAATAATGTAATATCTTCTCAATATTGATTCGTCCTCTCTTCTGTCACAGAAAAAAATAGTGTATTATACACGGGAAAAATATTTGATTTTAGCTCACGGTTTTTTGTCTCCCTCCGATACGCGTCGGGAGACAACACAACCTGGAGCTAAAATCTACTACTTTTTTCCCTTGTATAATGAATAACTATTTTTCTGTGACGGGAAAAAAGTTTGGCATTTCATCTCTGTTGGCAGGTTATAAAATGTCACTTTTTATAAATTACTTTTTTCCCGTGGAAAAAAAGTTAGTACTTTTTTCCTGGATATATATCACATATGTGTATATATATGACGGCTTTTGCTGTGCTATAGTTCCGAAAAATGAGTCGATAATACCGTCTCCGAGAAAGAACTGCAAGTCCTTTTATCTTACTTCGCGGTTACGTATATTACTAAAAAACCGCTGAATTCGCAATTTTTTGAAATCAAATCACAGAATCAGACTGACAGAAGTGACATCAGATATTTGATTACTTCAAAAGAATGATGAAGATGTCTAAAACGCAGGTGTCCCTACTGTTAAAAACATAAAATTTCACGTCGATAATTTTCAGATTTCAAAATAATGTAATATCTCCTCAATATTGATTCGTTCTTTCATCTGTCACAGAAAAAATAGTGTAGGTATTATACACGGGAAAAATATTAGATTTCAGCTCACGGTTTTTTGTCTCCCTCCGCTAAGCGTGATGGGGAGACAACACAACCTGGGGCTAAAATGTACTACTTTTTTCCCTTGTATAATAAATAACTAATTATCTCAAATCGTTTCGGAAATAAATGGAAGCTCATCTTCAGGAGCCCCTCTTCAAGATAAGCGGTATACCTCCCATTATTGGAGCTATATAACTTTTTTTCTTATTTCTAATCGTGGATTCTACTATCAAATCATGTTATATACATTATTCCAGTGGTGTGTTGAGAATAAAGTTTCTGTTGCCCCATTATATATTGATTATCTTTCGCAAAAAAAATTCCTAGAATACATTAAGTTTGTTGTTGATAAGTCATTATTGAAAAAAAAATACGATTTACTACACGTGTGATCTCCTGATGCCAATTCACAAATTTGCATTTAATTAATATTCCTGATTCTTGGTTCGCACAGTATTCCGGTTTTCTGTGTTGTTTGCAAAAATCTCCATTCATATAACTTGTTCGTTGCGAAGGCAAAGAGACCATTCGTTTATGAAAGTTCTGACTGACCGGGTCGCGTTTTGAATTTTTCGATCGACTAGTTTTTTCAACGTATTTTTTGGTGAGCATGCACAAGTCGAAAATCGAGGATGAAAGTGAGGTTATAACAGACGGTAAACCGGAAGTTTGGGAGGTGGAACCTTCTAGAGCTGCCAGGAATTGTCGAAATCTCATCAGAGAGATAGTCGATAATTTGAACTTAGAGCCAAATCCAGAAAAACCAGTTATTGCGTTATCTATAGGTGAGTATATACAGGGCGTTCGCACGCATTCATTATTTCTAGCCATACGAATCATTTTCTTGATAAATCTGATGGACACACGTCGATTTCAAAAATATTTTGAATATGTATATATCTAAAAATAACACCGAAAAAATTCATGGGCTGATTCCTTTTGTGATATTTTAGGAAATAAAGTTCATATAAACATGTGTTCTAACCTGCTTCGTTTTCGAGATACAGAATATTTAATATTTCCATGAAAAATCTTTTTTCTATTCATTTCTCAATGGTCTTTTCATCAATTTCAATAAAACGTTGTGCTTTTGTTAATAGTAATATGGAGCTTCTTCTAGTGCAATAAGATTCGAAATAATACTTCCACAGTGGCGTCACAGTGGATAAATTGATTTATTATTACTCTATTACTATTCTTAAATATCTCTAAGCTTTCATATGCGTCTAATTTTCTAATATTATTAACTAGCTTAAAGTCCTATTCTTCCCAGGTTACTTGATCAATTAAGAATGAAGCGATTTATAGGATCCATGGTTCTAGATCGAAAAATATAAATTGTAGAATGAAAATATGACTTTATTTGTCCAATACTGTATCAAGTGATAGGTATTGGAATTGGAATGTCATTCTCGATCGAAATAAGTCAAAATATATAGGATGTCCCATTTAAAAATTGAAAGTTGGGGTAATTTCCGGTGATCCACCTTGAAAAATCACCCGGTATATACATACCTACATAGCCACATAGAACAAATTTCGAGTAGTCAATCGAAAGTTTAGAACGCTATGATCAGTTCTAGAGTTCTAGCAAAATCAGAAACGACTCCGTAAACAAAATGGCCTCAAAAAATGTGAAATGTGACGTATTTGGATCTGTCAAAATTTCGAAATTCTATCGGAAACCACACAAAATCCACAGTCATTTCTCTCTTGTTTGTTTAGGCTGTGGCGAGTATCCCGACTTACGTTTACTTTATATTTCGACCATGGCTAGTACTCCGATTTCCGGTAACTCTTCATTAATTTCGCCCTTTTCCGTTTCTACACCTCTATGACATTTTCATTCTGGCCATGGCTAGTACGCCGACTGTCGTTAACTCATTTTGACCGTGGCTAATACACCGGTCGTCGGTAACTAACCCAGTTCAAATCCTTTTCGAAAACATCTACATTGACGTACTGAACTCTTGAAGGCGATCCTACTGTCTACGGCAACTTAAAAGCGGCAGAAGAAACCGTTCAAGCAGTACGGGACGCTCTGGAAAGGGCCATTCACAATGGCTACGCCAACAGCAGCGGAACCTCGGAAGCCAGGCAGGCCGTGGCAGAATATTTATCCCGCGACGGGGTGCAATTCCAGCAGGAAGACGTGATCCTATGCAGCGGTTGTTCCTCTTCCTTGGAACACTGCATCGCTGCTCTGGCAGACGGCAGCAAAGGCCAAAATATCCTCGTGCCCAGACCTAGCTTCCCCCTTTATTGGACGCTCGCTGAACACATTGGGGTTCAAACCAGGTAACGAATCAACTACTTACACAGTCTGCAACCTACAAGCAGTGGCTAAGTTGCGTACTTTGGCAATGGCTAAGTTGCAGACACCAGTCTATTAAACTTTTATTTCTAGATACTACAACCTGATTCCTGAAAATAACTGGGAAGTGGACCTGGGCCATCTGGAATCCCAAATAGACCACAACACCGCCGCTATTCTAATAAACAACCCCTCCAATCCCTGTGGATCCAACTACACCGAAAACCATCTGCGAAGCCTCTTAGAAATCGCTTACAGACACAGACTGCCCGTCATAGCTGACGAGATCTACGAAAATCTGGTATTTCCTGACCAGAAGTTCGTTTCCATGGCCAGCCTCGATGCCTACGTCCCCATTTTGATATGCGGGGGACTAGCGAAGAGGTTCTTAGTGCCCGGTTGGAGGTTAGGATGGATCGCTGTGCACGATCCGGTGGGAGCTTTCGAGAAAATCCGCAAGGCGCTGAATGCCCTCAATCAAAGAACGATTGGCAGTAACACTTTGGTGCAGGGGGCGCTACCAGCTATCTTGAAAAACACGCCACAGTCAGCATTCGATGATTTGAGCGAGTTTTTGTGCAGCAATGCGATTGTGGCGTTCAAGAAGCTGCAAGAGGCTAGGGGGTTGACCCCTTTCATGCCACAAGGGGCTATGTATATGCTGGTGGAGATACATATGGATAGGTTCCCGATGTTCAACAGTGGATTGGAGTTCACGAGGAAGATGATGGAAGAAGAATCGGTCTTCTGTTTGCCGGGAGAGGTAATTTGCACTATAACTATTCATTATATACCTCAAATTAGTTATTTAGATATGGATGGCGAAAAATCGACCGCAGTTCAAATGGTACACTCCACCAGGAATTATTGAGAAAACACCCGTTCACCTACTTCAACGTGATTTTAATTCCTGCCGGACTACTTCAATACCCGCTGTACCCCGTTCTGGGCACTAAATCTTGGCATGAAGTGTGCCGCTTTACCTCCGCGGGCGTGCTTAAAATTAAAAAAACAATCACTGAAGACTAGAAAACTGTTGAATTTGTCTGCAATAACTTAGACTCTATAGGCGATTCAAAATAAGCGATACGCCTTCTTCTTCTAGTCACGTAACTAATGGAAAGACATGTTTGTTTACATTCAAGCTTCCATGCATTTTATCGAAAGTTCATTTTTCGAGTTTGAATTCTTCAGTAGAGTATCGGGAATTATTATTGCTTGGTTTCACATGTTATTCATATAGTTCACAACCAGCCACTTTGGCGCTGCAGTCGCCTATAATAAGACCCCCCAAAATGACAAGCATAATTATTGGTCTTTTTTTACGAAAAAAACAAATACCTCTTATTTGTTTGGAGACATCAGGAACCCAGTAATAACTTACTGAGTGTTCACAAATAGAGTGCAAATAATGCGAATAATATGCGAATATCTCAAGTAAATCGATATACTATTCAATATAGGTAACTCTTAATCCATTGGCAATATAAATATTTGCAAGACACAGTGGAGTTTCACAGGGCATACTCAAATAGTAGATTTTTCTTTTTTTTTGCGATCACTCGGTATAAGTAACGATATTGAAACTTGGAATTTGTGGGTTCTATATGTGCCAAAATCGACGAAATCATGCATAATATGAATTCTCGCTAATTGAAGTATTTAGTCAGATGACTGACGATTTGAAATCCTCATCGTAAATCCCATGATTTCGGATTGATTTATTTTCTCAAAAAAATTCTGACTGGTTTTTCTTCTGATTTTTTTCAGTGTTTTACAATTCCTGGGTTCATGCGGATTGTTCTAACGGTACCAATGATGGAAGAAGCCTGCCTGAGAATTATTGAATTTTGCAATCGATATTATACCAAATAAGTTATTTTATATTCATGAGAATGATATCTACCTCTTAGCCTAACTCAGAGACTGACTCAGCGATATTATATAATAAACTAGTTATTGTAATTCAACGGGTTTTGAAAACCTGATTAATTTTAATAATATATTCTATAATATGCAAGTATTGAATATTATGTATAATTTATACTTGTGAATAAAATCTCAATAGTGTTGTGAAATTATTGTTCTCAATCAATAACGATAACTACCTTTTTTATTTTTATTCTAATTCCATTAGATTTCACTTGTGTGATGCTCATAAATTTAAATAATGTGGACAAATATGCTGTCATGAATCTGGAAACGATGAAGGTATAGATAAAGGTAAGGCACTAATTTTATCGTTTTATCTGTTTATTAAAAAAAAATAACAAAATGAAGATTTTTCAAATCACGAGTTATTAATTCAACCTTATAGGTACTTATTCCAGAGAAATGTGATACATAAAGGAACTTGAAAAGAAAATTTAAATCCATATATATTATGTGATTGGTCCTATTAAATATTCAGGAAAATCTCGACAATCATATACATGGAATAATAAAAACAACAGTTTCCTAAATAAATATTTATAAATAATATAAATAAGCAAGTATTTAATATTAAATCAATTATATAAAATGCCTAACTAAAAATACCCAATGGAATACTGAACTTTACAGCAAGTCTTCTACTTTGAAGATCACATACATGAATTCATTACCAAAATGTATTGTCATTTGATTGTCAAATATCATTAATATATTCTCACATTATTTTCACTTTCTCTGTAACCGGCTAAAAGTCAATTTAGAATAAAACTGTTATTATTGTGTCGCCTCAGCAAACAATATATTTCGTAAAATTTTGTGAACTTTTTGCCTGGTTTATTTATATAGAGAAAAATTATTCACTTTCACGTACCTACCTGCTACTCTACAGTTGAAACAATAACATTTCAATATGAATAATAAAATATGTTGTTTCACAACTGGTTTTGAAATGTTCAGGAATGTCTGCAGAAGCAGTTAATAGATTTGAAATTCAAATGAAAATTATCTATATGTATGATATGCATATACATATATAAAGTGTATAGTATTTAGTATGGTATAAATTAATCAAACTAGCAATATAAAAAAAGGACTGGAACACATCGATTCATTATCTGAACAATTTTTTTTGCATTCCTTCATAAATATATAGAGGGTGATTCTCATGCATGTAATTCAAAAATAAATTTGACGTTGAATTTTTTCGAAATATTTTTGGGTTGGGGACGATGCATTTTCACCATATCTACTTTTATCTACACACAGTGTACAAAAATGAGCAAATATAAACTAAAACGTAAATATATTGGCGTATATAGGTATGTTGAAATGTGTGACCATATACATTTTCAAAGTATACAGGGTGAATCTGTTTGGCCTATATAATGCTTCATTTACCTTCTAAAGTTTTTTGGTTTAAAAGGATAATTAATAGGTTGAAAATATAACAAGAGGTTTCTGATTAGTGTTTCTGATGAAATAATGCAACTAACTGTAGGGTATCTTAATGCTGGACTAATAACGGCATTTTTGCGCTTTTTTTTGGGAAAATTTAAACAAAATGTTTCATAGTTGGAGTCTTCTGTAAACCATTAAATACATATACCTGTTATCTCAAATATTTCATACAAGCAATTTTTTGCCAAACTTATTTTGGTGAGATATATATCCCGTTAAAAAAAACTCACTTTCAGATTCACCTTGTATACACTAGATGCATTCATTCAAACACATTTCTGAGGTAATTAGCTAGTATTTTGTAGCGTTTTGTACCTTCCACAAGGTTGGATTCAGATCAGATCCTATTTTGAAACGACAGTATTTTTTTATGACCACTTTCGAATTGACGGAGTTGTACATTGAATTTGAATTGGTCACCCAGTACCTAACCTACTTACTTACTATTCCATGTTTTCTGGGCATGCTGAAAGCTACCGATTTATCAATGGTTATTTTTGTCATTACAAGCACAAGCTTGAATGTGTGGCCTTTAGGTGGCGACACTTTACAGCCAAGGACTACAATTCACTCTTGTTCCCTGTCATTTCATGATTGTTTCAATTTTTTTATGGATCTCATGAAATGTAATAAAAACTGATGAATCAGTAGATATATATGTACCTAGTCAATTTGAAAATGTCTGGAAAAAATATGGATGTTTGCATTTTGATAAACATAAAAAATACTCGATAACAAAACATAGCAGACCTAATAATACTTTTAAAATAAATAATAATCACAATAAACTGAGATATTTATAAGGATGGTTGCAGCACAATAAGTGCGCAAATCAATCCGGCCTATTTTGCATGGACAAAAATGGGTGAGACATTTTGTGTTAGTAATGACAGCAGCTACTGCTGTCAAATTCATTGTCATTTGTGGAATGTATTGTCTTTGCTCAGTAAAAATTATTCCAGTGTTGATCTTAATTCAGTAGCAGTTGATATCAATTATTATAGTTAGTTTGAAAAACGAAGAGTCTAAGAGGAGTTGTTTGTGCTCAAATTTTTAAACAATAACATTCCACCATCAAGTAAAAATTGAATAATATTTGAAAGAGATGTCGATTTCATCTACATTTGACTCTTGAATAAGATGTAACAACTTCACAAACGATAAGATTTCTACAAAATTCTCAAACAGGTGATATACTGGTACAAACTAAACTAACCTTGGCTTGCTTACATTTTATATATTCTACTTTCCGAACCTGGAGGATTAGTTACTTGGGAAGCAAGCCAAGGTTAGTTCAGTTCATTGTACCAGTATATCACTTGACGAAGCTACTGTGTTAGCGAAACATGTCATGTGTTTGAGAATTTTGTGGAAATCTTATCGTTTGTGAAGTTTTCACATTCGCCATGGATTTCCATCAAGTAACGGTCGAGTCAATTAAAAACTAGGATAAGATGACTTTAGCGCCAACAGTCTCGCGATACATGTCCCCTTGAAGTCAAAGGAGGCAAATAAGACCACCCAACCATCTCATAACTACCCCATATTCTTCGGCCAATAGAGCTTCTCCTGCCAGCCGATGGTTAAAAAGTACACGAGAATCTCGCAGTGGGTGACATCAAAATTGAAAGTTAATGCTACCAACGAATAGCACAAAATGTCTGACCCTTTCTAAGGGAAATATGGTCAATATGACGTTTTCAATGACTTTAGCGCCAACAATTTTGCGATACATGGGTTGAAGTCAAAGAAGGCGAGACCATCCAACCATCTCACAACCATCCCATTCCAAGCCTTCACGAATGGAACTTCTCGTCCTTGACCGGCACGCAAATAAACATCTTAGCACACCCGTTATTGAAATCTTTGGAAGGGCTCTTCAGCCAATAGGGCTTCTCCTGCCAGCCGATGGTCAAAAAGTACACGAAAATCTCGCAGTGGATGCTATCGAAATTGAAAGTTAATGCTACTAACGAATACCACAAAATATCTGACCCTTTTTAAGGGAAATATGGTCAATATGACGTTTTCAGTTACCTTAGCGCTAACAGTCTTGCGATACATGTCTCGTTGAAGTCAAAGAAGGAAATCGTTGAAAGCTCTCTTCAGCCAATTGGACTTCTCCTGCCAGCTGATGGTCAAAAAGTACCTACTCGGAATCTCGCAGTGGATTGTATGACATCAAATTTGAAAGTTAATGCTACCAACGAATAGCACAAAATGGCCGACCATTTCCAAGTGAAATATGACGTTTTCAATTACTTTAGCGCTAACAGTCTTGCGATTCGTGTTACGTTGAAGTCAAGGAAGTGGAAATCACGCAAAACCATATTATAACCACCTCATAACAAACCTTCACGAATAAAACTTCTCGTCCTCGGCCGGCACGCACATAAACAGCTTAGCGCACCCGTTATTGAAATCGTTGAAGGCCCTGTTCAGCCAATAGGGCTTCTCCTTCCACCCGATGGTCAAGAAGTACACCGGTATCCCGCAGAGGATGAAGGCCACGCCTACCCCGACCTCCACCGGACTGACGTAGCAGGGAAAGGTGACCAGGAAGGCGCAGATGACGAGGAAGACGATCGGCAGCGCGACGCTGACCCGGATGGGGCGCAGGGCTTCGGGTTTGGTGCGACGCATGTAGATGAGGCCCGCCACGCTCATCGTGATGAATAGCGCCTCGACGAAGGAGACGTAGGTTATGAGGACGTAGATGTCTTCGATCATGACCAGGACGAGGGTGATGATGCACTGAAAATGTCACTGGTGGTTTGAACTCAGAAGGTTTGCAGAAGTTGGAACGTTTATGGCCAGAAGCAGAAAAAGAATTATCAGGAATATTAATTTATCGGCATCATTAACTTGCAGTGATTTGAAACAATTATACCATGCATGATTGGCAATTTCGTCAACATTATCCAACTCAAATAAATGTAAAAATCTCAAAGTCATATCCACACAGTGTTCATAAAATGAACAACAATGGTAGATTTCTGGAGAAAAACAACTACTTCCCTGGCTAATGCCACGCAGGATATTGAATTACATCCTCCAGAAATCTATGCATCGACTCGTATAAACGAATACTGATACAAGTGATTCTTTCCGGTTTCTGATGAGAGTCAAAGAGCTCGAGTATTGTAAAATATCCAGTGAATCCAAAGATTAGGAGAGGGAGAAGGAGATGCCGACCCCCATTATCTAGGCCACTGAAGAGGTTCTTCAAATGACCTCAATCATTACTCACAGATGTAATACATTAGTCTGTGTGCGAAATGTTATTGAAATCGGTCGGGTGGTTTGTAAGTTATGATGAGGAATACAATTTTTGCCCAAAACTTCAACACCCTGTATAATTAACTAAAGTTTGTTCATGAAAGTCTACTTCGTTCCCGTTGTTCTATCGCCTATCAAAATCAAAGAAGTTTAACCTGGACCACCCTGCATGAATTTTATATTATGGTATATTCTCTATATTCATGTCATAAATTCTGTGACTTTTGCCTCATTCTTGTCAAAAATGTCTACATTGTGCGTGAGATGTTTATAATTTATATGGCGTTTGAACTGATGCGCTTTTGTTTTGCCCAAGCTTGACGCTACTAAATAGTTGAAAATCGCAATATAAGGTTTTTGTTACATTTTATTTAAATAGATGTCGCTGTACGAATTCCTTTCAAAATGGAAATAGGGACTGGATCATCAGAATTTTATTGAACACTATCAAAAATGAACGTATATACTTACACCATTGCTGTATTTTTTTGACGTGATTATTGTTATTTGACGATGGAAAATGGCCATCAAATATATGACGAAATCAGCGCCTCTTACGGATTTTGTAAGAACAAGAACCTTATGAGAGTCATCAGCTTTTGACCAATATAACTATGGCAACCATCCTTTTGATTAAGAACACTGAAATGTTTATAATTCCCCCACTCTCCAATTGTTTCATGAGAGTAGCTCTCGATATGAACAATATTGAATGCGAGTTAGGAACGTGGAGTTCTCATATTCGATGATAGATGGCGTGAAAGATGGACAATTAATTGAATAATTTCAAAATGCGTTTCGAATCTTATTATGAAGTTGAACTAGACTTTCAATGATGTGTTTTCCTTCTTTCGGGACCTGAAGAGTCCAGTTGATGATGCAGGAATTCAATATTAGCTGATAAGAAGCATCTAGTGACAGGACGCAGAAGAGACAGGGCGCAAGAAAAAAATCGTGTGGAAACATCTTTCAAATAAAAATATTATAAAATAAGAGCATTAGCAGTTTATTAAGCAGGTATTGATATTGATATTATATTATTAGTTGAGTGAGTGTATTGTGCTTTCATCATGGACTGACTGCTGCAATGTGTGAGGTTTATTTGAAAATCCGAACATTCGATTCATTTTATGCACCAAAAGTGAGTAAATAAACTATAATCACAGGATTTTCTTGAGCTAGGACTTCGCGTCGTTCATGCATTCACCATTGAAAGTCGAAAATATAACGCACCGTTTCCATTTACACAAATGAACGTGTCATGTTGCCTGTAAATTTGGTTTGAAACTTCGAAAATCTAGCAAGATTCTCCCACGCCTCGCTATTTTTACAAAGTAGGCGATATCGAGAGATTTCGAAACTCCTTCGATAGGAAGTGGAGTGTATAAGGACACCATCATTCTTATAAACATCTCGACCGTGCGATAGGCTTCGACAATAATTACATTTAAAATGTCAAATGTCAGGCTTTCATAGTCTATTGCCAATCTGTTACCTTCTTCAAAGGATGAGAAATTTAGACCGATAAGGAAACACTTGAAAAACTGCTGAAAGTTGCTCACCATAAACACCAGAGATGGTACGGGCGTCAACCGCTTGACGTCGATCAGACAAATCGCCCTGGGCAGATGGCCCGCCCTCGCGCCCACGAAGAACAGCCTTGAGGACGCAAAAATGGCGCCGTTCAGCGAGCCGAACGTCGAACAAGCCACGAAGAAGGGCATGACGAGCGAGAACGAACCGAGCATCTTGTCGGCGAACGTGACGGCGACGGCTTCGGAGGACAAGATGTCGTCGCGGCTGAGCACGACGAAGTAGGCAAGGTTCGTGATGACGTAGACGGTGGTGACGACCGGCATCGAGATGAAGATGGCTTTAGGCAGGTTCCTGTGGACGTCACCGACATAAATTGCTAGCTAGACCGCTATTCGGTATAGAAAATGAGCGTACCTCACTTAGCGGAGTTTTTGATAGCTGTCAAAGCGGTATATGTTTACTCTGTTTTTCTAATTGACATGTAATATTCGAAACTGACGGAAGTCGCGTAAAGTAAAATGTTTCTTAACTATTGATGAAATGTTTCATTGTGTCATCCAAAATCCTGTTGTGAAACGCGATATTCTATCATATGAAGGAAACTTCAAACTGACAAGCGAAATATTATTGTAATTTTGTTTCTTCTCTCCGGACTGGAATCTAGTTCATCCCAAATTCATTCTCTTTATAAAAGTGACAAAATGTTAATGTCATGAAATTGCATAGCAACGAAAAATAATATCGGAAAATTTCGACTGTTAATAAAAACTGATATCAAAAAGTATTCGCAAAATCGTTATTCATCGAACATAAAAGGAATACAAAATCCGACAGTATTCACAAAATTCCCAATACAATTATTCATTGAAATTTATTAATCATCATTTTGTGAAACATTTTTCTCGCCAAAATTAGAAGAAACTATTGTACGTACACGTTAGGAAATATTAACACCCCTCTTCACATATAAAAAAAAGTTGATGGTGCCCACCGAGGTGTCCACTTGACAATAGGTCACGTGACCACAACCATTTTCATGCCGAATAGTAGTGAAAGAGGTACTTTTTTCTTCAATTTTACCCGACCTTGCCAGCTTGTTCCGTTCAAAAGTTGAAAGGGGGGAAGACTTTTCACTTCCTCACTGTAAAATTATCCAGAAACTCCAAGAAATTCCAGGGAATTCCAAGGAATTCCTAGGAAATCCAAGGAATTCCTAGGAAATCCAAAGAATTCCAAGGAAATCCAAGAAATTCCAATGAAATCCAAGGAATTCCAAGGAATTTCAAGGAATTCCAAGGAATTTCAAGGAAATCCAAGAAATTTTGCAAATTGAAATCCAAGGAATTTCAAGGAAATCCAAGAAATTCCAAGGAAATCCAAGGAATTCCGAGGAATTCCAAGGAAATCTAAGGAATTCCAATAAAATCCAAGAAATTCCAAGGAAATTCAAGGAATTCCAAGGAAATCCAAGGAATTCCTAAAAAAAACAAGAAATTCCATGGAATTCCAGTTGTTTGTAGAATAGGGCATATAAAGCACTTCATCCAAGGAATTCCAGGGAATTCAAAGAAAATCCAAGGAATTCCAAGGAAATCCAAGGAATTCCAAGATATTCCAAGAAATTCCAAGGAAATCCAAGGAATTTCAAGAAAATCCAGGGAATTCCAGTTGTTTGTACATCAGAATTCCACCGCGATTTAAACCTCGACTCGACATAAAAAATGTAGTTTTCGACTTGGAGACAATGGGAGACAAGATATAACAATAACAATGATGTATGATTGACTCTCCAAAAAAACGTGTTACTAACTTGTATGGGTCCTTGAGTTCCTCTGTGACATAATTCAGGTAGTTCCACCCTGAATAGGAGAACAACCCAGCATAGAAGGCCAACGCTATGTGCCCCGGGTCCCAATTCGTTCCCTCCATGGGATCTCGGAAATTTTCCACGTGTCCCACGCAAAGATAGTATATGCCGGCCACCAGAATGATCAGCAAGGCGAACATTTTTGTTGCTGTGAAGATATCTTGCACTCGCGTCACCCATTTTACATTGTAACAGTTGATTATCTGAAATATTATCATCACTTGTAATACCACTAGAGGTGAAAAAAATTCCGGAAAATGATTTAACCCTGTGTGGTATTCGGTAATAAAATTTCACACTAGTTTGTGTTTGGAAATTGAATAATTTAAGAATTTATTTATTTGATTTTCATATAGGTTCATGAACAAATTTAGTTTGCGTCGCAGTTACTATATACAAGGTGTTTTTGGAATAAGTGCACATATTCAGCACATTAATATGATACAGTCTAAGGAATATTCCCATATCAACTTTTTTCTAATTCTTCTAGTTAATGAGAAATTTCATCCCAAAAATTGATCAAAATACGAGAAAAAGAATCAAGAACGCCACTTTAAAACAATTTAAATGATTGAACTCCGCGTGATCGTGCCTACTGCATGGAAATTTAGCTTTCTCAGTGTTTGAAATATTTGCACTTATTTCAATGCCACCCTGTATTCTAGTGGTAGAAAATTATAATATTATTCTGTCATTGAAACGTCAAAATGTCCGATTTAATTCGCTGTTGGGTACCCAAGAGGAGAAAATCCACTAAAATACATACATTGCTATGGTAATTTGTCGAAAAAAAAACGCCATTTGATTGGTGAAATGGAATTTTCCCTTCAACAAATTTTTTTGTAGAAGGTGTAAATTTCTGGGACATACAATTTCTACAACATCAGATGGCTGAACTTCCGGTTTAACCGAAAACATTAACTCTAACTTTTTAATCGGTACACCCTACCCTGTATACTATTCTAGTTGAAATCTCAGTTGAAACTATGTGACATTCGTCACTATACCAGCAGGGTGTTTCATCAATAATTGGAAATAATTCTCCTGAGTAGGAGTTCCAGACTAAAGTAGATTTGAGAGTTTAATGGATTCAATACAAGTTTTTGGTACAAACCATGGACATATAAATGGTTCAAACCCATCCAATCAAATCATCCGACTATTTAATTCATGTATGAAAAATCCCACTAGCCGCGTGATTTTGTCATTATGACAGCGACAAAAGTTTGTCCTAACTTTTCCAGCGACAATAACGGAACCTAACTTTTGAAAGCATTACAACCAGCCATAAACAAAAATGTTTGATGAATTAAATTGTCTTACCGAATTACATTATTATTATTATCTCTGTTTACATCTCGCATCATCCTTCTCGCATCCAACGATAGTGGCGCCATTTTCACCGAAACACTACATCGTGCTTACAGTACCACACTCCTCAGTAACGAGCAAGTGAGTTTTTTGGAATTAAATTATTATGATACAATAAATACACACCAGGAATATAAAAACAAAAATACTATGTTGTTATTGTTGTTCCTCAATGACGAATGCCCATGGTGGTTGACACTGTCGACATTTGACAGAACGTCAATAAAACCCGCCATATTCGAAATGGCCAATCAGCAATTTGTGTTGGAACTATAGCCAATGGAACTTCACCTTTGCATTACCCAATAAATTTTTGGATCTAAAAACGAGTGCATGCGTCTCAAAAATATATCTAGATGAAAAGGCCTATTAGGTAATTCAACTCAAAAAACTGCCACAAATAAAATTACTCGTCCTACGGACGAATTTTTTCAGAGGCAATTATTTTCGTCAAATTGCCAGGAACAAAATTCTTATTTATACATGTCAAGTTCACTTCAACAAAAAAAACTCTCCTATGGTGAGAATTAATCCTTGTGAATTATTTTGTTTTTTTTTTTATTGAATAACAAGACATTTAAATAAATGTTCTATTTGTCAAAGATGCAGTTTTGTGACTTAAACCCGCTTAAATTAATGTTCATATGACCAAAAACAAGAAAGTATTGGTTATAGTGGCGAGCCAACCTTTGGAGACCCGGGTGGATATATAAATACAAACATAATATTACTTACAGTGTGGACTGTGAAAATATAATAAATATTCATATCTTGTACAAACCAAGGAAAAATCAGGAAATTTCTTGGAAAGATGAATTTCAATTCATGAAGGTGAAGGTGCATTTTTCAAACGTACCAAAAAATACAGAGTGATCCGTACGGAGAAAATTGATATAATTGGTAGGATTTTAAATGAGACCTGATACCATCGAATTCTAATCATAATTACATAACCAAATATGGGATTGGTATTTGAAACAAAGATTTGAACATAATATACAGTGTTAATTTCAGATGAGCCAAAATAATTCTGAGAAATCTTTGGACAGGTAAATTCTAATTTTTGAATGGGCATCTCATTTAAGTGAAATGTTTTAAATGAGACATGGAATATGAAATAACACCAGGGTGTACCATTATTCCATCCACTTCGTATTTTTCATGTGTTGAAAAAAAAACTCTCGGAATTATGTATGATGGAGGAATATACGAGGTGTCTCACTTTTGACCCAATCTTTTCCTTTTTATAATAATTATTTCAGGTAATTGAAATGATCTTGTATCCTACAAAAATAAAATGAATATGTTGCTCACCGTCAAAATACACGTTGTGGCTGCAGCCAATAGCCTGACGGCCTCGTATGGTGCTGGACAGGTCCCCCAAAGCGGTTGCAAAATATACTGGGCGAACGTTATAGCGGTGATGGCGTTTCCTGTGGGCACCAGTATGAAAAGGGCCACCCAAAGATACAAAAATGCAGGTAGGGCTCCGAAGGCTTCCATGATGTAGGCGTAGTCGCCACCAGATTTTGGAATCATGGTACCTTAAAAATCGAAAAATCTTTCTAATCACATATTGTTTTTTTAAAACTTTGGATTGGATATAAATAACAGGCAATATCCAAATTATTCATTGCATAAAATAGGTGATCAATGATTTTTTTTTAATTTATGTACAGTGTTACCCACTTCAAGACAGGAGTGTTTTTGAAATAAGTGCACATATTCTGCACATAAATATGAAACAGTCCCATGATATCAGATTTTTTCTAATTCTTCTAATTAACTAGCAATTTCATCCCGAAAATGTATATTTTTACATATTCAAGTTCAACAGGTCGAAACAAAAGTGCAATCTCTATTTCAAATGTCATTTTTTCGAAAAAAATTTAATTAAAATTGTTTTTTCATTTTACCTCGTGGATAAATGAGATGTGGTCAAGACTATTTACAATGAGTCACACATAACAGAAGAACATAATTTTTTCTAAAAAAATTATTTTTTGTGTCACTTATCCAGGAATCAATTCAGCCACATCACTTTTTGATCAAAAATTATTTTATTTCAAATGGAACCCCTATGGGCCACCTACCCGTCTCTCTAGAACATACATTAAGGAACAAAATGACATATCATTTTTGTTTTTCGGTGCAGTAACAAATTGTATACATTCAAAAATCAACAACTAGTTTATGAATTTCCTTGCAGTTAGAATAATTTTTCAACTAGGTAGGCTGTGGAATAAATGACATTTGACATCAAGATTGCACTTGTTTTGACCTGTTGAACTTGAATATGTAAAAATATACAGGGGGTTCCACTTGAAAAAACAAAATTGCTGGCATTTCCAGAAAAAGCGGAAGTCTGCCATATTGGATTGTAATGTGATCAAATCCGAAATAGTTGCTTTAATAACTGTACCGAATTTCAGAAAAATCCGTTGACGAATGCAGAAGTTAAAGGGGTGGCCCGATAACCTGTGTCACCCGGTATACAAGGTGTTTTTGAAATAAGTGCACATATTCAGCACATTATATGATACAGTCAAAGGAATATTCCCATAATATCAGATTTTTTCTTATTCTTCTAATTAACGTGATATTTCATCCCAAAAATTTAACAAAATACGAGAAAAAAATCAAGTACGAAATTTAAACAGTGTGGAACTTTGGATGGAAAAAGGGGTCTAATCTCAAATTTTATTTTGATCCCTATATTTTTTTCATCAGTGCCATTCCATAGTACACGTCGAGCTTTCTCATTGTTTGAAATATTTCAATACCACCCTGTATATCAAATGTCCAAATAATAATCTTTATAGTTGTACATTCATTTTATTTATATTTTACATGCTTGTATATGCATTTTTCCTAAATTTTATTTCTGTTTTGTGTATATTTTACTTTGTCAACAAAACTAGAGTTGTTCAACAATAAAGAATATTTTGATTGATTGATTGATTGATTGAATTCCTACTAGTATTTATACCTATATACATAAAGTGATAGTAGTAGTATAGTAGTAGTAGTATATATGTACTTTGTTGGTGTGTATGTACACACAACTGGCCATCGACCTTACGAGGTCCTTCAGCCATGTGTGTTCTGTGTAGGCTTTGTTACTGACTCCATACGCCACGTTAGGAGTAGCACTGTTAATTGGAATGAAACAGTGAATCGTGCGGAATCATATTCGGCCGGGGCTACGAAAATTAGAATTCATAACTCATTTTGTAAATAACTATTCTCCGTTATACCTAGGGATTCGATATCTAGGGACCTTCTGATGTTTTGGTAACTAGTCGATAGCGCGTTGTCCTATATACATATATATATATTATACCTATATACAGTCTGTCCAAAAGATAAGGTTGCACAGCATGGGGATCTCGGAAACGGTAGGAGATACGAAGTCGGTTAAATGGGGAGGGGCATTCGGAGGCTCATACCAACAGCCTTCGAAAATTTTCTAAATTGTGGCATTTTTCCTTTGGAATTTCGAAAAAAACATTGATGATGGCTAAAAATAGTTCGAAAAACATTCAAACCACCTTGTTAATACATGGTTGAATTCAGAATAAAAAAAGCTTGCAGAATCTGTGAAAGAATTATCAGGGCCGTATTTAAAAAACAAAAGTTGATGATGGTTCTACGAATACGAAACGTCGCATAGAAAAATCGGTATCACCACGTTAAACGTCATCAAAAGTTGCTATGAAAAAGTATTTTCAGTTTTCCTGTATCTCTAAAATAATAATGGAGAAAAAAATAAAATAGAGATTCCAAAAATTCACTTTTTTCGATATAACTGAAAAAGTAAAAAAAAATTTGAAAATTTTCGAAGGCTGTTGGTATTAGCCTCCGAATGCGCAACTTTTTCCCCATTTAACCGACTTCGTATCTCCTAAAGTTTCCGAGATCCCCATGCTGTGCAACCTTATCTTGGACAGACTGTATATCTGTTACTGTTTTGATTCCCTTTCAAAATGAATTCAAACCATATAATAATAATTATCAGGTGTGTTTATTGCAGTATGGTTGGTGAGTCCTAGAATATTTTGGTGATAATAAATACCAATGCCACAGCATTTATACCTATCTATAGTATATAAGTATAGGTATGAAAATGTTCATATTTAATTTTTACATCAGATTTTTTACCACTTCATTTTACATTTTCGTTTGCAAGGTGGTTTTCTGTTTTATTATATTCTCAATTAAGTAGGCACATCTGTAGTAAGAAGTATAGACATGATATAAATAAAAAAATAATCAAATATCTGGCCAAAACAACATTCAACAGGTGGTAGGCAAATAAAAAGCCACAGGTGGGAAGGGAGCACAAGCAAATAGCACCTTAATGAAAACTGATAATAAGAACACGTGAATGATGCAATGGGAGTATAGATTTTCAAGCGCATGGTGGTAGATGGTTGATTATATTTTCATCTGATGCAACAATTTTGCCGGCTTGCAAAACATAAACATATGATTGAAAATACTTGGGTTACTTAATTTTTGTGAGGAACATATCAATGTGCCAATCAGGAACCTGACTATACAATCTACATCTACAATTCATATCAACAATACGTGAAATATGTTAATTATTGTTTGTATTCGTTTATATGAATATTTCAATATGGTTTTCAAAATGTTCTTACCTAATTCGGCATAGCATAGGGCCCCCAACATGGACAAGAACCCAGATAGAACCCATACTATTATTGCTTGTCCTATAGACCCGGAAAACTTGAGTACACCTTTTGGGGAAACGAAAATTCCAGCACCTATTATGACTCCTACGATAATAGCGACGCCATCCCACAGGGACAATTCTTTCTTCATGTGAACCCCTGATGAAGATTCTTTAACTTCATTGGCGTTGTTAGAGCTACCCTTTTCCAATTTCTGCTTGCCCATTTCGCCTAAAACCTTGCTTGACTATATAAGTATATACCTACACTTCCGTCAGCACCACGTGCACACCACTACCTTCACTATTACTATATATAACTATATTTCAGTACATGACCTCCCCCCACTATGGTTTGCTTATCGTGAACTCTATCCGATGAATGAAAATAATGAATAGAATAAAGAAAACGGTTCCTTTTCGTGTTTTGCCCGTTCTAAATCCCGCTCCCGAACTTCAATACAGCGGTGCCACTTCTCTGCAATTTCTTGAGATTATTGACGTTGTGTGTCAATTCCAACTGTTCGTCATTGAATTATTAATTGTTCAAGGGTAAATCATTCAGATGTTGAATATAGTGTCTTTGGATAGCCACCCAGTATGATTTACACTCCTCATTATTACATTTTGAACCAACTCGTCCCGCGAATATACAATACAAATAAAACGAAAACAACATATGTGTGATTGGCAACACTGGCTCGTACTGATGTTTGAATTGGTTTGAAATACTAGTTGCACTTTTCCCTCCCTATTTGGCATAAAGTTTTTTCCAAAACTGGATTATAAAACAGTTTAACACTTAACAGTGTGTACACTTCATTTCAGCAAGTTTGCCACGCATCTGCTTCGACTGTGAAACATTAATTGTTTGTAAATTGAGTGACAAATAAAGTTCTCAACTTGAATAAGTCTCGTTCCATATAAATACTTCCCCTTTTTTGTTGGCGGCATCCTGTGCAAAATTGCTTTATTAAAGTCATCGCATAATTGAATTATTTATATACCTACTTAATGATTTATAGACAGAGCTGGACAAGATGGATTTCATGGCTGATGATTCTTTTTAAAGTGTGTCCACCATAAGGAATTTACCACCCCCTATAAAGTGGTTTATTCTCTGACCGATTTCGAGAAACTTTTTTTGTTGCGGATGTAGGTATATTTGGGATGTCCAACAAGAGAGTGATTTTATTCTTGGACTCTCAGCAAACACAGTTACATCACAGTGATATCGCAGTGATGTAACAATTATGACCTGCGATATTTCATTCTATATGTCGCATAGACATCGCTTGCGATGTCAGAGGGATGTTATTTTGTTCCATTCAAGTTTCATCCATGTGATGGCGCTGCGATAAGTTTTCTGCGATAAAACAGCGACATATTTTTTGCAACGTAAATGTTATTTGTGATAGATAGAAAAGTTTCCTCAAACATATGGTGTGCATGATAATACACCATACTGACCTCTGCTGATGACATTTGTACCTACGCATCTCCATCAGCTAGGATGAGATCAGTTACTCGTATATGTATACTCTTTGATAGCAATAATGTAACGAATATTTGCGAATTTTGCGATTAACTTATATTCACGTATTATTTTTCACCCAAAATATCAAAAAGTTTTGACAAATTTCTCTTCTAGAAAAAAAAACAAGTTGAGCAGGTAGGATAAGCAAAGTGATCCTGATTCAGATTCTATCATTATTTTTCATGAAAAAAATTCCTAATAGTACTTTCTGGAATATGGATAAAAAAAATTGATCGCAGTTTTGGTCACGATAACAGTCCAAGAATAAAATCACTCTCTTGATGGATGGACGTACATTCCTAATACCTATCCAACAAAATTTTTCTAAATTGATCAGATAATACTGATTTCACAGAGGTGGTAATTCCTTTAAGGTGGAGACACTCGATATCACTATGTTTTTCTAAATTAAAATGGTTTTAATCACAGCCAATAGGTTTCTGTTTTTGCTTCAATGAATATGGTTCCTTCCATAGCTAACTATATCTACATGCATGTTAAATTTTAATTTGCATGTTTTTCCCAAGATGCTTATGGAAGTGTGGGCCCACAAGTTTTCAGTTCACCATGAATTTTGAACACAGGCTCACATTTTGTTGTTACGGACCTGGTTTCCAAACGTATCTGTGGAAAATTCGCGTTCTATGCTCACTGCCCAGTGTATCAGCTGTTTTCTGCACTTTTCGTTTCTGTGGTGTTGAAATTAGGTTATGTTATTGTTTGCAGTTGTAGTTCTCGTAGTTTGTCTTGTTTATATTCCAATTCCATGCTTATTACACTAATAATTAACTTTCTTGTGAGAGAACATGTAGAATGGTCCCAGCTTGAGCTATTACTACAAGCATTTTAAAAGTATCTGGTTTTTATCATAATGTCGTCTACTACTTGGAAAAGCGAATATTACATAGCACTAGAATGCAAAGATTTGCAAGCCAATGCTATGGCAGTAGATGCTACCGGGACTTATGTTTTGCTAGCCGGGTATGAAACATACGTTTAATTTCTAGAACAACTCCTGCAAGCTTATTTTTCAGGAGAAGGTATTTGGCAATCAAAAACTTAGAAGACCCAGAACTAGTTCAAAAATTCCCCAGGCAAAGTAAATATGATGTGGGAGCAGCCGAATGGAACCCAACTGCATATCACAAAGAGCTTTGTGTCATTTCTGTAAGTCAAATATTCCCAGACAAGAAATTAATCATCCCCAGAAAGTGAACTATTCAGTCTTATTTTCCTTTGGAGAAATCACAGTTTCACCACTTTCCATGGTGTATATATTTTATAAAATATTCATTTTTTTTTCAATACCTACTGGGTGTTCTAGGCGGTAGCTCGCCCCTATTCATAATAGAAGATAAGCATGAAAATGCTACCTAACAACAATTTGTTAAGCTGTTAGTTAGTGGTATAATTCATCTTGTTCTTTGGTGGTTTTTGTTGTAATAGGTAACAACTATCAAGATCACTATTCAATGATATAAATAATATGTGAACAGGTACCTACTAGAAATCTTAATCACACACAGAGACAATCAATAAAATCCATCTTCAAGAGAAGAGATATTTTATATTTAGATATTCTACTTTCAATATATCCCCATCAATAATTGGAATTAGAATCATTTTTTGTCTCAACAACAGGAACACAAGTTCATGAAATTGACACATCAATTGAATCAAATGAAAAATACCCACTTAAAAAGCTTCAAGTTATTGCTCTCCTATGTTTTCTTCTTTTATTGTAAATTTCTTTTTCATTTCAAAGATATGACAAAGGGAACACCCTGAATTTTCATGACATATTTTTTCATCATCTTCAGTATAACACCAACCTTCCACTTTGAAATGGGACATCCTGTATAATCCTAATTTTTCATCTCAAATGACATTCTGGATGTAACAATGTCTCACTATTTTTTAGGGGCCCTCTTATCTTTTTACTTTTTCATATATTTCAATATTGTCTATAAATAATATTGTTATTGAAATTCATAGGCACACTAAAAGGACTTTTATACATATTCCATACCATTCTGATTGTCACACAGGATGTTACATATTTGGAGCACTGTTGATAGAAAATTGATAAAACTTTTTCTGAGTACGCCACTGATCAGATGTCAATATTGTGTTTTATCTATGGTTTCATTCTCTCATTCAATTCAACATAGAAAATTAGCATATGCCACTTATTGAAGTTCTTGAAAGCTGTCAAGGCGGCATGGTTACTTTGTTTTCATTGGTCCACATTTGGTTTTTGTTTTGGCTTGTTGGTCATATCATAAATACATTGATATCAAAACAAAGCGCTCAGAAATGTTCAAGTTGCTGCCGTCAGGTGGGGCGACGTGTAATTTTCTATCACCTAACTTCCAGCCCCCCTGAAAGTATGTGATATTTCTATTGGTTTGCATGTTAATGGACCAAATTCAATTTGATGCATACCAGATACTCTTCAGAATTATTTAATTATTCTAGGTTGGTATGTAATTTTTGTAAGAAACCAACAATCAATGATATTTGACATTTTATGTGGATTTTATGAATAGATGTTGAAAAAATAGACATTGAAATATTTACAAAAACAAATAAAATATTGAGATCAGAATGAAATTCGATCGTAGGTTATAGCAGGGCTTTCTATTTCCTCCAAAGTGTTTTTTTCTGAGGTCTTTTAGGAGTTCTGAATATTGCCATCTCTCGTGCAACAGAATCTTCTCAATATTTCCAGATTCTTCATTACAAAATCTTCTCTGTGCTGTTCGGATCTAAAACTAAGTATCTATTTGAAATTTGAATCGTGAGACGAACATGGAATGAAGAGTCTGCATATTTTTTTCAACATTCGTAACTGGAATGCGATATATTTTCGTAATTTATTAAATAATCAACTATCTCAATGCTTACAAGGCAGGCAGATAAGCAACAATTTTCTCTGCGATGGAAAACACTGTATATACCTAACCCATCTAGCGTCTACCTCCTTTGCAGAGAGGGTTTATGAACGCAAAGTTGGTACTCTCCCCTCGTAAGGGTACCTGTCGTGTTTCCATAGAGACATAAAGGTGAATATCTGTCTATCTGTTTGCTTGAGAATCTGGAAAAGAAATCAATATATCGCCTTCCGTACGAGCATGGTGATCTGAATTCAAAGAAGTATACTCTCATTTTTCTCTGTGGATCGTTCCTTCGGTTCGGCTTAACTGGATGGCTTTCTCGGATTTTGTTTCAAGTATCATACACTGTGCTTCTCGGATCTGCAACTGCACATCACATATCAAATGTCGAATCATATGAATCAAAAACGATCATCATTAGATGCTGTACATATACCCCAGTAATAATAGGCCAATTTCCGACCAAACCCGGACATTGATAATTACTAAACGGGACCTTTTTCAGTTTGTTTAAACAACTTCAAGTAACACCCTCAAGAAAGTCCCACGACCTTCTAAGTGGGATAGCGAAAATATGAAGGAAAAACTGGATGAATTATGCTCAAAATCGACAATTTTGATATTATCTCCTTATTGGTGAATCCAAGCTCAATAATACCTTTTATCAATTTTATAGGGAACTGAATTCTCTACAAGTTTCATATGAAACAGTTTTTCATACGACCAATATTGAAAGAGCTGCAGCGCTTTGAAATGGGGCAATTATCGAAAATACCATAATTGTTCGGTTTAGAATGACATTTTGCATGAATATTTTTTCATTAATCAAATATTGATCAATAGCATAGAATATTCCTTCTGTTATGAATTTGGACTGATTAATAACGATCTTATGTGTTCGCACCAGTTATGCAAATCCTCGGATTTCTGAAGTTTGCCAGGAAATCAAAAATATACCAACACTAGGCGAATAAGATCAATGAATGGGTCGATGAAAGTATTACAATCTCTCATTGAAGGAAGCAATTATCTGAAATGAAAAACAGTGAAACATTCAATACATAGGTCGACATCACATTTCTGGTACATTGTTCTGATATGCGAACAGCAGCTCTTGCCTGTATGTACAACGTCTGCGCATCCTCTTAGGCACTTGATTTCATATGAAGCTTAGTGAAACCCTTCGCCTGGCGAGTCATTATAACCAGTGAGTATGAGAATTGCTATGAAACATTCATTTCGTCTATCGAGATTTTCGGGTCAGAACAATTTTTGAATAATGCATACGACTTTGTCTCTTCAAGAAAAAGTTTGATGACATCTCCATCGAATAACTCTTCGCGTAATTCCGAAGAAGGAACGTTCCGATAATTAGCATAATTTTCGACAAGAAATTCATTAGAATTTGGTTGCAAGACTCCCTCGATTCATTCAATGGTTTTAGAATCTGGTCGCTCAAAGTCATCAGTCGGAGCAATGCGAAGTCTGTCACCATCCACTAGTCTCACTTCATCTTCAGCACGCAATTGTGGAGCTGGTAAATTATTTATCAGTCAACCACCATTCTCATTTCCAGAATTATAATCTGTCCAAACACATCCAGCAGGCGGTTCAATGAATATTTCCTCAATCTCTTTCTTATATGCCATTTTCAGTGCCTTCTGTGAAATAAAACCACGGTTGAAAGAAGAACAATATATGAAGTATCGATAGTATGGACGCCTAGCGTTACCGTATGGTATCAACTATAAGGACAATAATTGTTAGTCAAATTAAATAACAAGAAATTGAATTGAATAATAAGAATCATACTGTCTCGAAGTTTCGTTCCATCCCGTTTCTGTACCAGGAAATGGCAACAAAGTGAACGATACTTGTTCACACTATTTTACATGACGAAATTGCACGCTGGTGTCCAGAAACACGAAGTCAACACTTCAGGAGGGATAATTGTCGCCATTTAGTTGAAAAAGTTATAATCGATCCTGAGAGCTGGTTTGAGATAAAGACTAGCTCGCGAAGTAATAAAAACTATTTGTATTACTATTTACAATTAGATGAAACCATTATCCTTATTATTCACTCGATTGCAATAAAAAAATCATATGAAATGTAAAGAAATAGCTTTATTAATAACGATTTTAGGCATGCTCTAGGAATTTCCTTGAAAATCCGGTTTTTCCAGAATATCTTGGCTATCTCACTGAAGAGGTCGCAGGACTCTCTTAAGCGTCATCCCGTAAGGCATCCGAAGGTCCGTGTTTAGTAATAATTATCAATATCCGAGTCAAAACCTAATTTTACTGAGATTTCGATTACTTTGTCAGCAGCTATTATTATTACTGTATCAAAATATTATTAATTGCCAGGTGAACTTCAGAAATCCGAGGAATTACGTGACTGGTGCGAACGAATGAAATCGTTATTAATGATCCCAAATTCATAACAGAAGGAATATTCTGTGCTTTTGATCAGTTTTTGATGAATGAAAAAATATTCATGCAAAATGTCATTCACAACCGAACGATTATGGTATTTTCGATAATTGCCCTATTTCAAAGCGCTGCAGCTCTTTCAATATTGGTCGTATGAAAAATTGTTTCGTATGAAACTTGTAGAGAATTCAGTTTCCTATAAAATTGATAATAGGTATAATTTAGCTTGGATCCACCAATAAGGAGATAATATTAAAATTGTTGATTTTGAGCATAATTCATCTAGTTTTTCCTTCATATTTTCGCTATTCCACTTAGAACGTCGTGGGACTTTCTTGAGGGTGTTTCTTAAAGGTGTTTTAACAAACTGAAAAAGGTCCCGTTTAGTAATTATCAATGTCCGGGTCAAAACCTAAATTGACTGGGGTAACATGGATGTTACATTAGAAACTCCCCTGAATATTTTTGCAACGTTCGTAGTTGGATTGCAACATATGAGTTTTGTTTCCGAATAGAAGTTTCCTGAGTGGGCTTCATCCACATTTCCACTCAACGTGATTTATAATAAAGACCTGGAATCCCAAACACTGTACTGCTCAGACCTAAAACTAAGTATTGATTTGAAATTCGTATCGTGAGACGAACATGGAATGAAGAGTCTAGATATTGTTTTCAACATTCGTAACTGGAATGCGATATATTTTTGTAATTTATCAATGAATCAACTATCTCAATGAATACGAGACAGGCAGATAAGCAACAATTTTCTCTGTGATGAAAAACACTGTATATACCTAACCCATCTAGCGTCTACCTCCTTTGCAGAGAGGGTTTATGAACGCAAAGTTGGTACTCTCCCCTCGTAAGGGTACCTGTCGTGTTTCATAGAGACATAAAGGTGAATATCTGTCTATCTGTTCCCTTGAGAATCTGGAAAAGAAATCAATATATCGCCTTCCGTACGAACATGGTGATCTGAATTTAAAGAAGTATACTCTCATTTTTCTCTGTGGATCGTTCCTTCAGTTTGGCTTAACTGGATGGCTTTCTCGGATTTTGTTTCAAGTATCACACACTGTGCTTCTCGGATCTGCAACTGCACATCACATATCAAATATCGAATCATATGAATCAAAAATGATCATTATTAGATGCTGTACATACATGGATGTTAAATTAGAAACTCCCCTGAATATTTTTGCAACGTTCGTAGTCGGATTGCAACATACGAGTTTTGTTTCTGAATAGAAGTTTCCTGAGTGGGCTTCATCCACATTTCCACTCAACGTGATTTATAATAAAGACCTGGAATCCCAAACACTGTACTGCTCAGACCTAAAACTAAGTATTGATTTGAAATTCGTATCGTGAGACGAACATGGAATGAGGAGTCTAGATATTGTTTTCAACATTCGTAACTGGAATGCGATATATTTTTGTAATTTATCAATGAATCAACTATCTCAATGAATACGAGACAGGCAGATAAGCAACAATTTTCTCTGCGATGAAAAACACTGTATATACCTAACCCATCTAGCGTCTACCTCCTTTGCAGAGAGGGTTTATGAACGCAAAGTTGGTACTCTCCCCTCGTAAGGGTACCTGTCGTGTTTCATAGAGACATAAAGGTGAATATCTGTCTATCTGTTCCCTTGAGAATCTGGAAAAGAAATCAATATATCGCCTTCCGTACGAACATGCTTATCTGAATTTAGAGAAGTATACTCTCATTTTTCTCTGTGGATCGTTCCTTCAGTTTAGCTTAACTGGATGGCTTTCTCGGATTTTGTTTCAAGTATCACACACTGTGCTTCTCGGATCTGCAACTGCACATCACATATCAAATGTCGAATCATATGAATCAAAAACGATCATCATTAGATGCTGTACATACATGGATGTTACATTAGAAACTCCCCTGAATATTTTTGCAACGTTCGTAGTTGGATTGCAACATATGAGTTTTGTTTCCGAATAGAAGTTTCCTGAGTGGGCTTCATCCACATTTCCACTCAACGTGATTTATAATAAAGACCTGGAATCCCAAACACTGTACTGCTCTGACCTAAAACTAAGTATTGATTTGAAATTCGTATCGTGAGACGAACATGGAATGAAGAGTCTAGATATTGTTTTCAACATTCGTAACTGGAATGCGATATATTTTTGTAATTTATCAATGAATCAACTATCTCAATGAATACGAGACAGGCAGATAAGCAACAATTTTCTCTGCGATGAAAAACACTGTATATACCTAACCCATCTAGCGTCTACCTCCTTTGCAGAGAGGTTTTATGAACGCAAAGTTGGTACTCTCCCCTCGTAAGGGTACCTGTCGTGTTTCATAGAGACATAAAGGTGAATATCTGTCTATCTGTTCCCTTGAGAATCTGGAAAAGAAATCAATATATCGCCTTCCGTACGAACATGGTGATCTGAATTTAAAGAAGTATACTCTCATTTTTCTCTGTGGATCGTTCCTTCAGTTTAGCTTAACTGGATGGCTTTCTCGGATTTTGTTTCAAGTATCACACACTGTGCTTCTCGGATCTGCAACTGCACATCACATATCAAATATCGAATCATATGAATCAAAAATGATCATTATTAGATGCTGTACATACATGGATGTTAAATTAGAAACTCCCCTGAATATTTTTGCAACGTTCGTAGTCGGATTGCAACATACGAGTTTTGTTTCTGAATAGAAGTTTCCTGAGTGGGCTTCATCCACATTTCCACTCAACGTGATTTATAATAAAGACCTGGAATCCCAAACACTGTACTGCTCAGACCTAAAACTAAGTATTGATTTGAAATTCGTATCGTGAGACGAACATGGAATGAGGAGTCTAGATATTGTTTTCAACATTCGTAACTGGAATGCGATATATTTTTGTAATTTATCAATGAATCAACTATCTCAATGAATACGAGACAGGCAGATAAGCAACAATTTTCTCTGCGATGAAAAACACTGTATATACCTAACCCATCTAGCGTCTACCTCCTTTGCAGAGAGGGTTTATGAACGCAAAGTTGGTACTCTCCCCTCGTAAGGGTACCTGTCGTGTTTCATAGAGACATAAAGGTGAATATCTGTCTATCTGTTCCCTTGAGAATCTGGAAAAGAAATCAATATATCGCCTTCCGTACGAACATGCTTATCTGAATTTAGAGAAGTATACTCTGGTCATTTTTCTTTGTGGATCGTTCCTTCGATTCGGCTTGACTGGATGGCTTTCTCGGACTTTGTGTCAAGTATCAAACACTGTGCTTCTCGGATTTGCAATTTAACATCACATATCAAATATCGAATCATATGAATCTAAAATGATTATTATTGGATGCGGTTCATGGATGTTGATATAGAAACTTACCTGAATATTTCTTGCCAATCTATGAAAATTGTATCCAACTCTTGAAAAAGAAGAAATTACAATCAGATGAAATGTTCTACCAAACGGAGATAACACTTTGTATAATATTTTATATGGTTAAATATATTCGAGATGTTCTTACCTACCAGATGAAGAATTGGACACGGAGAGTGGTGGATTTTTTTTGGAAGTCTCCCAGGATATTATGAAAGAGTTCACCACAGGCTGAAAATATATATTTTACAAAAATCTCTCGTGATATGAAATAATTCAACAGGACAGTATGTAGTGGAGAAATCGAACGCTTCTCACATACAAGTCGGGAAACAATTCACCATAGTGACATACAGGCAAACAATTTTTGTTTCAAAAAATGTCACATTTGAGAATATACAGGTTGGGCAGTGGAAACAAAACAGCAGATCGTCAGGTCGACAGAACCGGATTATATAAAAACGCTGAAACACGTCAGCAATATTTTCGAGGAAGCCATCGTTCTAAAATATTTTCAGCAACACTTGACACTGAATTACTATTTACTGACATTTAATTGGAACAGATGCAGGGTGATCAGAATTCTGAATCTTGAAATCGTTCGAAATAACCCAATCAAACCCGGTATCGTAAAATTCGTTGTGATGATCCCCATCCGATTATGGAAAAAATACAGGGTGTCCCATTTGGAAATCAAAAATTAATGTCATTTCCAGGAAAACCGGATGATGAGAAAAAAAAACTAAAATGTGATAAAGGGCTCTCTAGTGAGCATATTCGATACTTTAATTTTCAGGAATATAGCTAGAAAAGCAAAGGAGAAAAGGACGGTATGATAAAATGATGAAAAAAAAAACACTCACTGATAATCAATTCCTTTAGCGTATATCCCAATGCCTATGAGAAAATTCAACCGTACGCGACATATCACAAATGTCGGAATACAACAATATCAAAATAAGATACCTTTATCCATTAGACAGATAGTTTATTGGTACCAGAAACCAAAAGACTATTCGAATATCACAATATTTAATATAGCATGATATACCTATTATGTGTAAAGAGGAGATATAAATGAACAAAAATGAATATGAAGACCTAATAATAATGTTTTGTTGATTACCATTACGACGAGTCGAGAGTAGCACCAGACCTGATAACTTGGAACCCTATCACATCCAGTTTATCATAGCTTTGCACGTTTCTCATGAGATTTTCTTGATCATTATTCAATAGTTCGAATGTGATTCGAATATTACATGATAAACCATTTTTTACTCGTGACACTACTGACACTATTGAAAGTATTGACACGTATTGACGTATCGCAGATGCACCAACATGATTTTCAACCAGTCAGATGTGAAGTTCACAAAAACTAAATTTTTCTTCTGAATAACTTTCATCAGAAAACTGAGTAGACGCCTACAATCAAATTGCACCAAAATAAAGCTATTTGAGTAATCAAACGTCCATAATATTGCTTCCACAGTGGTAGAGGTTGTTAGGTTGGCAACTTGGAGCGAAGTCACCCATTGGGAATTGACATCTTCTCTCAAAACGGATAAAATAATATGATATATTATGATATAAAAATATAACTTACCAATATGTTTAGTATCGAAATGAAAATTGAAATGTATATGAGAACTCTGATCTTGAGTAGCTTGGAACTTCTTCTTTTTTGAAAAGTTTGGTACCTTCTCGATTTTTTATAGAGCAATCAACGACTCGAGGTCCTCACTTGGAGACAAGACGAACTAATACAAACTCATTCTCTGAGAGCCCACACGAGGGTCATCACTGACCTGAACTGGCACAAATTTGACTCCAACATCCTAGCATCTTGTTCCGTGGATACTTTCATCCATCTGTGGGACCTAAGGGACTCGAGACGCCCCATTTTATCCCTCTCTGCGATCGCCGAAGCTTCTCAAGTAAAGTGGAACCGAAAATCGCCCCATTTACTAGCCACCGCTCACGAGGGCGATATAAAAATCTGGGACCAAAGGAAAGGCACAGCCCCCGTGCAGTACATAGCCGCCCACTTGGCCAAAATACATGGCTTAGACTGGAGTCCCACTTCTGAAAATCACATATGCTCGTCCAGCCACGACAGCACAGTGAAGTTCTTCGATATGACCAATCCCAGACGAGCAGAGTACGTTCTGACCACCAACGCTCCAGTGTGGCGCGCTAGACATACGCCCTTTGGCAATGGTTTAATAACTGCAGTTGTGCCACAGCTGCGAAGAGGCGAGAACAGCTTGTTATTATGGAACACAGCCAACAGAGCTACGCCTATGCATACGTTCATCGGACACAGGGATGTGGTTCTGGAGTTCGAGTGGAGGAAACAAAAGTCAGGAGATACTGATTTCCAACTAGTCACTTGGTCCAAAGATCAAACTTTGCTGGTTTGGAGGATAGAGCCGTTCATACAGAAACTTTGCGGTTACGAACCGGTAGAAAGCAAAGACAGCAGTGACATAATCGAGGCTACTGAGTCGCTGAAGCTCTACGGGAAATCATCCCCGAAAGTTCAGCCCTTGCAGCAAGAATTCTCCTTGTTGAATGTTCACATACCTAACCTGAAAGTGAGAAAAATGGACCCCGTCGCCAGAAACGTACTAGTCAAAGCTACGATAAATAACTTCACAGTCAATTTGAAGGTCAGCTTTCCCAGTGCCTACCCCCACGGGGTACCACCTGGCTTCGAAGTGATCAAAGAAGACTCCAATGTCAGCGACTCCATAGTCGTTCAGCTGCTGCAGATGCTGAAGCACCTAGCTCAGCAACGGGTGTCGAAAAACCGCACTTGCTTGGAACCCTGCCTGCGCCAAATGGTCACAACTCTGGAACAGCTGTCGTCTGATCTGGAAAGCAACAGGTTCGATAGACAGTACATTGAACCGTCGAGCATTTTCGGGGGTTACAACGATGCTTACATACCGTTTCCTAGGACCTCCGGAGCCAAGTTCTGTTCGGTGGGGATCCTGGTTTGCTTCGGGAGGCCTATACACCCAAGGAAGCTATCCAGCAAACTGGATTCCACCCCTAGGGCCTTGACGACGACACCTAGGGCTTTGTCGGCTCTGGAGAACATTTTTGCGAAACGCAACGACGATTACATGACGGTGTCCGCCTACTACTTCCAGAGGCAGCGGTCCAGAGCGAAGCACGTCAGCTCCAAGTCTTCTAAGGCTGTGGTGCACATTTACGATGCTCAGGCTTTGTTTTTTTTCAACCGGCAGCTGGCTGAGGAGTATATTTTGGATGGTGATGTGGGGACTATTTGTAAGCATAATGCTGCTGCTGCAGCGGTGGTGGGCAGACGTGATTTGGTTCAGGCTTGGACCTTGGCGGAGCTTGTGGCTGGGACGCAACAGGCTGATGAGGGTATTTCCTGGGCCAATCATCCGTTCGGGAATAAGTTGATGGAGTCCTTGTGAGTTTTTCTGCTAGGGGTTTGATGACTGGACGTGTATTTGTGTTATTTGCAGGATATCTCACTATGCTTCTCAGTATGATCTTCAGATGGCAGCAATGCTGTGTTGCATTTTCGGCAAATATCAAGAGGCTTTGGCCAGGAAGTCTTCAGTGAAATCATTTTTCTTGCCTGGGGTGAGTTATTTTCTATGTGTTTTATAAATAGTGAAACTTTAACTTCCATATTCATTCATTAACGTGAAAATAATCCTCGCTAACCAAATCATTGTATACAGGGTGTCCCGAAATTAGCCTGACAAAATGATGATAATATCTTTAAATTCCATTTTTTCCGTAGCTCCCTTTGGAGACATTTTGTGTCTCATATTCATTGACACTTTTCTTCGTAGTTTTGATCGTAGAAGCCGCTGGTGAAGTTTGGCAGGCTATTTTCGGGACACCCTGTATGCACTATACAGGTGTAATTTATTATTTTTTGTAAAAATTTAATGAGTAGTTGATGAAACATTATGGACATACTATTGTTTTTTATATACACCATACAGGGTGATTCACAGTGGGTGGCCTATTAGAAGTATCTAGACTATAGAATGGAAAGCCAAATCATTCTGAAAATTGGTATCCATCAGTAATAGATCATTCAAATACAGTGTTGCCGCTTGTATCAGAAAGAAGTAGGAACTTAGTAAAGTCTATGTAAATTATTTCATTTTCCAAATCTTCAATGATTTCACATCAAATTTTTCTAATATTTCCCTATACCTATCTAAAGCTGTTAAATAAGAATTATTTCGTGAAATTTTGGATTTCTATATTTTCATAACCCATATGACACAGGCCACAGGCTCATAAGAATAGGAGAAAATAAATTTTCTGGAACTCTCTCGTTCAAAATAATTCAGAACGGGAGCATATAAGACACAATTCCATTAACAAAATTATCACCCTGTAATGTAGAAAAAAAACATTGATCTATTACGTGAATAACAAACTTATATACTTACTTACTGACATCACATTTTCACAATTTATTTCTAGCAGCTAGTACCTGGGAAACGATTGTTAAAGGTAACACGTTTTATACATTATTTTTAGGGATCGACCGATACCGATATTTATATCGGCCTGACTATATCGGCCTCATTGGCCGATTATCGTACTTGCCGATATCGAAAGCCGATATACCGATATATTTTTTTATTATTGAAGTTGAATTCTGATATTAGACGGATTGGAAGGAGATGGCACACAATTTCCAGTTTCGGTTTTCTAAGCTCGCAACTAAAATTAGTAGGGGAAAAAATTACAAATAATGAAACAGATTTTTGGCAGAATTGACACTATCAAATTTTATGTTGGTTTGTCTCTTTCTTGGGGGTGCCGCCACCTACATGTCTTTGACAAAAGTTGAGATAGGGACATGTAAGCCGTTTTGACCAATAATGAATAGTTTCGACAAAAAAAATTCCTAAAGTTGAAAAATTACGATTTTTCACACCCTATATCTCTGTAATCATTTCCGCTAGACCCCAAGTGTGATGAAATCAGCTCTTCAGAGAGAATCTGAAAATGCAATAAAATACAGGGTGTTCTATTCAAAATCACAAAGTTGTTGCTACTTCTCGATAAAAGCGGCAACGCCGCAGAGCTGAAAATATTTTAGATCGATAGACCAAGATCTCTGCCAAGAGCAACTACGTGAGTAACCAAAATTTCAGAATGATCCTATGTCCCGTTCTCCATAAATGTCTTACGTACCATCGACCGTGAGTTACCCTGTATATATCGGTATTTATTGAAATATCGGTAACGGCTAAAATTTCTATTTCGGTCGATCCCTAATTATTTTATGTTGTGTTTTATGTTGCTGTGTGTTTTTTGTGTGTTTCTAACTGTGGGCTTACTACCTAGTTTCTAATACAAAATCTTGATCAGTAGGCAACGCAACAAACGATTGCTACTTATAAAAAGTATGCATTTGATTTTAAATTTTTGGATACGGAGTGTTGTGAAAATTTGCAATATCAAATCGAACCTGTTTATTAAAATCATGATTGAAAATGTCTAGAAATCAAACATTGAAATTTCTACTCGACAAAATGGAGTACTGCTCGAGTGGTCATAAATTCAACTCATATCCTACTAGAATTCTACTAGTAGAATAGGTAGAATTTGTTTTTCATCGGTAGAGCGGAGCTGATAGAACAAGTATTCTAGCAGTTGACCATATTTCCGATTTCCATAGGTGAGACATTTCATTGAGAGGTTGGCTATAAAGGTGTCAAATGTGAATAAAATCGGCGCCACTGTTAAATCAATTGAATTTGTATAGGATCAAAAACAAATACAACAAAATCCTTCCTTTCTCAAATGACAATGCACTCGGTGATAAACGAGACACTAAAAGCAGAATTCCGATCCAACGTTGGCAAATTATTGATATTTATTTATTTATTTGTTGTTATAAAGAATTGGCGCGAAATTTGAATTCCTTGTCCTTCCTCAAAAGAATTCCATCGTCAAAATGATATGTCACAGCCCGATGGGCATTGAACATTTGAGTTGTAGCTCCTTCCCTGCCTTAACAATAATTTATATTCAGAGAACCTATGTCTTGACTGATGATGACACAAGCGTCTAGCTATACCATTTCCCTCAGGGCGCCACTGTGAATTCCGAAGACGTAATTTATAAGGAAGGAAAATATCCTTTCTGCATAAGAAAGGAGACAACACTCTAACCTAACTCGGCCTGAATAATCCTTCCTCTTGAGAGAGAAAAAACAATCAAAGTTGAGCCTTGCAAGAATTGGACCTGAGCTATCAGGTGGTAATGATGTAGCTAGACACTTCCTAGTCGATGTCTATTCAAATTGCTCTGTCTGATTGAAGAATATTTTGTTCCATATCGAACAAACTTCAGCCATATTGATATTATCATGGAAGGCAGAGGGTGGATAACTGCAAATCCTATTTTAAATATTTCGAGGGCTGTGACATATCATATGAAGATGGAAATCTTTTGAGGAAGGATCAGCACTGTTACTGCTGCCAATAATAAATAGCAAGAAATTTCTCAACTATTCACAAGTGAAATATGGTCAATAGGGCTGGTGAACACGTCAAGGAAATGTCAAAAGTCAATGCCAATCAATCTCTGACGTTTGAAGGAAATCATCTGTTTCTAGTCGGGATCGCCGTACCACACCATCCCTCCAGCCGACGTGATAGCTGACGGCTGGGTGATTCCCATACTGAGGACGGCGAGGTCGACCTCATTGGACAACCTGCGGCTCGAGGCCCCCGTCGAGCTGTCCATGTTGAAGGCCCCCGCCTCCAATTCCCTCTACGAGTACTACAAGGTCGCCTATGCGGAGACCCTGCATCGGTGGGGCCTCATCTATAGCAGGACAGAGGTGAGGTCTTATCATGGTTACCTACGTCGCAGACGAACTCAATAGATGATTTCAGATAACTTTGAAAAAGTAATAATATGTCTTTAATAGATTTACTTTATAAAACATGACAATAGTGTCGTGCTTTTGATTGGTCAGACCTCTAATATGTTTTTCAACACTTTGTCACTGTTTCTCGCTCTTTGTACACTAAACATCCAACACTCAGACATAAAACTCTATGCAAAGAATTCTTGCATATTAACTTAGTAATCAAGTCTCAGATTATTGAGATGATGAAATGAAAATATCTTATATCTGAACCTATCATTAGGTGGGCACTACGATGGCGCAATTTCATTATTGCATGTGAGATACCCTACAGATTTTTAGCTATTCAGTTACTTGACCACGAATGATATTCCGGAAACGGTAGCCATTTTGAGGTATATTGTTGCCAGTCTATTCAATCTAATCACTCTAGTCTTTCCCATCTGGCCTTGTCTTCAGGGTTCCAACTTGAAAAAGAACACTTTATGATGGCAACACTAGAAATGAAAAGAAATGGAGAAGGATACCATATTAACCTCGAAATGAAAGGTTGTAATGGTAATCTTCTCCAGTGTTGCCAGCATGAATTTCCATTATTTTGTGGTGGAACCCTCAAGACAAAAACAATAATAATGGAAAGACATTTTTTCCTCTATGGAATTCATTGCATGAGGAAGTATTTTCAAGAAATTATAATCTCCAGAAGTTAAAAAAAAACTCCAACACTTACCTCCTCTCCCTATCCTTCCTAGGTACGCACGATGTTCTTTGAACATTATAGTGATTCCCTTTAGTGCGCACCAAGCGATACAAAAAACTCTAGCTTCTCTATTCATTGAGAATAAGCCAACAACCAAATCATTTCTTTCCTATATATATTATATATTGGATCTTTCTTTTATTTTATTCAGACCAGGGAAGAGTCCCTCTTATCCTGGAACAAAATAAAAACGGTATTGAAGTTTGATGCGAACAGCCCTTCTGCCCCAAATAAGTTTCAGAAATACATTCTAAGAATTGAAAGAGATCGAACGGAAAAAATAAATATCAAAAACTTGAGAATAGTAAATTTGGTCATAATGTCGATATTTTCTCTAGTTTATGGACAATCTCGGTCTTTTGAACTTTGATTGATCACCTGGGTCATAATCAACTGCATTTCGAAGAAGCTGATTCTCATGAACCTCAGCTTTTTCGAAAGTCTTGATGTTTCGTTCTTTAATGACTGACACGATTGAAGGGAGTTTCAGATCCCTGGCGATCTGGTTATTCCGAACATACCAAGGAGATCCTGTCACCATTCTCGCGACTTTGTTTTGTAATGTTTGTAATCTGGTGATATGAGATTTAGCTGTGTGGCCCCAGACTACTGAGGCATACAGTAAAATTGGCCTGATAGCCATGATATAAATACTCAATTTTTGTCCTAAACCCAATTTACTTCGCCTGTTTAGAAATGGATACAGGGCTCCAATGGCTCGTTTAGCTTTTGAAACTTGCTGTTCAATGTGCTGGGCCCAAGTGAGCTTTTTGTCAATGCACACACCTAAGTATTTAACTTGTGAAGACCACTCTAACTCATGACCATCCAGGACTATTCTGGTTCTGGGAGGCCTCCGCTCCCTTCCGAGTGCGACCAATTGTGTTTTTGTAGGATTCAATTTGATCTTCCATCTTAGGAAGTACTCCTGAAGAGAATTCATTGCGCTTTGGAGGTTCATAGCTGCTTGCTCGAAATTTGTCGAATATGCAAGAACTGCCGAAATAAGGACATTGTCAATCATTGTTAAGACTTGAAACAAGGGCTATAAAATGCATTATTCATTCGAGGTTGATTTTGTGGTGCTGGTTCTTTATATGTTTTTGGCATTTTACACTTTACAGCTACAAAGATGTCAAAGTTATTGTGTTCCTTTCAGACCAAAAACTGAGAAATTTTGAAATAATCTGGAAAGTTCGAAGCAGATGAAGCAATTTGTTCACGAAACTTCATACCTTGTGTAACCATATTTTCAGAGGTTCGACATTTCGTATCGTGAGGTTGGTTACAATATTGTCAAATATCAAATTTATTATCTCATGTGCATATCTCAAGAGAACCTGAAATTAACACTATCAGTGTAGAATTATTATCATTATTATTTCATATTCAAATCCGACACTCTCCTTGTTTCTATAAAATAAAAAAATATTAGTATTATTTCAATATACCTGTAGTTAGGACAAATCAACTGATTTGCCCCGGAATGTCACTGCGTTTAAAAATTTTCCTATCAGAGAGCCTGAAAGAAAAATTCATTCGATTGTCAGTGACACTTTGTTTTGAAATAGGTTTGGAGAAGAGAAATATAGGTTCAAGTATAATATACATATATGATTCAGTTTCTGATGAAGGCCTACCTGTTTCCCTATTTGTCTAGTACTCCTTTCAGAACTTTTACTGTCAAAAAAAGCTAGGGATTCAAAGAATTCCTAGACATTTTTCGAAAGCCGGCTCTGGTGTTTTTAGGTACTTTGTTACGTACCGGTTACCGTACTTGCTACCTTGGGTTCGGGAATGTTGTCGAGAAGTTGGCCCTGTTATCCTGCGTCGTATTCGTGCGCAAACGAGGTACACAATTAGTAATCTCAACTTGTGTTAACGATCATAGAGATCGCAACTAGTGACGATTTTGTGTAGTATGGTGCAACCGGCAGAGGAAACATAATACAGAACATCAACATTAGGTAACATAGATTCTTTCAGAGATATCTGTAAGAATCCACGTTACTTCACGTCAATGCTATCGTATTGTCTCATCGATTGCACCCATCCTGATTTCCGGTCTGTTTCGGTTCTGTCGGCATACCCCCTTCTCTGGCAATGTACTCTAGGGCAAGCACACCACTCCTATCCCTACACCTTCAGTGCTTCTTTCTGGGGTTCTTTCCGTACTCCTTTCCCTACCTGTCACCGAGCCGAAGTTCCTACTTGTTTCCTGTTGACCGCGTTGACTTACCTTCATCCTTCCTTATCTAACTCATCAGGAAACTGAATCATTTATCATCTTTCCACTTCAGATGATCATCAAAATAAATTTTGCTATGTAAATTTTTCAGATAATTATAGATTCTGATATAACACATACCTTCCTATATTGATAACGATCTCTGTGACACTGTTGAAATGGAACAACTCATACAATGCGCTGATCAAACGGATAAATGAAAAAATCACAGTCTTACACCACCAAGAGAACCTGGAATTAACACTATCATTTCAAATTCAAATCCCACACTGCAGTGCGTGAATCCACACATACAGATTTTGGGTATTTTCTCTCTTTGTTTCTATAAAATAAAAAAACATTAGTATTATTTCAATATACGTGTAGTGAGGACAAATCAAATGATTTGCCCCGAAATGTCACTGCGTTTAAAAAGTTTCCTATCAGAGAGCCTGAAAGAAAAATTCATTCGATTGTCAGTGACACTTTGTTTTGAAATAGGTTTGGAGAAGAGAAATATAGGTTCAAGTATAATATACATATATGATTCAGTTTCTGATGAGAGCCTACCTGTTTCCCCCTATTTGTCTAGTACTCCTTTCAGAACTTTTACTGCCAAAAAAAGCTAGGGATTCAAAGAATTCCTAGACATTTTTCGAAAGCCGGCTCTGGTGTTTTTAGGTACTTTGTTACGTACCGGTTACCGTACTTGCTACCTTGGGTTCGGGAATGTTGTCGAGAAGTTGGCCCTGTTATCCTGCGTCGTATTCGTGCGCAAACGAGGTACACAATTAGTAATCTCAACTTGTGTTAACGATCATAGAGATCGCAACTAGTGACGATTTTGTGTAGTATGGTGCAACCGGCAGAGGAAACATAATACAGAACATCAACATTAGGTAACCCAGATTCTTTCAGAGATATCTGTAAGAATCCACGTTACTTCACGTCAATGCTATCGTATTGTCTCATCGATTGCACCCATCCTGATTTCCGGTCTGTTTCGGTTCTGTCGGCATACCCCCTTCTCTGGCAATGTACTCTAGGGCAAGCACACCACTCCTATCCCTACACCTTCAGTGCTTCTTTCTGGGGTTCTTTCCGTACTCCTTTCCCTACCTGTCACCGAGCCGAAGTTCCTACTTGTTTCCTGTTGACCGCGTTGACTTACCTTCATCCTTCCTTATCTAACTCATCAGGAAACTGAATCATTTATCATCTTTCCACTTCAGATGATCATCAAAATAAATTTGGCTATGTAAATTTTTCAGATAATTATAGATTCTGATATAACACATACATACCTTCCTATATTGATAACGATCTCTGTGACACTGTTGAAATGGAACAACTCATACAATGCGCTGATCAAACGGATAAATGAAAAAATCACAGTCTTTCACCGAAGACCACGGACATATGTCATTTGCATAATTATGTCTTACACCACCAAGAGAACCTGGAATTAACACTTTCAATTCAGATTTATTATTATTATTATTATTTTATATTCACTGCAATGCCTGAATTCACTCATACAGATTTCAGGGATTGTCTCTTCTTTTTTCTATAAAATGAAAAAATACGAATATTATTTCAATATACGTGTAGTTAGGACAAATCAAATTAGTTGCCCGGAATGTAACTACTTTTAAAAATTTTCCTATCAGAGAGCCTGAAAGAAAGATTCATTAGATTGTCAGTGACATTTTATATCGAAAATGGTTTGAAGAAGAGAAATTTTGGTATCGAGTATAATAAACATGATTCATTGTCTGATGAGGGCCTACCTGTTTCCTCATATTTGTCTTGTACTCCTTTCTGAACCTATACTACATGCCAAAAAAAGTTAGGGATTCAAAGAATTCCTAGGTAACCCAGATTCTTTCAGAGATATCTGTGAGAAACCACGTTACTTCACGTCAATGCTGTTGTATTGTCTCGTCGATTGCACTCATCCTTCTTTCGAAGTTCCTTCTTGTT